GGGGCCCTCATGGCCTGTCTGTCTACCAGTGGAATAACATGCATTTGTATCTGTTAAATTTGTGTGGTAGACAGATTGATATTATTTATACATAGACGGGGAGTGATAACGTTTGACCCCAAACAAATTGCAAAAGAAACCGGGAAGTTTCGGAGAGCGATATTTCGTAATCAATGTGTTTTAGTGGTGGGGGAATAAGTAATTTCTTTTTAAATTTTTCAAACACAAACTGGTCATAGAGGCGAAATGTGCCGAAAACCGAATTTGACAAAAATCAAAAAATGTATTTTTCACATGTATGGCGCCGGGCATTTATTTCAAAATGACTGTCAAATTAAAAATAATCTCGTAAGATATGACTTTTACTATGTCTTTTAAATGATTTTCGACGTCTCTTAAAGGTCACCGTCGAGTGCCGAAGTCGTGAAACGCACCGTCTGGGGATTTGTTGGGGCCTGTCTCCCCCAGAAAATTTATGGAAATTTCAAGCCGGAAAACGCGTTGTCTTGCTAGGCCGTGAATACGGCAACCTGAAAATGGTTCATTTTAATGAAGACATCTGAACTCCAATCAACAAATCAATCAATCAGGCTGTTCTCGTTGCATTCACATGTCACCAGAAAGTTCACTGATGAAAAAAATATGCCCGAAACACATGTCGCGGTTAGTGCGACCCATTAATTTTGTGACAATTTCTAGGTTTCAAATATAAGCGATTAAGCTCCTTTAAAAGCGAATGTAAGTTAAATATGTTTAATAGCGCTTTTATCTAGTGTATCTTTTATTTTGATTTTCTTATAGAATAAGGCTAGCAATTATGTGCGCTTTTTATTGTATAATACTAATAATAATATGTTCAGCTATACTTCTCGTTTTAAAAAATGTATGTTTTATCTCCTATAGACACATATTAGCGGAAATCTATGACATATCTATCCATATCCCTGTTTGTCGGGACATCCAACAATATAACAGGGCATATAAATAGATAGTGAGTTGGTAGAGTTACTTGGGACCCAAGATGGCGTCTATGTACTCTTGACGTTTTATTTGCATGACGTCATATGAAATTCCTGGCTTCACAGTAGTTGTCTCAACTTTATCTATATACGGCTTTGTCCAGTTATATACATTGTATATATAGATCAGTTGTGTAGGCCCTACATTGAATTTATAAATTTAAATATCAGCCAATGACGAAACAGTCTTTTCTTGGATTAACTCTAATCAGTCCGTTAGATAATGGATACTGAAATTGACTTTCCAGCAACAGAAACGAAACGTTAGCAAGATAACGATCCGTTAGAGTTGAACGGGTCGTTACAATAACTGTCATTTAAGCAACCGGCCCCAGGGCTGTGCATCCCAAACTTAGGCATCCCTAACTAACGCTGCCTGTCTACAATCGAAAACACCGAGTATGCTTTTATTTCTCTTCTATTGTCATTTTGAATGAAATTAAATATATTTATTTGGCCGATGTGTGTATGAAAGATGTCAAACTTATCAAAGCCGAATCACAAAAAAGTCCTCTAATTATTCAATATGGGGGCGCCCATGAAACATAATTTCACAGAGGTGGTTTTGTTTGCAAGACAAATTTAGGAGTATCTAACCATGTTTTGAAAGATAAACAGATTGAAACTCTAAAGACAGTTTACAATGGCAAAGAATGTATTGCAATATTACCCACTAGCACATATTATATACCGCTTTTAACGTAGTGGCAGAAGTTGACATTTTGCCAATGACATGTGTTTACATAATACATGTGCTTGATCGGGTTATTTTTACTCTGTTGTGTACACAAAGCAATAGTCCAGTCGGTAAGTCCCGCCCCAAAATGATCACGTGAGCGTTTTAAATGGAGGCTAACTAGGGCAGTGATCATAATCTCGAAGTATGACGTAGATGGATCGCTGCGTGCAGTTTGAAACTTAGGCTGCCTGTCTACAGCTAGCTCCGCCTGAGAAACAGGCCCTAAGCTAATTACCCGACATTTTAATTCCTACATCGACGATTTTAGTCGAAAACACTGAGTATGCTTTTAGACATTTTTAGAAGTATTTATTTCTCTTCTATTTTCATATTGAATGAAATTAAATATGATTATTTAGCCGTTGTGTGTATCAAAGGTGTCAAACTGATCAGAGTGGAATCACGAAATAGTCCACTAATTATTCAATATGGCGGCGCCCATGAAAGATAATTTCGCAGAAGCTGTTTTGTTTGCGAAGACAAATTTAGGAGTATCTAACCTTGTTTTGAATGATAAACAGATTAAAACTGTAAAGAGAGTTTACAATGGTAACGACTGTATTGCAATGTTACTCACTGGCACGTATTATATATCGTTTGACCGGAGTGGCAAGAGTTGACATTTTCGCTAACTTGACATTTGTTTACATACACCATGTGCTTCGTATGGTGGCTGTTAGCGGCCATTCAAATGAATCTAAATCATCGCCTTGTGAAGAAGGCGACAAGTCGACAGAATTGACTCGACAAGTCGACGAAATGAAGGCGACGATCGTCGGGTTATTTTGTCGTGTCGGCGGGTTGATTTTGTCGACTTGTCGACTTGTCGCCTTCGACTTATTCACAACCCGACAAGTCGACAAGTCGACAAAATACAATTATTTCGACTTGTCGGGCGGCGACTTGTCGCCTTGGAAGTTAATCTGTGCGCATGCAAGTTATCCAATCAGCAAATGCGCATGCTCGAGTTTAACTTCATTCCGTCGACTTGTCGCGTTAATTCTGTCGACTTGTCGACTGTCGACTTGTCGCCTTCTTCACAAGGCGACGATTTAGATTCATTTGAATGCCCGCTAACAGCCACCATAGCTTCGGGTGTCAAAGCAGTCACCTAGTCGATAAGTCCCGCCCCAATATGATCACATGGGCGTTTTAAATGGACGTCATTTAGGGCAGTGATGTTATTGCCGAAACTGTCGACATTCAGCGTTCTACGACTTTCCGTTCTGGAGTTATTCCACTATTGCCGAAAACCTTGTAAACGTGATAGAGGCTATAGTTTTTAACAGATCCGTTCCAAGTTTGGTAGAAGCATTGGTGTCATGAGCGGGTGTGAGCGCAATATCGATACTCTTGCGACTTTCAGTTCTGGAGTTATCTCCCTTTTCCAAAAGTCTTGTTAACGCGACACAGGCCTTATTTTTTTTTTTATTCTTTTCAAATTTAAATGCGAGGCACAGTTTTGTATTAGAGGTTATGATTACTAGAAAAAATCCAATCCAGACTATTATAACTTACTAGTAAGTGCAGGAGGATCACACCACACATAAGCAAACACCCAAAAGACAAACCCTCCGAGGAGACAATATAGGCCTACAGGCATTGCAATTAATTAACATCAAACGTATATCATACCAAGTGTACAGTCTTGTGCCTACAGTGATACGGACTAAACTCAAAATGAGAACGTGCTCACAATCCACGAAAACATGGGAACATTTACCAAACATTGTAAGCCATGATCGGCTCAATGTCAGCATGTTGAAGGGAAATGGAGCAAAATGTCACGTCACGAGAATATCTACAGCTGATATTTTGGATTTGTTTTGTAAACCGAATGTTAGATAATCACTGTCACACTGTGTGTACGATAGAATACCCGACTCGTGTACTGATTATAAAATGTCCACTGTGTCTTAAAGTAGCTAAGTCTCTAACTCAATATCATCCAAAATCTTCAACATTCAAACCGCGAATTATTTGTCAATTTAAATCAACATTGATGTTGTGATCTTACCGGTAAAAGATGGGCTTTTGATGTCTAATATTTAAGACAAAATAAACATTTTACCATTGGTACACGAATCGTGTACCATAATGCGTTTCAGCGCCATTTATAACAAGGAACTCGGAAAACTAGGCTAAGCATATTCAACAAGTCATGTCAAACGGTGACATCATATTCTTATCTGGAGTCTGGAGAGCATGCGCAATAAATACTATCGGTGTAGACTGGAATAACCAGACACTAGAGATTCCAATTCGATTGAGACTTCTGGCGTATTTCGCCGAACATAAGTGATTAGAAATTAGAGTAAAAACAGAAACTATTGAATGTAAATCAGTTTATATACATTCATATTACATTATCATATGCCGTTGCGACCCATTTGTGTCAATTTCTATATCCCAAATATTAGCGATTTAGCTCCTTTAAATATGGATATTAGCGCCCCATATGTTTACGGCAAGATAAGAATATTAATACCGATTGAAATGGACCAATACTGAATTCTAATTCGTGTTTTAAATTTTGAATATTATGAATAATTTTGAGTTAAGAGATTTAGCTCCTTTGAAATGAACGTCATTCAATAAAAGGACAACCCCAGAATTGGTTCTTTAACAAGGCCATTGCACTATCGGCTAATTTTTGTCAAAACCTTCAGAAACTCATAACTCACCCAAAATAAAGTAATCTGACTGAAATTTTCAATATATTCAATTTCTATTATGTTTGTTTGAAGTAAGATAGCATGAACAGTCAGCCCGTTATCTAAATCTTTCATAAATGGTCGTTCTTGCTATAATAGTTCCAAAATAGATAATTCAAAATTACTATATTGAAAATTCCATTCAAAATACTTTATTCTGAGCGAAGTTATCACTGTTTGAAGTTTTGACAAGACGTGGTATATATTGTTTATTATTGTACTATTGTAGCAACGTTACATGTTAATCGAGACTGAGTCTCGCTTCTTCATTTTCAAATCAAATCATTAAAACGGGATCGTATTTCAATCCGTTTAAATCTCACCAATCCGATGGTCTAAAGAGATGATTATAGGCTTGTCATGTAAATAAATAATAATTTATATAACATTTTTAAGCCAAAATAAAGACCTGCAATAGGTAGATTTAGCTCTTACAAGATGTACCTTTAATCCATGCAAATTAGATATTGTTCGAAAAATAAAAATGAAGATTAACTGTTTTTATTGAATAATGTTGAATATTTTCAGACAGCCTCGAAGTGAGAAATGGATAGTAATGGACAGTACAGACATACACCCAGATGACGTGACTTTATTAGATGACCGTGCTGACTGGGCGGGGCTTGTGATGGATTCTACAAAATCTAGACAAAGAATCAAGTAAGCTTTACTCACATTTCAACCGTGAATCCAGATTTCTTCCAGGAATCGCAATTGATGGGTGTCGAACGGATCGAGTCGAGCGACTAGATGCTGTTCTTTGATAATACCGAGTCAACCATCCATCCCACCAGATGGTTCGAATTTTCTTGAGTTTCCCGAATCTTGACATGTGTTTGATATGGTCCAATCTGGTTAAAACACAGATCCTATTTCGTTTCGTTTTTATAGTTCAAAATTTCGTTTTACTTGTCTTTACTACACTTGGATCTGGAAGACTTGTTATTTAACTCGTGTTCTGCTTGAAATGAGGGGCCAGCCAATCAAATGGTCTGTCGAATCGAGTGTTTGACCTTTTTTGCCCGGAACTGTGGGTAATCCACTAGTAACATCAATGCTGATTGGTTAATCAAATGTCTGACGTCATAGGTCAAAAGTCGGTCTTTTGACCCCTGACGTGACCTATCGCTATAACTTGTCAGATCTTCATGTAGTGTAGGCCATCGAAAGTATAAAAAAACGAAACGAAATATAGATCTGTATTTTAATCAGATTGGATATGGTCTTTAGGAATTATACTATTCAAAAAAAGTAGGGGATATTTGATTTTTAAGTGTTATTAAAGTCACCTAATGAAACTGACGAAGAAACAAATGACAAAATGAAATGAAGTTCACATTCATCGATTTATTCCAAATGATCGTTAGACTAAGTAAGGCACAGACTGACCATTATAAGGGTAAAATGATACCCGGGGTCAAACAGCAAAGTTACCACAGCATCACAACCAAGTCAGTAACGGGTAAATCCTCCTCTGTTTGCCAAACAAGCATTGATCCGACGTGGCATACTCCTAATGAGACGTCTAAGGTCATTTTGGTCCAGATTTTCCCATTCCTGTTGCAACGCAGCAGCAAGTTCTTGGACATTGGCAGGACGTTGTTGACGTTGACGTAACCTCTGTCCAAGCATGTCCCAGACATGCTCGATGGGGGAGAGGTCGGGACTCAGTGCTGGCCAAGGTAATGTGGTGATGTTCTGTTGTTGGAGGTAACCTGTAACGATCCTGGCCCTGTGACATCTTGCGTTGTCATCCTGGAAGATGAAACGGCGGCCATGACGTCGTGCGAACGGCACAACATGGACTGCCAAGATGTTGTCCCGGTAGTACTGGCCTGTAACACGCCCTGCAACAACATGTAAAGCCGTTCTTCCAGCAACAGTGATGCCTCCCCACACCATAACAGAACCACCCCCAAATCGATCATGTCTGATGACGTTAACGTCTTGGAAGCGCTCGTTTCGACGACGCCACACCCTCCTACGTCTGTCCAAAAAATCAACAGTGAACTTTGACTCATCTGAAAACATCACATTGCTCCAGCGTCGATTATCCCAGTGTTGACGATCCCTACACCAACGACGTCTTGCCTGAATGTGATGATCTCTCAAACAAGGGATCACGCGAGGACGTCGGGCGCGAAGGTGACCCCTATGCAGTCGATTCCGAATCGTCTGGCCACTCACTCTCACACCAGTGTCTGTTTGAAGACGAGCGCTGATCTGATTTGCTGTGATGACACGATTTCTCAAGGCCAAGGTACGGATAAATCGATCCTGGGCTTGAGTTGTCGCCCTTGGTCGACCTGAGCGTGGTCTGTCCTGTACAGATTGTGTATCACGGTATCTGGACCATAGCCTGCTTATGACAGACTGAGAAACATTCATCGTCCGCGCCACAACCGCCTGTGTTTTGCCGATCTGTAGCATGCCAAGGGCACGTAACCTTTCATTTTGGGTAAGCCGACGCATATCAAAATTTGTTTTCTGGTCACTAAAACAATTAAACTGATGTTTCCACCCTGGAATTCAATGCCACAATGACTGTAACATTCAAAGTCAGAGTCGTGCAAATCTTGGGTTGGACCCCCATGATGATCCCAAGCATCACCTGCATTCCATGCGGTAGCTATTGGTGCGTTTGGGCGTCACATGTAACTGGAAATGTTTCTTCTGTTAGGTTCTATAGTGACTTTTTTCGTAGTCATTTGCATATTTTAGTATTATGCCCCCTAAATCAAATATCCCCTACTTTTTTTGAATAGTATATATTCGTTGTTTCTTTTAGGTGTGCAACATGTCGAGGAAATCAACCAATGGATGGAATTTTAGAAGCCGTTAAAAGTCAGGCGAAATATATCTACTATGCTGATGACGTGTTTTCCCTTCATAAGGAATTGTCCAAACTCAAACTAAATCCACTATCGTATGGTTTAGACTTCAATGGAAAAAACTCGCATTTTGATTTAGAAGCTCATTTTAAATCCGGCAAGGCGAAATCACCGTTGAGCCAGAATTTAAATAGTCACTACCGACTGGGTGAGTGGAGGACTTCACTTATTCAAGCTTTCGTTCCTACAGAAATGTTGCTCCGCCCATCCGAAAGCGCAGATGAAATAGACAGCAGAGCCCCAGGTATACGTCTTCCTAAAAGTTATTATCACCCATTTGCTCAAAAGGGGAGTTTGTATTTTTATGAGGCCTTTTGGGCGATGGCTCCTATTGACCAGCAATACTACACGACTTGGTCTCTAATGACAGAACGTCTACTAGAGGAACTCAGTAATGATGTCATGTTAAATGCTCCCAGGAAAAACAAACAACAGCGCAAATACGGACACATGGGGGTGGAAAAGATCGCACGTCTTAGCGCCATGTTAAAAAAGTGGATTTGTTTTCCTGGACTTCAGTTATTCAAATGTGTTGAATTATTAACAGATGAGCTAGTCGCTGCTCAACATTTACCTAAAGATGTTGGTGAACTGATTAAAGATTTCCTAAAGAGGTTGAGCTCTATTGGATATATACAGCCTGTTAGACTCCTCGGTTCCTTATCCAGACCATTTATTCCACCCATAAATAAGCTCATTTTCTGGCCCGGTTACACCACCGATCGAAGTGAACGAGGTTTGAATAAATCATTCAAATCCATGTGTAATTCGGGATTGGGGAAATGTAAGGAGGTCGGGCATCAGGCAGAGAAATACATTCCCTATTATGAAAACCTCCTTCTGGTCGTGGTGTTTAACCGCCCTGGTCACTATATAGTTGTCGACTACCTCGAAAGGATGTACCGACCGTATTTTCCTAATATGCTTTATTGTGGGCATGACATGCACAATTTTTTATCTGTTTACAATCACATTGATAGAAAGGTTACTTTTATTGAAGTCGAATTTAATAAGGGACAGTATGGATACCAATGTGTCCAAAAGGCGATACAGATGAACTATGACGTAGAAGGTTACATCCATCTTAGTGACGATGTTCTATTAAATGTTTGGAACGTCCAGGATCTTCCGAAGGATAAATTGTGGTTCCAGGGAAATATGAAGGTAGCCAATATCACCCAGGATGTTGTCCCGGATATATGGAAACATCCTCATTGGGGTCCGTGGATGTCAGATTATGGACGCGTAGCAGTTAAGAGAGCTGTTAGTGTTCTACAAACCTTGGCGCTGGTGGAGCAGAAAGTCAAGGTTTTCATGTTTATGTTGTCTACGAACGCCGGAGGCCAGGACCGCGTTTATTACCAAGCATCCGATATTTTTTACATTCCGAAGCGCTTCGCGGAACTTTTCGCTTACATCACAACTACGTTTGATTCGAATTATGTTCATTTTGAGATCGCGGTGCCGACGATGTTAAACGGTTTGGATCTACATGAGAACATTGTGTTTATGAATGGGTCTTATCTGTGGTTTCAAGACCGTCAATTATATCAGCTGAAATATAATTATCAACATGTTTTTATGCATTCCATAAAACTAGGAATGTGTATTGCTGATCCCAAGTGTCAAAAGTTTATCTGTCATCGTTATTTACCTTGTTTATATTCCTCTAAATAAATTAATTGTTAGGTTTTTATTTCTTCTCTTCAGACCATTGGGAAAAGGGCACAGATGCCTTATACCATACCCTTTCCCATCCACTTCTGCGCGTGGTCCGTTAATCGTTTACATTTTAACACATTTTCGACCTATTCTCAAGAATCACAAGCTGGATTTCAACCAGATGGATATGCACGTTGTTTGGGTAATGCTTGTCTTCCTTTTCTGCACTAACATACACGATGCAGTATTCATCGACTTCCATCGACTGTCAAAGTTTCATATACGTGCACGCCCATGTGTACATGAGACCTCGGTTTCTCATTCTACCCAAACGACTATACGCTGTTCCTTTCCCGGCAATCCGTTCAGCACCGTTGCAAATTCCGAGGAGCGTTCTCGGCCAACACCAGGCCCATACCCTGAAACTGTTCTCACGTCATTTGGTCGTCCCACAAGAAAATGTTTGAATTTCATATGACCTGCTGAACCATCTCAACACTAAAGATTTGTAAAGATATAGTCGGCACACCTATAAGGGCAGCGGGGCAGTTGTCTAGTTCTTTTGAAGGCACGGCGTCATATGCACCCATAACACGCCAACATAGCGCCCCTGTGGGTAGTGATTATTCAGATTGGTCTGCGCAGAGAATAATCTGCGATATGATTCTAGGTGGAAACAGGCGTTTAACACCACGAACGTGCAAGTCAGATGGCCATAATCGCGTTTTCTTGCCTTGTGGACGCTCTTAGAGGTCTCAATTTTCATCCGATTTTGATGAAACTTGAAATACACGTTTATAACCCAAAGATCTTGATTCCTTTCGTTATTCGCGCATATCGGGTCGTTACTTGCTGAATTATGGCCCTTGATTGTACGAAAAATCACGTTTTTAGTTTGTGGTTCCTCTAGAGGTGACAATTGTTATCCGATTTTAAAAAAAAAACACATGTGGATATATCACCATTACTGCACCATAATGATGGTTGAGTTCGACGTTCGGGAAAATCGGACAAAAACTGCCGGACAAAATCGCCGCCCCCCGCATACGCAAAAAGTGTATAAATATGGTATCAAAGTTGTGGACCCTGTAGAGGCCACACTTTTGATCCGATTTTGATGAAATTTTAAATTTATGTTTTTGTATTCAATTTTAAAAAAAACATTTAAATCTATCACCGTTACACGTCAATGATGTTTGAGTTCGAATTTCGTAAAAATCTAACCGAAACTGCCGGACAAAATGGCCGCTAATTATATGTAAATAGTGTAAAAATATTTAATATCAAGGTTGTGGACACTCTACAGGTCACAATTTTTATCCGATTTTGATGAAACCTGAAATCTATGTTTATGTCCCAAAGGTCTCGGTTCCTTTCGCTATTACCGCATATCAGACCGTAATTTCCTGGATGATTGTACGAAAAACCACGTTTTCAGAGTTCACAATTTTTATCTGGTTTTGATGAAACTTAAAATGTGTTTATATCCCGAAGATCTATGTTTCTGTAGATATTCATGCATATTGTACGAAAAATCGCTTCTTCTTTTTTTTAGCTTGTTCTCTTTCGATCTCTTGCCATTTTGTCCGGCAATTTCGGTTCGATTTTCATGAAATTCGAACCTAACCAAAATTACGGTGTAACGGTGAATATATTTGAACGTTTTTTTTTAAATAGGATAATAATTGTGATCTCTAGAGGACCACAAGCTAAAAACACGATTGTTCGTACAATCAAGGGCCATAATTCAGTAAGTTATGATCCGATATGCGTGAATATTGATGAGACCCGAGATCTTGGGGTGATAAATATGTATTTCAAGTTTCATCAAAATTGGATCGTGGCCTCTAAGAGGTTCAACAACCTTGATATACCATATATTTACACTATCTGCGTACGAGGGGCGGCCATTTTGTCTGTCAGTTTTGGTCCGATTTTTACGAAATTCGAACTCAACCAGCCTTAGGGTGGAACGGTGATATATTCAAATGTTGTTTATTTTAAATCGGATAAAAATTATGACCTCTATAGGGTCCACAAGCTAAAAACGCGATTTTTCGTACAATCAGGAATTCAAGAAATTACGATCCGATATGTACGAATATCGAAAGGAACCGAGATTTTAGGGAAAAAGAATTGTGATCTGTAGAGTGTCCACAAACAATTATGGATGGACGGATGGACGGACGGACAGGGCGACGACAACATACGTCCACATGAAAATGTGGGCGTACAAAAATTGTTACCTGTAGAGTGTCCACAAACAAATTTTGGACGAAAGTCCGGACGGACGGACAGGGGCGACGACAATATACGTTCACATGAAAATATGGGCGTATAAAAACGACGATAAACCTTTTCTCCGCGGTGTAAACCATTTCTCCGCGGTGTAAACCTTTTCTCCGAACGAAAGCTTTCTCCGCGGTGGAAAAGAGCCAGTCTTTATGCGGCCAGTGAGTGCATACTATCATAAAACTAACTTTTGTCGTATACGTGACATTATGTCAATTCAGTACAAATACGCGTGTTTTGGTATGTCAGGTCACGTCTTGTCACGTCACGTCACGTCAACAATCAAGTTAGTATTATAATATACACACAATGGCCGCGGTTTGCACCGCGGAGAAAACTTTATACCGCGGAGAAAAAGTTTACACCGCGGAGAATAGGTTTTTTCATGTTGTTGTTTTTTATTATTATTTATCATAGATTTAATTGCGAAACAATCGTTCATTGTATTGCAGACTGAATCTTTCTCATATGAGGTAAATTACAAGAAAAAGCTGGTTTTGATCTCGTGGTTATCTTTGAGGACGTTTAATTGCAAGGTAATACCAGCCCCCCCAGGGGGTGGGTGGATCGTGTAAACCTGAATCTCGAATCCACACGAGGTCTGAGTGGAAAGTTTGGTAAATATATACTATAGAGCACTTGTTGATCTGTACTAATCCATTTTACTTTTGTGACACTCTTCATATAATCTACACAATGGACGTACATAAGATCTGTTTTACCAACAAACTACCCCCCTCCAACCCACACTGAATTATCCGTTATAATATTATTTTTAAAGTTACACACTGAATTATCCGTTATAATATTATCTTTAAAGTTACAATTTCATATTTTCTAAGAAAGTCAAAACATAATTATTTCTATGTCTTTTGCTCAATCGGTTGTCAACTCACTATTATACGATCATAGGTGTCATTCTCACACTTAAAACTCATTTACACCGTAAATAATAACACAATTACCTCCCTTGTTTTCTATTCTCCACCATGGAGCAGTTATCTTCAAACGTTTGAATTTGAAGATGAAAATAATATTTTTGCCAATTTCTCAACTGGCAATAGTGAATTATAGGATTAATAGGATTATTCTTTAACAAGGTAGGACTGTTTATAGATACCATATATTTTAAGGCTTTATTTTAATAAATTTCAAAAACATAACTTAAAAATATGAGAGAAGTGGAGGAGTCTGTATCAAGGTCTAGAGGGTCCGCGGTGCCAAAATTCATTTTTGCGGACTGTAATTGTCTTTTACATGGTCTGTAGGAAAGACTAGCAGAGGTCCATTACAACATATATAATCGGTGACCGCTGTTACAACAGTAAACAGTAGAACTCGTAATGCCTATTTTTTGGACAATCCAAGACAGGACAAATGACGACTTGACATTAATCTAGTTGTATTTGATTAATCAGCATTGAGGCTGGTGTCCCTAAATAGATGACACTTATTAATTACTTGCACATCTAACTTATTTATAAAACATCTAACACAGAAATTGTTCTTCACTCTGTGTAACCTAAGCAAAATATCTAATTGCAGAGGCATGTTGGTCAGGTAGTCAACTGCCTACCCTGCCCTCATAAATGCAAAAACAAGAAACTCGAAATGGTTGATAACGCTCGAATCCGATGAGATTTCCTAACAAGGTATATGGGAGGGAGCGGGGGTGGCTATGTGCCCTCTCTTCTGAAAATGTGCCATCGAATATTGTGCCCCCTTTTTCTGCTGTCATCTGTAATTTCCTTGGCCTGGCTTATAGTGTATTTTGATCGTCGTCTCGTTCTTGGGGTTGTCAGTCTACTTTCAATTCTACCTCCCTACCCTCATTAGAGAACAGAATCGAAACTTGGCAGGTACCCTTTGTAAGGAATACCAGTCCCTTTTGATGCTTGTTTTTCTTTACTCACAGGTCGTTTAGTTCTTGATTTCAGCTAACTATGTTCATGTTCGGATCTGTGTGACTTAATCATAATCCCTTATGTATGGTATGTCATGGCATATATGTCAAATCGCGAACCAGTGAATTACCAAGATGAAAAAAATGTGTCGAAAATGAGATCAGCTGCCTTCAAAACATATATTTTGACACCAAATGAGGTAATTTTGTAAAATTCGAATTTTCCCGCCAAAACTGGCCGCCATCTGGAATTATTTCCCAATATTGACTCCGCGGTATAACTAATCACCAAAATGTGTATGGGAATGGATCCAGCTACCTCGAAAGGATATATTTTGATACCAAACTCAATCATATTATGGTAAGTGGATAAAAATTGGCATTTTCCAGTCAAAACCAGCGTCCATTTTGGATTTTTGCCAATTTGACCCATTTGGGAATGGATTTCGGACTGGGACTTTTTTGGGGTGATAATGTACGTCTAGACCGACCATAAAACGTGGTCGGCATTTCTATTGCAGCAACTGCCCGAAATGGTGCCAAATTGAGTTACAATGCCTGGACTAAAATCACTTCGAGATAAGCCACTGAAGCGTGTACATTCGCCGTATCGAGACCAACTTTCTGTACGGAAAATTGTGGGTGCACGGGTGACCCTAGTTATTACTGCCTGAGATTCTACTCGAGTAATATAATTGTTTAGCCTGTTTCATAAGCCAGTTAACCGTCATCTTCAATAGAAGGCTTGATCTCGCTTTAACTACGTACATCCATGTATAAAACTCGCAGTCGTTGCTTCAGGTACATGGTAAACCTTAACCTTAGCGAATTTATCATCACGGCGGACTGTCAGGTTACTTTTCCTCCGGATTCGCCCTGCCTGTTATGTTCATGCTTTGCCAAACGTATTTCATTACTGAAACATTTACTACCATGGCTTTAATAGATTTGGAATTTAGTGGAACCAAAGGCCACAATGTAACCTTTGTAGGCCTAATGGCAGCTTTCTGATCAGCAGTATTTAATGTGACCATGTCATAAAGTTTAGAATTGCTAATTCAGTAACCGCGATTTAAATTTTCTGTATCCTTATTGTCTCTGTAACTGGATCAAGTTTCTCTATAATGGCCATGCATGTAAAAAAACATTCACAATTGGAGATCAAAATAAGTAATGAAATGAAATGAAATGGGGTTTAACGTCCTACAGTTCTGCTCCGAACTGGGCTAATGAAGACGAGCATACGCCATACAGTTTGCTATGAGGGAAATTTTGCCCTGACAGCGGCACTACGGCCTACTCTTATATTGAATTCCAACTGACAAGGGATCTTTTACGCGCACACCAATGTGTACAAGGGGCCTCGGTTTTTTGTCCCATCCGAACGACTAGACAGCTGTCCTTGTCAGGCCCTCCGTCCTGCATCACTGACAAGGGGAGATCGAAATAAGAGTAGGCTGTTGCGCAAAAATCCCTTCATAGCACACTGCATGGCGTATGACCGTGTTCATTAGCTGAATCCGTGCAGAAAAGTCGGATATATTCATCCTCACTTGTGAACTGAATAAAAACACCAGCAAGAATTTTGTATCCTAAGCCTTTAACAGCAAAAATACCTGCCTATACATTTATATCAAGAATAAAACTCTTTCGGTAACAAAATACAATACTGGGTAACAGGGCAAAAAACAAGAGAATATTTCCACACTCACTAATGATAAATTTTATTGAAGCATGAAGACAGTCTAGATTACAATCATTTTCCACTTGCAAAAATAAATCCACATACAAGTATAATTTAAATTCAGAAAAAGGAAAATAATATCTAACAGAGAGAGAGAGAGAAATGGGGTTTAACGTCCACTCGACACAAACTAGGTCATTTCGGGACTAACATATGGTTTAATTTTATTTACATAATTCGCTTGCGCGTAGGGGTCTTTAGCAGTGGGAGGAAACCGGAGGACCCGGAGAAAACCCACGAGGTTGGAATATCTAACAGTGATCTAATCATTTAATACAATTAGGCAAAACCCTTATATGATTTGTTTAGACATCAATTACCCACTTTCCAAGTTATATTCTGAAATGATATTTGTTTACTGAGAACTTACATCACTTTCCATGCATCTCTATCAAACAGTGTAAAATTTGTTTACATGGAATAAGGTATCATTTGTAGTCCATTTGTAGTACACACTGTTCTATTTCTTTGTTTATCAGAGTTTAAGGCACGTTTTATTATAAAGTGTATCCGTAGGTATCAAACAAATGTATTGGTTTTTTAGAAAAAGGAAAAAGAGTTTTGAAATATTTTTCTTATCTTCAAAACCAGCATATATTATTGAACATATAAAATACTTAAAACCAGGTTTATTGATATATTTTTTGATAAAAATAAATTACAAATATTTTAATAAATTACATGTACATCATTTAAGACAGATACTTTTTACCAAGATTTTAGAATGCTTTGAAATAACATTTGTTTTAGAATTTTTAATTAGTTTTTGCATAATTATATTGGTTAGAGTGCCTTCTTTAAAACAGACTTAAAAATATACTGATGAGAAAAATAAAAGATCTGAAAACTGAATTGTTCAAACCCCAGTGAAAATTTGACTGATCTGTCCATCCACTACATTAATCAAGTGGTCTTATATTTGTCTTAACTTTGTATTTTTATGTCACATAGAATTAATTTGTCCCTTTCGGGAATGGCTGTATTTGTTTTATTGTATGCCATTTAAACATTGCAGGAAAATGGTTTTAAAAATCAATGTGTGTCTGTCCAGTTTTCGTGAAACATTAGCGTTATTTTAATATTTCGTTTTGGCTCATGCAAGATGGCTGCAAATTCTTTTCACTACCAGAAAAGACGTGATTTTTTTGTTCTCTACACCATCTAACCAAATGTTTAAGTGCAATTCTGAAGCGGAAAGGAGTATTTTATTATGTGTTATATAAGTGTTATGTTTTTATAAGATTTCTATGTTCAAAATGGAAGAAATTGGAGAGAATTTAGTGAAAGTGATCAAAGTCAAATAGAACCAACAAAAGGAAAGGAAGAATGGTGCCAAAATGACAATCACAAACCTGAATGTGAAATCGATAGTAAAGTTAACAATAACAGCAGATCTACTAAAAATAGCAAGAGACAAAACTGTCTATTTGCTCAGAATATATCACAAGTGAAGACTTTGGCTGATACTCCAATCTTTCATAATCAATTAATAAAAGTTGGAAATGGCTGGTTTCACAAAGTACATGTATGTGATGTTGAATGGCTTGTGCCAACAAATGATATTTCGGTGTGGCTCAAATTCACAAAAGAAGTGTGTGAGAAAGATCTCACTATTATTACAGAAATTGAGGGGGAGAAAATGTTCAAACAATTACACGTGTTTGAGAGTAATGGAGATAAATTTGTTTTCATAACCTTTTATCTAACATGAACTGTTCTTTGTCTTCCACTGGAAAAATGTGTATCGTGGAGAGGTAAGTATTTTAGAGATATCCGAGATTTAGTAGGCATATACATTAAACTAAAGATAGGTTGCCAGGCAACGAAAAACATACACCCACAGAGTTGTCGCATATTTTTATTTTTCGGTAATTAAACATTTATAATACACTAAAATCTGATTAAGAGTGACAACCCATTAAGTAATTATCAGAAAATCATTAGAATTCGTTTGGTTTTTATAAAGTTCTGCCCTATGCTAACGTTTAGTATATGAAACATTTAATATCATGGATTTAGCTGTTCAAGTTATCAAAATTCATTGAAAATCAATATACTTGTTCGTCTCAAGACCTTAAACTCTGTGTATTAATCTTTAGTCGGACTGACCCACGGACTGGGGCGAAGACAATATACGACCACATTTCAATGTGGGTGTATAAAAAGTGAAGCATCTGCTACAAAAAGTGAAGATTCTATTACTATATGTACGACAACAACAACAGATACCAACCTGGAGAGGAGTCAACATAGGCCCAGCCTGTTCTCCATTCCATTTTCAAATGAAATAAAATATTGTTTACAAAAAACCCCAAAACAACCAGATACCAACATTCCTATACCAGTTCATGCAGATAGCAATGTTTCAGTGGACCATCAGAGCCGATTGTACAAAAAAGTGGTGTAGCTAGAAAAGGAGGTCTCATTTCTACAATATTCATTCCAAATAATAGAGAGAACTGTAGCCAACTTAAATCATCGAAAAAATCACCGATAATGTGATTGTGTTGTATTAAGTGACTTTATTGTATTTGTCGATAAAAATAGGTCACAAAGCAAATTGTCACAAATGGTCAGTTACAAGGATACTTGCATTACTGATGACTGATATAGTAATATCTACTCGAAATTTACCTTATCATTCCATTCCAGAAGACCAACTTTCAGTTCAATATTACAAAGAAATTACAATAAATACATGGTGTTTGCTTAATGCAGACTATCTGATTGAGCCAATTGATGTTATTGGTTGCTTAAAAGATCCACATTTAATACAGAGGGGATCACGCATCCATTACCAGTTTGAACCCTTAAGTTTGATGTGACGCGCCTGGTGTTAATCAGTCGTAAGATTGCAATTTGAATCAAGAGATGGATAAATAGGTTTTATTCATTTATTGGCATGAAAATGCTGTAGATGCTACAGACCCCTACGTGCAAGCAAATGATTGAAATAAAATTGTACCATATTATGTTAGTCCCAAAATGCCTCAGACAAATGTCGATCAAGGTAGAGAGAGTCTATACAAGAGACCACTTATGACTGAGAAATGGACTTGGAAACTTTTTTGGGAGGAGACCCCTGCCCCAGGCTCTGCAGTCAGTCACACCTGATTAGGGGGACACAAACACCCTCGATCATTTTTCTGCACACACCCCTGATTTTCTTTAATTAACAGAGAGTTTTAAGGCCCATTTGTATATATAGTTGAACATTTGAAACTGTTAAAATGGCCACATATGAATCCAAATAGCATTCAGGTATTACATGGAAATATTGTACATTATTTATCATTTCACAATATTTTGCGTGCCATGTAAAATTTCATTAGTTCTATTGTATGTTTTTTTTTTATTTATGCCTTCGTAGTTCAAACTGTTTTGATTGTACAAAAAGTCTGTCCATCGGTAACATTAGTACATGCTTTTAAAATACTGTTTTAACATAATTCAAGTATATTCTACCTATTCTAGAGATTGCTATTTATATGAATTTTAATGTGGACCATTTGCATTTGATATAATTTCATCTAGAGTGATACTAATTTAAAAATTCTCAGTATGTTAGGCATAATATTCAATAAAAGTTTTTTTTTAAAAATATATTTTGGAAGAATAGGTATCAGTGATTTTGTAAGAGGAATAGGAATTTCATAATTCAGTTTGGATCGGGAACCTATGGTACACTTTTTAATGAAACATGACTTAAAGTACACTTTGAAAGTATACAGTTATCACAAATTTGTGTTTAAATTTTACACATCATTTCATTCATGAAAATTCCTGCCAAATTTGGAAGTTGTATCATGAGTACTTCAACAATATCAGCTTGATATAAATGGAGGTGCGACAGATTGTTTTCATAACCATCTATACAATAGATGCCAAATATCTACACAAATAACTTTACTTTGGTGCAAATTGGTGACAACTGATGTTCTGGGAATTTGATTTTGTGTATTTTAAAGTAAAAAATATTTATTTTATAATCTCTATAAATTATTATTATCAGTATCTCAGTCCAGTTCAAAGCTTAAGATGTCTAGTTTGTTTGCAAGATATTGATGATAAACATACAAGTTAAATCCACAGATAAATTGATTGGTTAAGATACAATGGATTAATATGAAGCTAATATTGTAACTAGATGTACAACATATGTCACTCAGTTTCACCTGATTATATGCGAAGTCAACTAATAATTAGCCAACGTGTTGAGATGTAATCTATTTTTAGTGATTAGTGTGCAAATTTTATAACTGTGACCATAGTATGTGTGCAAGTTGTTTGTACAAATGTAAAATTGAATTTGTTTTACGATAATTTTTGCACAGCTTATCTCTCATGCCTAATAAAACTTATTGACAATCAGAATGTTTTAAAACCATAAAAAAAAATAAGTAAGATTGTATAAAAATTTACGACCGTATCAGAGAACCAGAATATTTGTGCACACATTAATTTCATCTGTGTGTTCAGAGGATGTTGATCTTGAGACAGACTACCACTGAAAGCTTGAATGTTTCCCATTACAATTCTTGCAAAATTAAAACATCTACAAGTAATTATTGAAGGAGAAAGTGACATAAAACTGTTTATAGTACTTTTGATTCTGCAAATTGTTGTTGTCCTGGACATGTGCTCAACTTTGCTTAAACTGAAATAGAAATTTAAGGGCTTTTATAAATTGGAAATGCTAAAAAGGACAGGGATAGCTAGTAATAAGTATAATTAAAATCATACCAAATACTTATTCTGTTTTACTTTTCATCTATTTACACCACTTAATATTTAAAGATACATTATGGGAGATTTTAATAGAGAGTTGGCCATTCTTGCTATAACAGTTCAAAAATAGATAATGAAAGAAGAATATAAAAAAAATTTCAGTCAAATTACTTTATTCTGAACAAAGTTATCACCATTGTAATTTTTGACTAGAAATAGGAGTCAACTCTCTCTTCACTGTCTCTGAGAATGGCCCGTCGTTTGACAGGCGTTAACTCCACCTACATAATCTTGATTATCAAGTAACGTTTTCAATGGCTGTGGTACCGTTAGCCTATTCAGTTTGAGATGGAGTTGCAATTCAATTCGTATCACATTTATTTTTACTACAAATTAAAAATAAGACTTTTAATATATAGATAAGAAGCGAAAGTTTGAAAGGAATGGACCAAATCAATGAGGCATAATTATAGCCGACTTCTTGTTAGCCTGCTTGTACTCATGTACTGTAACTGGTAGGCCTACGTAACTCCCGAAGCAGACAAATAGGAAACAGTGATCCAATGGGGCTGCAATTCAACTGGGGTGATGTTAGCTGCGATGTTTATCAATTTCCATAATTTTTATAAACGCAAGTGACAAAAGAGCGTATAATACCGACATCCACTCTCTCATTTTAACCAGAACTAAACATAATATCAAGGCCGTATATATCGAACTTTCAATCAAATTGACTAACATGCGGCCTCGATCTAAAATTTCCGGGCGTATGAAGTCAACTTAACGGTTAATCTCAGCTTACGACGCCATTTAAAAATTTAATCAATCAATGAAATCCTGTTTTAATCCAAGCCATTCGTGAGTCTACAGAGTTGATTTTGTGCTTGTTGTGTAAATAAAGATCTAATTTATAATTTCTATGACATCTGAAGCCTAAAAAAAGACTTGCAATAATCAGATTTAGCTCTTGCATAATGTATGTTTAATATTGGTGTAAAGACCTTTTGTATATGATGTGTTTAGTAATGCTCAGATCTGATTAGTCGACTACAGAGATCAACCTCTTTATCAAAATCCATGCTACAGAAAATCTGTGAAACTTTAGAAACACTTTGATGGCTGCCAGATCAAGTTCAGACTATGATGCCTTCACCGTACAGAACAAAATAACATCCAGTTTAATTAGATTTAGAGAAACATTGAAAAGTAACTAAGCAAATGCCCAGAGTAGCTATGATCTCTAAATATTTTGATAACTGATCTTATTGTTAATACATGTAGTTAAAGCTTTTATATAGTTTATATTCAAGTTACTAAATAACATTTGGGGGGTCGGATGGCCGAACAGGTAGCGTGTGTGCGCTATATCATAATGTCTGTCACTGAGTCAACTGGTGTGGTTTCGATTTCCCGGTTGTACGTGACAAGGAGTAGTGTCATCTCTCCAACCTTGTGGGTTTTCTCCGTGTCCACCCATTTCCCAACCACTGCTAAAGATCCCCACATGCACTCGAATTATTGAAATAAAATTGAACCTTATGTTAGTTCCAAAATGACATAGTTTGTGTGGAGTGGATATTAAACCTCATTTCTCCCCCTCTCTCTAAATAACATTTAAAAATCTACCTTTGAGGACACAAAATAACAAAACTTTAGGTGAAGTTTCTGCTGTCATATTTAGTTAATTGTCCAGCTCTATCAAAAAAAATAAATGATATCAGATTAAATCTATTTGTGCACAGTTTCATCAAATATTTTTAGTTTTCTCCCTGCAGATTTATCGATATATAATAGATATAAGCTTCTAGAACAAGTCAATCAAATATAGCCCTGGGTCATGACATGACTACCCACAAGTCATATATTTAATTAAGAAGTTGAAGTTGGCCCTACATGCAATTATGAAATAATTTGGGTGTGTCTGTATCGCCTACAGGCCACAATTCTTAACAGATCCTCTTGAAACTTTGCATACCTATTCCTTATACCCTAAGGATGATATTTATTGTTTCTGATGAAATGCCCAAACCCCAGGACAGAAACTATTGAATTTGTTGCATGTCACGACCCCTAGGAGCAGATCCACGCGCAATGGATCATCATGGAACTTGGCATATGTATTCCTTATAGCCTAAGGATGCCAATTATTGATTTTGGTGCATGTCCCGAACCGGAGGGGCAGAACAAGGCTCAAATGGATTATCTTGGAAGTTGGTTTTGTTCCATGATCCGACCCCTTTGGACATTGCCAAACCCACTGTTTTGTTAATATTTTGTCTGTAAATACTCTACAGATTGCAATTATTAACAGATTTTGTTCCATGATCTATCCTAGGGTTGTACCTATTTATATTAGTCCATGTCCAAACTCCCAGGGGCAGAGCCATGGTCAATTTTTGGGTTTTTTGTCTACAGGCTGGAATTCTGAATGGATCATCCTGGAACTTGGTATATTTATTCCTTATAGCGTAAGGACAGCAACTATTTATTTTGGTGCATGCCCTGACCCCCAGTAGTGGTGTCTCATCCACTTTTTTGTTAATATTTAGCCTGTAAATGTAGCAAAACAAACCCAACAACTAGCCTTGTTTGCCTCTTGTCACATTACAGTTGTTGCAGCCATTTCATATTTCCCTCTCTTCATTTTAAAAAGTACCATATCAATCAAAGCAGGAATGTGGAAGTATAGTGCAGAGTTAGCGTTACTCTATTTTAAATTTTTTTTTTTGGGGGGGGGGGGGGGCTTACCTTCAGTCCACATTTGCTTGTAAATAAACTCTTTTTTTTATCAGCTCCATTCAACTTACCAAATATGCACCTAAAATTATAAATAAATTATACTAATGATTTAAAAGTTAAGATGAAACCAGTAATTCCATTGAACAGAAAATTAAATTCTTGATATCCAAAAGGAAATATTCAGAAACTTAAAATTCATAAATCAATGTTGATCACACTAGACCGATAGTAGACAAACAGACCAGTGGGAAATTTATAAACCGATAAAAATAAATTAAGTAGTCAACACATGTATATCGAAAACAAAATTGTCTGCTTTTGTCTTACTGAATAATTCTAATGTGCGAAAAAAATAATTTAAATTTGAAAAAAATTATGTTTGGGACCAGCCACTGTGTTTTTATGTGACAGATTCAGTCGAAAAGGTTATTACAAGTTTCAAATTAAATCTAGATAAAAAAATATCACCAAAAATATTGAGATTACTATTAAATTTTCTAGTTTTTTAGTAATTACACATTTCTGTTGAACAATATTATGTTTCTGAAACTTGGCACATTTTCTTTTATTATGGCAATTTCACTGTTTCTTTTTGTCTTGAAAACTAATATTCTGGTGCTGTTTCATATAAATGTATTCAACCTCATATTTTCCTCCTTAAAATACTTTAGAACAGAGTCTGTCACATGAGCTATACTAATCACGACGCAACAACAAAAGACAGTTTACCAGGCAATGAAACATGGCCACAGCAGTTAAGTCAAGCAAGCCATCCATAAAGTGTGTCATATTTTTATTCTTTTGCATTCACAAGACACTAAAAAGTCATCTAAGTCAACAACACATGAAATAATCAAAAGAAATAATTTGATAGGTTTCTAATTTTTCTGTCAACAGACAAGAACTTTAGGTGTTTAGTTCAAAATGCTTCTTCGACTTAATTATTAAACATACATTATGCAAGAGCTAAATCTGCCAATTGCAGGTCTTTCTTTAGGCCTGAAATGTTATCTAAATTATTAATTAGACATTAACTTATTCAGACCATAATCAACTCTCGATGGCATCCGCATCGCTAGCCATTATATTTACTGGATTAGAACCAGGTCTGCTGCTTCTGATTAAATCAAAAAAGGACAATCGAGACTATGATTTTTTTTATCGTACCAACTTTAGTAATGATGATCGAGGCTAGACCCAAAATTCAATCGCTAAATACTCGGTTCAAGGTGGATCAATTTGACTGAAAGTTTCAGGAAATTCCCTTTATATTATCTAGTTTTTAACTATTATTATAGTGAGAACTACCAGCTCTTTATCTAATCTCCCATAATGTATCTTTAACAGTGCATTAATTCCACGTCAATCACAAGATAACTTTAATCTATAACTGATACAAAAGAAATTAATGGACGGATAGACAGACAGGGGTGACAACAATATACAACCACATTTCAATATGAGTGAACAAAAATACGGCAAGAAATTTAAAGTTAAAACCAATCATCAGCTTCAATATTAAAATAAGTCATCAAGTATTTCTGTCTACATACAACAATGTTACCTTTGAGATATAAATCATGTCTTGGCAGTTTGTCGTCCTGGTTTTGTCTCTTGTCTGCTTCAGTGTAGCAAGTCAGCAACAATTAATCTATATATCGTCCTTGTCAATCAATAGATGGCTTCGTACAGTAATGATATATTATACACAAGACACAATACTAAGGAATACAATCACTGTTTATTACTGAGTATTGTTTCAATTAGGGTGTCTCTAGTTTTCATCAAGCAATGATAAAGACTAGAGAAGCCTAGTTGAAATGTCAATTAGTAATAAACAGTGATTGTATTCCATAGTATTGTGACCAGTATATTCCAGTTCAATTACTAATAAACAGTAATTAGATTCCATAGAATTGTCCAGTTTAATTACTTATAAACAGTAATTGTATTCCATAGAATTATGATAAGTATATTTCAGTTTAATTACTAATAAACAGTAAATGTATTCCATAGTACTGTGACCAGTATATTCCAGTTCAATTACTTATAAACAGTAATTAGATTCCATAGAATTGTCCAGTTTAATTACTTATAAACAGTAATTGTATTCCATAGAATTATGATAAGTATATTTCAGTTTAATTACTAATAAACAGTAAATGTATTCCATAGTACTGTGACCAGTATATTTCAGTTTAATTACTAATAAACAGTAATTAGATTCCATAGAATTGTCCAGTTTAATAACTTATAAACAGTAATTGTATTCCATAGATTTATGATAAATATATTCCAGTTTAATTACTAATAAACAGTAAATGTATTCCATAGTACTGTGACCAGTATATTCCAGTTCAATTATTAAATGCCATTGAAACATTTTATGATGTAGAGTTTAAATTAATGAAACATCGCTGTTGAAAGCTCATAAATGTTTGTCAGCTCTGTGAAAATGGCATCACTATTTAATAATAATAATGAATCAATGCTTTACATTTATGTCTTGTCAAAACTTTAATTAAGATTTGTTTCAAATTCATCAAACTACATTCTCCCAACCTACCCTATTTAATCTGTCATGGCCACTACTGGATCAAAAGGTTATGGGCAAATATAGCATTTGCCATAGAACAAAACTGACATGAGCTTTCAATATGGCATGCGGAAACATGGCATTTGTATGTTTTTATCTTTATTTTAAACGAAATCTATGCCCATTGATAATCCAATTGAAGCATATTCCATGTGCCTGATTAATACAGGTAACATCAGTTACCCGTTAAGTCAAAATATAGGGCTTTTGCATTTAATTGTCAAAAGGACATTAGTGAATACAGCCTTGATTACCCAGCAAATATTTATAATTAAATGTCAACACTAATTCTTTTGAGGGAAGAAGAAATCTTTTGAAACCCTATTTACCTGGTACCAATAAAATATGTCAAGGATGTAAAATCTGCAATGCCAATTAAACAAAAGAATATTCATATTCATCTGCACAACACACTGGAGCCATTACATTAAAAATGTAGTTATTACATTACCATTACCTTTTAATGTAATCATTACAATTACTTTATTGTTTTTATCCAGGTACTTAATTACCATTGACCAATACATTGAAAGTAATTAATTCCCATTACTCAATGACTATATAAATAACAATATTTTTTCAATATTCTTAATTAATCCAAATAGTTTATCTATAAACCTTGTATATAAGAGGTAACTTATTCAGCATGAATGTGAAACAAAGTACAAAAAGGTAACCATAAAATGATGGGCATACTTGACTTGAAAGCCAATAGAAAGAATGGATTGTTTGGTGACCCTGATGTCAAATTAATGCCTAATGATTGATTGATTGCTAATTAGGAGTAACAATCTTTCAATCAAGAAAAGAGGGTATAATAAAAATTAAACGGACAAGTTATTTTGTCTATTGGAAAGGTTCTTTTTACTCCTAAAGTTTTGGAGATTTTTTTCCGTTAATTTATTTCTTTGATGCTAAAATGTAATTGACCACTGCATGTAATTTATTACATTTCCATTACTCATATAACTTTTAAAATATTACTCATTACATGACCATTACTTAAAACATGTAATGATTACACTCTATTAACATTACTACAGCTCTGGTGCACAAAGGAGAATTTTAAAATGTTTGTCTGTATAATTTAAGGTCCATGTTCAATCATAATGTACTATATTGCACTGGAATCACTAAGTTGATTTCTACTGTAATGATAATGTTTAATTTACACTACAGAACTGTGGTCAGGCCAGCTACAGGTAAAACAAAGATCCACATATATATACAGTTATTACTGCACTAATAGTGAGTTATTTGAAGAATGACAATTTGTAGGCTGTAAGGCATTAAACTGTTCTAAGGATATGCTTATACTTTTCAGCATTAATATCTTATATACAGTGTACACTTACAAATACCTGGGTTAAACAGACTCTAGCTAGATAATGTGCTTATATCAACTCATTTGTGACAGTATGAACAACATGTCATTACATCTCTCCTAATTTAATAAAACTTCTCAAAAGAAGAGCTGATATAAAGGGTTTCCAAAAATATAGGTTCAATATATGAGTTTGTAAATGATCCTTGAGTCTCAGCTTATTAGGAACAAATGAATCTGAACTCATTAACATTTCCTAATATTGACTGAAATAGGAGCGAGCTGATTAATACCGTTGACAGTTCATTTTCAATTCCCATTAAACCATATTCATAAATTAGTCAGAATAAGAAGTCACATGATAAATTATAACAATGATTATTAGAATGTTCTATATTTATCTTAATATAAAACCTGATAATAATACAGATCATGAAATAACAATGTCTTTTGAGTGAGCGTCCAAGTAACTACATATAAGTTATTATGGTATTTATGGTTTATTTCAGAGACAAAAAATAATGATTAACTACAAAATGGATATGATAGTAATTAGTATTAACTTAATATTGACAAATCATAGAATCATTTGTATAAATTCACTTTTAGAACTTAATGTAAACAAGTACAGTATTAGATATCAATTAATAAAAATCAAGAATTTAAAATGTCCATTTTTACGTGTTTAACTATACACAAGGAAATAACAAATTGTCACAATTTATAGATCCATAAGATTTAAATAAAAACATCTTTAGTGTCTGGTCAATTTTAAAAAGAAGATTCAGTCTTCACTAGTATATGTATCTTTTACAGTATCATGTCAGTCATGTGACGTCACGTACATCAACTGGCAGTTTATATCTTGTCTGTTCTGTGATGTCAGTGTGTCATATTCTTTCCGTCCGTAATCTGCGTCTGACTGTAATAAAACACATCCTTTTTAATAATATCATCAAAAGTACAATGGTTCATCATTAAAAAGACATTTTACACAAGAAATTATATTCCAATTCCAAAACTATTAAGACTTTTTGGTTGAATATTTTTTTTCCTTTATAAAATGTCTCTTTAACCTTGTATTCCTTTGACAATTGGAACTGTAAATATATTAAAAACAAAGAATAAATTTTGATTTTCTCATAACTGCTACTTCTATTTACTAAGTCAAAGATCTTGTGTCTCATCTTTACAAGACAATGTCACAAAGTATCAAGCTGTGTACGGGTTTTGCTGCATTTCTCAAAATCGTAAGCCTAATATAATATGGTAGATAAGGGATCCTTGTTACTTGTAGCCTAATAAACCCATATGGACTGTGAGTTTACGTTTCCAGTTCATTGGACATATTAACATAGAAGTAGGCGTGTCAGGTTTCTCTATTACTCTATTTGCCCAACAGCAGCAATGTCGTCCATTCAATTAAATTCCACAGACCAAGTCTTAAAAATATATCTATTATAAACATTAAGTTTTAAAGGTAAAAATAACTGAAAAATGCATTCAAACTTCATTAATTTTTCTCTATACCCAATCAAGTTCAAAAAAATTTCATTGAAAATCTCCTGTATCACAGTCCATTATTTCATGAATTTGAAAGTAAATACAGGAAGGGAGAACTCTGTAATATCTCACTGAATTAATCTTAATTTCATTAGGGTTCGTTACTTTATTCTTGTGGCCACGATATCAACAACAATCCCACCACGTTTGCTCAAGAGCTTTTTCAGTTAACACATGAATTGAAAGATAACTCAGAAAAACACCTACAAAATTTACAATCAGAAAAATTAGATAATAGGATTTTCTTTTATGCCACAATGAATAATCAATTTTGACAATGTTCTTCTGGGAAATTTGGTGTGTATCTTGTTCACAAGATTTCTTGAATTTAAACGTAAACAGTTGGATGATATTTCGATATGATTTGTCTTTACGCCCAAAATAAACAATAAGATCAAGTTATAAAATTGGAATCCTCCATACCACCATATAAACATTCCATCAAGAACTACTTGTTCAAAAAGCTGCAACAGGCCCCCACCTGAATGTCTTTTCAGGGAGGGGAGAGGCAGCCCTCCACAATCAAAAATAACATACTGGGTAAAACCTATTTATCATTTTCAGTTGACAAATTTTTGTGTGACAAACGGGAAAAGCAAAATATATTTCATATATTAGATTTTTTTAATTTTTATATGGACTCTCTTGTTCAACCTGGTCATACTAGGTTTCAATAACATGTGTTTACATCATCTTTTAAATTCAATGTTTCTTGTCCAAAACTATAATGCTAATGTGATCAATTTCATTACTTTAGAGCTTGTCAATATTTCATTCAGAAGACAGATTTAACATCAATACAAGGAATGAAGATTGTCAAACTCATCAACATCATCTATTATAAACTACCCATACATACACAAAACTCACCTTTCTTATACATATTTTTTTAATATCTTGCTTTTTTATTGATAAAATCATCTCCCTCTCCTGATTTTGGAGGTTCAGCTTCCAAAACTTTAACTCTTTGTCCAGCCAGATTTTGACCATGTAAATTCTGAATAGCTCTCATTGCATTTTCCTTTTTGGCATATTTAGCATAGCCATAATTTCTACCTATAAAACAGAAAATTGTAATGGTTTTAACAAATATTCTATTAAACATACATTATGCAAGAGCTAAATCTGCCTATTGCAGGTCTTTCTTTAGGCCTGAAATGTTATCTTAATTATTAATTAGACATTAATAAAATTATCCAGACGGCTAGTGATGACATCGACAGTTGATTATTGTCTGGACCAGACCATAATCAACTCTCGATGTCATCGCTAGCCTGCGATGTTTATTGGATTAGGTTACGATTCGCTGTTTGACTTCCGTTCCATTCATGATTTAATGATGAAATGGATAATCGAGACTATGTTTTTTATCGTACCGACTTTAGTAATGATGATCGAGCATAGCCCGAAAATTCAATCGCTAAAATTTTGGTTCAGAGTGGAACAATTTGACTGAAATGTTCAGCAAATTCCCTTTACATCATCTAGTTTTTAACTATTATAGAGACAACTGCCAGCTCTTTATCTAATCTCCCATAATCTATCTTTAAAAAATGAAAAGTTTGAAAAAATCAAAGAAAATCATTTAAACTATTCGTAATTCCTCATTTCACAATACAGGCTTTTAATGACATCAATATTATTGTCTTTTTAATTTAATTTAAAAGTTAATATTACCTGCCAGGAGATAAACATCAATCAGGTTACCAAATCGACAGAAAGCATCTCGTAAAACTCGTTCTGTAACAGCTGCTGGCTGACATACTATGAATAATCTTTGTGCTACTGGTGTGTCTTCGGTACGTAATGGTTGAGGTAAAGGAAGGGGTATATTACAATATTGTACCCTTTCTCTACTATCATCACCACCTCCACCTCCTAATCCACTCATCTGAAGCAATGAACCAATTAATTAATGAATTAGTAACAATAAATCAAATATTCAAGACTAGATTTTTTTCTGGATTTAATGATAAACCAACATTAACCTATCCAACAAAATCTTGAGGAGTTCACAAAACTAAAAGCTGGTGGATTTACTTTTGTATTGTTTTAATTAATGTTTATAGATGTTTTATATAACCTACCCTATCATCAATGGCATATCTGTCATTTCTGAAATAAATATAATATTCATGAATTTCAATCTACATAAATATCTACATTTTTTTGCACCAATAGTAAATGAACAAGAGACAAGTTGTAGAACAGGAGACAAAGCCTAACACTGTGTTTAGGATCAGGACTGTGTTATAGAAAAAACCCTGTGCATAATATCTGTTTATATCATAAATGTCTTTAATGATAAAAAAAAACAACTGAAATTTCACACGTTTTTTTTTTTGAGAACTCTCATTCAAAAATATGAACCTAAATGGTTAGATAACTCCACTAGGGGTCCACCTTATAAGCAAATTTGATAAAAGATCTGTAAAAAACTTGAAGAGCAGTCACAAGAAATTGTGGTCAGATGACAATATATATCCACATTAAACGTGGGTTTATTCAAACAACAATCAAACAATCAAGTAAATATATTACCCTTGAAACATGCCTGCCATTCCTCCTCCTCCTCCTCGACTACTACCATAATCTGACCCTTCTTCTGGATAGCGCACCATCAATCGACTACCAATTGGATATTCAAAACCATCTAATTTATCTCGAGCATATGCAGCACATTGTGAATTTGAATAACGCACATGGGCTACTCCTTCAAAAAATATTTTAAACATAGGTTTATTTATGAGTAAACAACATGAAATTATTTTAATATCAGATAAATGGTATCCAGTAAATTACAGACATGTATTTATCTATAAACCAAATCATATGTGAAAGATATTCCTTTAATGGTAGTATAACTCAATTAAAAGGTCACATGAAAAGATAAATTCCTGTATGAATTTGTATTTATTTTTGGTAAATGTAAACAAAGAGAGCGGGGATCCTTCAGGACTAAGTCTTATCGTTGAGCCATCCATTGCGAAAGTTCTTAAAAGTGTCAAACACGTTTTGAGTCAAATACTTTCCAGATGACATATTTTGGTAATTATATTAGAATTGAGCCAATACTGACTATCTCTTACTTCTAATCTAGTTTATTCCAGCATTAAGTATATCATTTTCTGTCACAATGTGTATTATACTGATATTAGCATCAATTTGTGATGGGTATCATGCATAAGGTAGGGTATAGTATGTTTGATATAACTTCCATTTGTCAGTATCTTAAACAGAGGGGTTCTGTCATGTGGTAGATTTATATTCATTTTGACATTAGGTTTATTCTGTCTGTTGTGTTTTGCTGGGCATTTATTCTGCAGTCTTTAAACAATAGCAATAGAAATACAAGATAACTATCAATTACATCATATTGTTATCAAGGACACTGGATAGGATCTAATACACAAGAACTGCACAACAAAACAGAGACAACAGATGATCAAAGCACAAATACTAATTAAATATAATACACATATTTTATATCATAAATAATGTACCTGTAACTTCATTGAGGTCACAGTACTCTAACCCTGGTACGAGGTTAGTTAGTTTTGCCAGATATGAGTTACTGAGACCAGGTGCCGTAATAATCTGTAATCTAGTTTGATGACTAGCTGTTGGGTAGGATTGTAACATGTCCATAATATCTCCTCCTCTAGGTCCTAAATAAAATAAACAAGACAATGTCAACTCATCAGAGGTAATTGCTTTTCAAATAGACGATCTGTTAATATAGGCAACAAAGCATATGCCCAAATTATTCATTCCTTACAGAAGCATACAAGACAATGGTCAAGGGCAACTTGTGAAATTGACAAGAAATCAAAGTACAACGTTAACTTTAGCTGATCGAGTTATTAAAAATTATTTAAATTTAATAGGCTTTTTCGTATGATGAACATAAACACTGTCTGTAAATAGGATTATAACTTTAACCACTAGAGAGCATCAACCAGATTTTTCTAAGTGAATAAGGCCATAACGTCAACAGTAATTATATGAAATTAAAGACTGTATAAATTCCAAGTCTGTAGCGTTCACAAGCAATCGTGAATGACAGAAGAACATTTCGATGTGGGACATGTATAAAAATAATCTTGACAGTGGTCTAAAATTAAAGTGCCATGACATTTATATAGGTAAATTTAACTATTTTGTATCAAGTTTGTAATTAATGTGGTTTGAAAACCTCACAAGCATTTTAAGGGATAATAAATTCATTCAATCATGTCATTATAAAACAAGTCATTGTTGCATGATAAAAGGATATAAAGCAGTTCAAATTGTTGCATTTATGGAAAGAATATTTCAAAGATTATAACAAAAGAAAGGTCAAAATATAAGTTCAACTAATGACTCTTAAACATTGACTAAATATTAACTTATTTCTAAAAAATAATTTTTTTTTGGTACCAACTGAGCTTGTTTTATTTTGAACAAATTAAGAATCAAAGTATTATCTTATTAGACCTAAATATTAAAACACTCAACCACAAACAATTATTATATAATTTGAACAAGTGACTATGAAATGTAATATAATTGTTCCTTTAAATTTAATAAACATTTCATTGTGTAGATTTCAGAAAATGAAGTAGATAATGTATACGTTATATATACCTGATTGCCTTTGATTGGATTCATGCATAAAACCATATCCCAATTCTTCATCAAACCCTCTTTTCATACCTGAAAATTCATGAAGTAGGATACTTTCTAGATATTTCATATTTATAGATGATAGCATTTCTGAATTTATTTCTTGTATTTCAAATGCTAACCATTTATTTGTTGCAATAAAAAAAAGATAGTGACATTTTACAATCGTAAGTCCAGTTCTAAGTGCACACATATGTAACTTTCAAATATGTTAAATACTTCTACTCGACATCCACATCAACTATGGGCGTATAAAATTAGAGTTTTAAGGCAGTTACCCCTATTTCTTGGTGATCTGTCCATCATAGAAGCTCCAAGATTACTACCACCTCCATATCTATCTGATGATCTATCACGACGCTGATCACCATAAAGCTCTCGATTTTCTCTTTCTGTTTTTGATTTTGGTGGATCAGCAAATTTTGGTTTAAAAGCTAACAAAACATAATGTAAACAGCTGAGAATAACCATCATATAAATGATAAATATAGGTTGCCTGACAACATACACTAAGTTGTATGAGCAGCCTTGTAATTTACAAGACAATGAAAAGTGATAAAGGATTCATCGGAAAGCATTAAAATTTGATAGGCTTCTTCCTGGTACTCATATCAACAAAACTTATAAATTCAATAATATGCTTGTAAACACAAGTTGAAGTGTATCTTTTCTTTGTGCACACATTTTCACGTTAGAGACTGACTTTGGAAAATCAATTTTTATAAATTTGCATATGGCTATTTACATGTCACCTTCGTTGTTAAGAACAGCAAGGTTCTTGTTTCAGCCATACATATACCAGTCTTGAATGAATGGCTGTGAAATTGACTGGCTGGAGAACTAATCTCTCAGTCAACTGTACATACCATAATATTAGCATATTAATTAAAAATAATTTAACTTTATAATACAATAAATACAGTTAAATTTATAGTTATTATGTGTAAAGAATAAAAGCATTAAAAAATACATTTTAATCAATGGGATAAATTTTCATACTATTTACTTGTTATAAGAAACTTGCATGCTGAAATAGATATCCCATCGCTAAAATATATTATACAGTAACAGATCTTAAATTCATCAAACTTTTCAAGTAATAAGTGTAGCCTATACTTACTGGGATTACAGCTTTCAAATGCAAGAGCTGCATGATATGGTCTCTTGTATTTTACATAACCAAAGCCCTTATTTTCTCCTGTATTACGATCTATGACAACATTACAAAATTCTATGTCACCAAATTGCTATTAATGAAAAAAAGGTTTGAAATTGAGTATGTTTATTAATAAATTGGATTTGTATGTGCAGGTGCTATTCAGGATTATAATTGTTTTGGTTAATGCAACATTAATGGTAATTGAGATATTTCATCTCACCAAACCAAACCTTTTATTTGGTCTGTGGGTTGGCAGAGTTACATTTCAACACTTTACAAAACAAATTACAATCTTATACCATACTGATATAACTAGGTTCCTGTTTTTTTAATCATATTCCCCAGCAAAAAAATATCTTTTTGTGAGAGGGTACTGTGGCTGGATGTTGCCTCAGATTCATTCTCTTCGCAACAAGAAATGAACATGCTTCAATAAACATTGTTTTCTTGCACGGAATCACAAATTAAATCAGTGCACAATTATTAATCCCACACTCCACTCCAATTTTGTTAGGTTAATTCTTATTATTGTAAATGGATGTTATAATTAGGTTACAATAATATGTATGCTTCAACATGATATGACATATTAAAATAACATTAACATAATCTTATAGCTTTGGTTACCTCAAACTCTTTTCGTAAATCGGCTTCTGTAAAAGTTTTGGGGATGAGAACAAAAAGTCGTAGAGTTTTTTCATCTTCTCTTGCATCTCTATTTGACCCTTCAGCTTTATTACTAGCCACAACAACCTTTCAAAGATTAAAAGATAATCTGTATCAATGGTAGGGGAATATAATATTATCAAATTCAGTACTTATTAATGGTTATGACATCCACTAATCTAATAGTTGAAAAATGTACGAATTGTCAGAGACACATACAACTTTGTAGGCAAATTAGCCTAATTTTTATTACGTCCAGATCCTTTTGGGACCTCAGCCTCATGTGCTAAGCAACCATTTTTATTTGGATTTAACTGAGGCTAGAAACAGCATCCATGAATATAATATTTGTGTACATGTAAGAGTTTCACAAGGTTAATATGAAAAGGAGAAATTCAATAGTATTTTACCCAAATTTTCAAACTCGAAAATTTCAAGCAAGATCACCCCTTACCCAAGGTTAGTTATTTCTTGAAGTATTTCAAAATGTTTATCTTTTTCAGTAGTTTCACTAATTTCAGCATTCGAGAAAAAAACTGGGTAGAGTTTTGGCACAATATACTTGAACTGTACTGTATAGACAGACCACTATAATGTGTACCTATATAAATTAAGTATAAAAAGTATCATAAAAGCGGCTTACTTTAAGTGTACCCTGATGATTATCAATTTTTCTCCCATTCAATTCTTCCATGGCTAAAGCTGCCTCTGAAGTTTTCTCCATCTTGACATAGACAACACCTACCACAACAAAAAGACAAATTAGGCTAATCATCAATACATTTAATAAACACAAAACCATAATATGGAACACAATTACTAATTTAGTTTAAGCAATGTTTCGTTGAGGGTTCTCTCAATGTTTTCAAGCAAACGTCGCTTTACTTAAAATAGTGATTGTGTTCCATATTATGGTTTTGTGTTTATTACGTATGTCAATTGCTAAATGCCGCTCAAAGAATAAGACTGATACATTTGTTTTATCATGCTCATACAATCAGAATCAAAAACTCATCATCAAATACAGTCAAGGCATTCACTATTCACCTAATAAACACCCACACCAAGTTTGAACATTCTATGTCAATTAAAAAGAAAGTTATTGTGTTCTAAAGTCTTAAATTAAATCATTTGCCACTAACTGGCCATTTTATTTAAATGTTTTACCCATATTCAAATTTTGTAAAGAAAACACAAGGTGGTGTAATGTGATGTGCAGTTTTTAGAGCTACAGCCTCCCTAGGAGTTCAGGTCACAAAATTTAACTTGAAAGCTTAAAAACATACAACAAACTTTTGTGTTATGCAATAGTATCTATTCCCGATCGCAGATTTATTTAACTGAAATGAAAAATGACTGTCATCAATTAGCTTATAATTGTGTTTCTACAGACAGAATGGTGAATATGTAACATTAAATAACATTGCCTGTACATGTATGTGTAAATTCTACAGTGAACATGCGATAAGATATTAAAATAGTGACCAGTGTTCATTTCTGATGTTTAAAGTAAAGTAGGCAATCATCAAAAATGCTATACAACAATAACATGTATAATAAGTATCGACTACATGTACAAGTTATGAAGACTTTTATTACATTGGCTCAGCTCTACTAATTTTAATAGTTTTCTGTTTTCTTCGAAATGTGGGGGGACAAATATAACAAGCGGTTGCCTTGGAAGTTATGCTCACATTTTGCAAGAGATTGACGGGAACAGGGAAAATCGCTAAGGCTCATCCTCCCATTGTCCAAATACTTCATATCAAATATAAACCCCCCCCCCATTAAAAACCGTAGTCTCTATCGCGTTTACAAGGTCTTCAGAAAAGAGGAGTAACTCTTGAACAGAAAACGTAATAATAATTTATTTTCCAGGAACTAATGCAGGGTCTACATGTATTTTTAATCATATTATTGTACTTTTATCTCATTTACAATGTTAGTCTTGGGAGGTGAAGGGAGATAACTTGACTGGTGAGACACTAACAATAGTAGTTCAGCTTTGAACGTAAGTTCTTGTTACACTCGCCCTGTAGGTTCAGGAACCAGCCTATTGACTCCTTGTCGAAAAGTTTTGAGCCCCCAGTAAATTTTACTGGACAACTTTTTACTGCTAAACAGTTGCGTGTCAGTCCCTGTGAACGCCTGTGCAATGATAGGAACATTTTAGTGAGAAAATAAGACCTTGCTTACCTTAAAGATACATTATGGGAGATTCGATAACGAGTTGGCAGTTCTCACTATAATACTAATAGTTAAAGATAGGTTGCCAGGCAACGAAACATACGCCCACAGCAGCTAAATCATCCGGGCAGTCAACAAGAGTTGTCGCATATTTTACTTTTTTCGGTAATGAAACATTTATAATACATTAAAGATACACTATGGGAGATTTTATTAGGGAGTTGGCCATTCTTGCTATAACAGTTCAAAAATAGATGATGAAAGAAGAATATATTGAAAATTTCAGTCAAATTACTTTATTCTGAACAAAGTTATCACTATTGTAATTTTTGACTAGAAATGGGAGTCAATTCTCTCTTCACCGTCTCCGAGAATAGACGGTCGTTTGATTGACAGGCGTTAACTCCACCTACATAATCTCGATTATCAAGTAACGTTTTCAATGGCTGTGATTTGAGACGGGGTTGCAATTCCATTCGTATCACATTTATTTTTACTAAGAGCAACAACTGAGAAACCATTAAAATTTGTTTGGTTTTTATAAACTCAATTGGATATTAACTTTGGCCTCTAGAGCGTCCACAAGATTTTTTGAAGTGATCAAGGGCCATAACTCTGGCAGTAATTATCGGAAATTGCTAAAAATCAATAGGATTCTTCGTCTCATGACCTTAAACACTGTGTATTAATTTAAAGTCAATTGGATATTATTAACTTTGGCCTCTAGAGCGTCCACAAGATTTTTTGAAGTGATCAAGGGCCATAACTCTGGTAGTAATTATCGGAAATCGCTGAAAATCAATAGGCTTCTTCGTCTCATGACCTTAAATACTGTGTATAAATTTAAGATCAATCGGATATCAACTTTGGCCTCTAGAGCGTCCACAAGATTTTTTGAAGTGATCAAGGGCCATAACTCTGGCAGTAATTATCGGAAATCGCTGAAAATCAATAGGCTTCTTCGTTTTATGATCTTAAACACTGTGTATAAATTTAAAGTCAATCGGATATTAACTTTAGCCTCTAGAGGCTTGTGGATGCCGGACCGACGGACGGGGGCGACGACAATATACGACCACATTTAAATGTGGGCGTATAAAAACTAGATAATATAAAGGACAAAGAGATTGAATTTCCGCCTAGCCTTGATCATCATTACTAAAGTCAGTACGATAAACAGCATAGTCTCGATTATCCATTTAATCGTGAAGGAAAGTTATGCAGTAGATCTCCCAATCCACTAAAGCTCGCAGGCTAGTGATGCCATCTAGAGTTGATTATGGTCTGGATAAGTTAATTAATGTCTAATTAATAATTTAGATAACATTTCAGGCCTAATGAAAGACCTGCAATAGACAGATTTAGCTCTTGCATAATGTATGTTTAAAGGACAATATTGGTGCCAGTCATTATCACATATGTGATAGAGCTGGTTAAACACATTCCAAATATAATTTTAACACAGAGATCATTGCTTGTATTGAGTAATACAGTTTTCCAGAATCGGAAGTGACGAATGCCAAAGGAAAACACGAGTCATCTCTTTATATAACTGACTGATGCGACGAGTGATAACGGATATACGGGTGAATTTCTGTTCACTAATAATTCATTCGAAGACCAAAAGTTGTTGTATGAGATTGTGATAGGATATCTGACAATTCATAAAAAGAATTGACTGCCACTAGATAAGTGAACACGAAAGAAAAACAGAAAAAGTCTGTGCATTACCATGTTTTTATAAGATATAGAATGAATATAAACAAGGGAATGTACGGACTATTTCTATTTTTCTCGTGTTCTCTTATCTAATGACATTCAATTACTTTATTGAATTGTCAGGCATCCTCTTACAGTCCCATCAGTAGCGGATTATCAGTGAGGCTGATGAGGCTGCAGTCTCAGGCCCAAAGATTTTGTAAAAAAAATTTTGTTAGACTTGTCTGATACGATTAAAAACGCATAGACAATGAATGTTAGGGGGGTTGGGTTTAGGCCCAATGGGAATCAACATAGGCCCTGGCCCGAAATTAATTAGGCCCACGCCATTTTAAATAGGCCCTATTTAAAAACTAAATAGGCCCTCCAACAACTGCCGCCTCAGGCCTTGGTGGAGCTTAATCCGCCACTGAGTCCCATATATCAACTTTGGGTCTTCGAAGGAATTATTAGTGAGCAGAAATTCGGCCGTATATCCATTAACACTCGTCACATCAGTCAGTTATATAGAGAGATACTCGTGTTTTCTTTTGGCGTTCATCGCTTCCGCCTCAGGAGACCTTTATTACTCAGCTATCGTAGCAATGATCTCTGTGTTAAAATTATATTTTGAATGTGTTTAACCAGCTCTATCACATATGTGATAATGACTGGCACCAATATTGTCCTTTAAGCTTACAACACTACATGTACATGCTGTTAAAAACGTCCTCCCCTATCAAGTTGTCTTTGAGCAGCCATGACATTCTAAATATAGGTCAACACACAAAGTTTATATTGTCGCCGATATAAGACGAAACAGAATTTAGGTAAGCAGAAGAAACAGATTTGGAAATTTTGAAAAAATTAGATTGTATCTGGGCTAGGCAAAGTAATAAATGACTGAAGATTGTAATTTTTTCAGATTCCAATTTCCCCCCACCTGCTTACCGTACCTAAATTATGTTTCGTCTTATATCGCCAAGGGTCTAAATTTCTGCGCTACACTATATTTAGATCTCAAGGGCTGCTGCCATACTATTTAGCAGAAGGCAACATATTTTTAAGAGCATGCTGTGTTGCATATACTGAGACTCTAGCGAGGTAAGCAAGGTCATATATCTTCTCACTAAAATGTTCCTTTACATTGTACAGGCGTTCACAGGGACTGACGTGCAACTGCAGAAATAAGTTGCCCAGTAAAATTTACAGGGGGTTGAAAACTTTTTGACAAGGGGTCAATAGGCCGGTTCCTGAACATACAGGGCAAGTGTAATAAGACCAACATTCAAAGCTGAATTAGACAATCACATGCCATTGTCTACATTGTTTTTAAAAAGTTGTCCATGAATTATTTCATATTCATTTATATCTTGAAATATTCTGTCAGTTTTTCACAATGATGTAGTATGGGGTAGAGAGAGAAATGGGGTTTAACGTAGTATGGGGTAGTATGGGGTGGAATTTGGTAGTATTCGGTTAGTATAATTGGGTAGTATTCGATTAGTATATTGGGTAGTATTTCAAATTTAATAAATGATTAAAGGCTCAATACCACTCTTGTTGTAACTGAATAATATGTCCCAATCTTTATTCTAGTCAACAAATTGCACTATTTTACAATATTCCAATTAATTGATGATACAAATTTTATCTTAACACACCTAATTTAAAAAATTGGAAAAATTCAACTAAATGATTTGAAAAGCCTAACGTAAACCTTTTCAAACGTGAATTGGATTTAAAAATAATTTCGAACTCTCTGCACAAGTAAAATAGGATATAATGGACAATTTACACAACAAATGAAATGAAATGAAATGGGGTTTAACGTCCTACTGTTTTGCTCCGAACTGGGCTAATGAAGAAGGGCATACGCCATACAGTGTGCTATGAGGGAAATTTTGCCCGGACAGTGGCACTACGGCCTACTCTTATATCGAATTCCAACTGTCAAGGGATCTTTAACATGCACGCCAATGTGTACACGGGACCTTGGTTTTCCGTCCCATCCGAACGACTAGACAGCTGTCCTTGTCAGCCCCTCCGTCCTGCATTTACACAACAGGTAGGACACATAAACATCTAATACTTAGAATAAGGCTATTATTTATTTTCTGGAGCTGTCAAGCCAGCAAGAGTGTTATTGTCCCTTTAAATAAAATTATGCTGTCTCACTCTCAGTTTATCTCCATGAACTGTCCATGATGCTAGATAATTGAATAAGCTGTGACTTGTAATTACATATGGAATTTATCTATTGGTAACTTCCAATTCATGAGTATTTTTTTGTGCCAAACGATATGATTGACCTTGTGTGCAGTCTGTCTTTCTTTGGGAAGCTCCGGAGCCTAAGTAAGTCACACAAATTATAAAACAAAGATAATAAAATCCGGGTGCCTGATAGCGTACCTTTATCTTCATTTGTGCGCCTATCTTTGACAACCCAGACATCTTCAACAGTGCCATACTTTCCAAAGGCTTCCTTGAACGCATTTTCATCTGCACCTTTACCGCAAATTACAAATAAACGACTATTTGTTGGATAATCTCTGACTCTTGACTGTGGCGTGTTCGACATCTTGAATTTTGATGCTGCCCTGTTGTGGTTGACTCCAAAATGAGAGTACGGATCCTATGCGTCAAAAGTGTATCCATTTCATTATTATTATCATGAGTTATGGATACAGTTATACATACGCCGTTCACTGTCGTGATTTATTAATATACCAGTTAGCTGTCCATGTTTGTAACCCTATCAATTATTTAAACATATTTTCGGGTTTATATATTGTTCGATCCACGACATTTTTATTTTAAATATTGCAAAACGGTGTGACGCAAAAGGTGTAGGCTGTTTCGTAACCTGGCTGTTTCGTACTTAGTTCATTCGTACTCCACTTCGTACCTCAAATTGATTCGTACCTTTTCCTATGTTGTTGAAATCAGTTGAAAGAAATTGAATATGCCGAACCAGAATTAGAATATGCAAGAGATTTGTACCTCAAATTGATTAGTTCCATTTCCTAAATCCAAAGGCTGCGCTAAATTTATAAAAATGGCTGCCGAACGAGAATTATAATACACACGTGATTTGTGTACCTCAAATTGATTCGTACCATTTCCTATATGTTGTTGAAATGAATTGAAAGAAATTAAAATAAATCTATATGTTGTTGAAAGAAATTGAAATAATAAACGATTACCTGCCTTTCTTTACATCTGATGTTGATTATCGAACCCATTATTGACGACAGTTGATTGGTGATTGTTAAAGCAGTTTAAAAAAACGAATGAAAAAGTATTTAATCCGGGGTTGATTATTGAACCCATTCTGTTATATCATGGACCGTATGTATATACGGTCATATCACGGGGTAATTCTGTTATTGAAACCCAACTGCATGAAAATGGCTTTCGATCGTAACCGATGTAAATTTAGTGAAATCCGCGGAAGCAATTTTAGTACTATAAATGTATCCTTTAATTGTGTGTGAATTACTACTATTGGGCAGGCTGTGTAATATAAATTTAGCGTAGCCGTTGGATTTGATCAAATCGTTTCACCTTTATTTCAATTATTTTTAACTGATTTCAACAACATAGGAAAAGGTATGAATCAATTTGAGGTGCGAAGTGAAGTACGAAGCGGCTGATTTGAGGTACGAATGAACTAAGTACGAAACAGCCAAGTTACGAAACAGCTGACGTCAAACGCAAACTGGTCCGCAGTAAATTTTCACTTTGTGGCATTTACCCATAGAAAAGAAACCCTATGCATTAAAACGCTGTTAAAACCATTAACGTCATATGTAAAGAAAGGAAATCCATGTAAGATAATATCCCGTCAATTCGGAACGTCCGGCTTGTAAAGAACCCGCTGCATTGTCACCTAGAAACACACCTTAATTGCTTATTCGGTTTCTAATTCTTCTGGTATGGTTATGATCACTCCGAGATTTAAGAAAAAATATCTGTTTCTCTGTTTTTTTGCTTTCCAATTCTTTTTGATGTTCTACATATCATGGTGTCCAACCGAAGACCTCTCCAGAATGGAAAAATTGGTGCTAATTTATCAAAAACAAATAATGACCCAGGATCTTGAATTAAAGAAATTGAAAGTACCGGTAACACGGCCCAAAATTTACTATGGGACAGAACAGAAGATCTTACCAAAGTATATAAAAGACTTACCATATATCTATGCAATTACACCAACTTATACAAGACTTGAACAAAAAGCTGAACTAACAAGATTATCTCAAACTCTTCTTCATATACCAAACTTTCATTGGATAGTGATTGAAGATGCGATAACTAAAACCCAACTTGTTACAAAATTTCTAAGAAATTCAGGGTTAAACTATACCCATCTTAATGCTTTAACACCAAAACATTATAAATTGGAAGAAAAAGACCCCAACTGGTTGAAACCAAGGGGAGTTTTACAAAGAAATGCAGGATTGGAATGGATTGTAACAAACAGGAACAATAAATCTAATGGTGTTATTTATTTTATGGATGATGACAATACATACAGCTTGAAACTATTTGATGAAATAAGATTTACAGAGAAAGTGTCTGTGTGGCCAGTTGGTTTAAGTGGGGGTTTGCGATTTGAAAGTCCAATAGTTACTAACAATGAAGTATCAAATTGGTTTGTTTATTGGAAACCAGAGAGACCATTTCCTATGGATATGGCTGGCTTTGCCATTAATCTTAATTTCTTTCTTCAGTATCCTGAAGCTCGATTTAGTTTAAGAGTTCAAAGAGGCTACCAAGAGTCAACATTACTTTCCCAATTACATGTAAAACTAAATGATTTGGAGCCGAAGGCCAATGATTGTAAAGAAATTTTAGTATGGCATACACGGACAGAAAAAACTAAATTAAAAAATGAAGATAAACTTAAACTCAAATATGGTCATGGGTCTGATTTAACTATTGAAGTTTAATTTTACATTGAAGTTTTAAAAATGTGGGTGGCAATCTTTCTTTATCCTTTTCTGAATCTGAATGTTGTCTAAGTGGAATGGTGTGTGCGGGAATGTTGTGTTAGTGGAATGGTGTGCGGGAATCTCAATTTATTTTAAATGTGCATAAGATTTCAACCCTTGGGTTACTTGAAGTCACTATATTTCAGACAAGATCATTTCATTTCCATGACTAAAGTTACACAGAAGAGCTGATTTTGTAGGTTGAAATGTGGAAGTACATGATTGCTTTGGTTGCTTTGATTTCATCAACAGATTTTAACAATACTGGTACCTAATAAACCCAACTATTTTTATTTTTCCACTAACATTAACCCAATTTTTTTTTATTTTTCCACTTACAGTAATAATATGTTTACTCTTACGAACCTCAAGAATGTAAACTGTACAATGTATTCTTGTAACAGAAACAACTACACATACTTCTTTGACTATTTCAGATCTTATTTACTGATAGTCATGAGTAGTTTTCTAGATGATATTAAGTCAGCCAAGCTGAAAAAGTCAGCTCATGCTACAAAAGACTATTCCAGTCCAAAACTTGCTGGCTTTACTTCTTCTGAAGAGATTAAAGAATACCAAAATGCTGTATTGGATGTCAATACTGAGTTATGGCAAGAATGCCTCAAAGAGGTCACTTTTCCATCAAAATATTGTCCAATCAGCATAGAAGAGGCTGAAACATTTGTTAGGATATTTGAACGTATGTTTAAAAATCTTGATGCAGAAAGAATCTCTAAGATAGATTTGTGGGGAAATCTGACACCAGAAGAAAAGATTGTGATTGATAATTTATCATCTAAATTGGATGTAGTTTTACAAGAAGTGATAAGAAACTCAAAGGAAGGATGTGCTTTTGTCAAAACCTCAAGTAGAAGTCCCAAAGATGCACCAATGGCTCATGGCAAATTTGGAGAATTGTACAAGTCATATTTAAGTAAATTGTCTGAGGAAGAAAGAAACTGTGAAAATCAACAAATAATATGCTTACTAAAATCAGCCTTTGAAGCCATGAAAGTGACGTCTGCACGGGAGGTGATGCAACTAATGATCACTAGCGAGAGAATTTATCAAGACATGCTGCTAGCTTTAGAAATTAAAGATCGATACCATGAAAACTTTGTTGTTCGAGAATTTGTGCCAATTGATGTGGATATGGAGTTTCGTGCCTTTGTTTTTGATCTTGAGCTGACTGCAATAGCACAGTACAATTATCTTGTCTTTTCGGATAGACTTTTAAAGGAAAAAGATGTTATCATAGAAAGACTACAAAAATTTTATAAAGAAGAGGTCAAGACGAGAATAACAACCAAATTTCCTCAACATTTTATTGTAGATTTTGCTGTTTGTAAAGGTATTTGAATATCATTAAATTTTTTCCAAAAATATTCTCCAGGTTCTACATTTCCTCCCCCATTGCGCATAAACAAGTTTTTTAGTTATCATTCTAGCTCCTACCCTAGATGCCTTGATTGATTCAAACAAAACTTTTACTAGTGCTGAGATCACACAAAGTACCTGTACTCCAACCTTTTTCATGATGACCAGGTCAGAGGTCAAATAATAAGAGTTTGTCTTGCACAAAATTAAACTCCTACTGTTTTGATCCAGTTGTCATCAAACTTTGACATGATTTTCTACCGAGGGAACTCAGCGATCGGTATATATATATACACATGTAGTGATGGGTAGTCTAGGACATCCTGGAAGCCAAACAAAATCAACATTTTCTTGACAGTTTTATGTAGCATATCTGTAAGAAAATTAGACAGTCCTGATTTGTAAGAATTTCCAAGTAATTGTAGAAATATAGAATGTTTGCAATGAAGATGGTGGAAATTATTTTCCGAGCTATAGACAAGCATCTGAGATGAAACAATCCAAGAGGAAAAGCTTTACTCTTTTACAATACCGTACAAAAGTGTTAATAGACAGACAGTGCCAAGAAGAATACAGAAATATCAGCCACATGGCCATGCAACATGACCTCTCCCACAGAATAACTCAGTGACAACTGTTTTTTAGTATACCAGAGTAGGAACACTTTATCTCATGCAATAGTTGCCTCAATTAATAAGCTACATGTACATGTATATCGTAAGTCCTTTAGACTACTTTAAAGCATTAAAATACTTAGATCTCTTATATTTGTAATTTTATTTTAGATAAGATATGGGTAATTGAGATTAATCCATTCCTGGTATCTACTGACAGTGGGTTATTTAGCTGGGAACACGAAAGACATTTACTAGAAGGAAAAGAGGGCTTTCAGTTCAGAATTGTAGAAAAAGCAAAACCAGGAGCAAAGACAATGTTACCATCTAGTGTTAAATGTTTACTGTCCAAAACATAATATCTATATAGGTAGGAAGATCTACAATTACAATGCATTCACAAAAAAGAACATTTAAAAAACCCAGAACAAACCCAAAATTTTGTGATAAGTTTATCAAGATCTATCTATTATATCAAGTAGATGGATCTAAAGACAGATTACACAAATATCTTAATTAAACTAAATCTTTCTTTATATTTTTACTTTTAATCGTTTTATTTAATAACAAGATTTTCATAAAGAATCTTGAATAGATCCAGCTCAAATTATTTCTGTTTTGACTAAATATTGGTCTGCACAAAACAGTCTAAACTGGTGTCCTACCAAGATTTCCATTTGTTTAAGAGGAAAAATTACCTTCACCTTGCATCTGAAGTATGCATTATACATTCGTTAATGTGTGGATTCAGATAATTATCAGTATGGATAAATGTATTTACTGTATGTTAGTTTGCAAGTTACTAATACACAATTGACACGGTTTAGTTCAGGTCAATTTGTTCTAGTCAAAGCAAAGATAATTTGATCTGGAGCAATGGAGTTAAACAGGTTTATGTTATATATTTTTGTTTTTTTTAATATTTTACTTTATAAATTATATGGATTTAATATATAAATAAATATATGTCATGATAGACAACTAATGTACCTTACACATTTGAGGTTTTTATTTACCTCAACTAGAACATTTAAAGGAAAAATATATGACCCATGCAGAACTCTAACCTATTAAGTGTTTACAAGAGAGAGGGAGAGAAATTAAAATGTTTGCTTGACACAAACTAGGTCATTTCGGGACTAAAATATTCAACTTTATTTCAATAATTTGCTTGTGCATAGGGTTCTTTAGCTGTGGAAGGAAATCGGAGAAACCCACAAGGTTGGACAGGCGATCATCCTATTCCTTGTCATTTATGGGAAGGGGGTGAGGGGAATCGAAACCACACCACTTGACTCAATGACAGACCTTATGATCTAAAAAGTTTAATCCATCGGCAACCCAACCCCCAGAGTGTTTACAAGGCTTCAGTGACGTGGACAATAATGCTTTAAAAAATCAGATTCTTGGAAGGTTGGAAGGTTGCTTTTCCTCCTGCCAATTGGATAAACTATTTTTATTCTAGTTCAAGTCTAAGGAACTGCTCAAGATATGGTCAGTTTTTCAATGGAAGCAAGTTTAGATGTGAGCTCTTTGAATAGAGACTTGTTTCTTGCAAATATAAATGAATCATATTAAGTTATTATTATATCTTTAAATAAGTTTAAAGAGAGAGAGAGAGAAATGGGGTTTAACATCCACTCGACACAAACTAGGTCATTTTGGGACTAACATATGGGAGGAAACCGGAGGACCCGGAGAAAACCCACGGGGTTGGACAGGCGATCCTACTCCTTGCCATGTACAACCAGGGATTCGAAATCACGCCAGTCGACTCAATGACAGACTTTATGATACAGCGCGCGCACGCTGACCATTCAGCCATCCAACCCCCCATTAAATAAGTTTAAAACAGATAGCTTTGTGTTGATGGTAAACAGCCTCAAGATACATGTATCTAGCAATTTAATGGGCTGCAGCAGTATTCCTGCACTATTTCTTTCATTTAATAGAAACTTTACACTGATTCAGTGATTGGCTCGAAATTTATGCAGTGTTCATGTTCACCAGGCAAAGAAGCATCTATTTCTGATAAGTGAGGTGTTAAAGCCCTCCATCAATTTGAAAATCTTATGGGTGCTCTAGAGGCTTTTATCCCATTTTATTAGGGTTTATACTCATGCGACAAAGGGGCCCATTGATTTTCAACAATTTCTGTTAAGTACTGTCAGTTATGGCTTGTGACTAGTTTGAAAAATCTTTGTTATCTGATTGATCGACTTGAAATGAAATGGGATTTAACGTTCTACTCCGAATTGGGCTAATGAAGACGGGCATACGGTGTGCTATGAGGGAAATTTTTGCCCGGACAGCGGCACTCCGGCCTACTCTTATATCGAATTCTGACTGTCAAGGGATCTTTTATGTGCACGCCAATGTGTACACAGGACCTCGGTTTTCCGTCCCATCCGAACGACAAGACAGATGTCCCTGTCAGGCCCTCCATCCTGCATCACTGACAAGGGGGAACCATGCCGAAAAATCTGGATGAACTTCCTCGGCCAATGCAGGGATCGAACACCTGACCTCCAGGCTAGCGAGCCAGCGTCTTACCCACCGTGACCCGCTCTGATTGACTTGAAATATATACACAGTGCTTACATGTATATGTTCATGAGATGAAGAAGTTAGTTATCGATAACTCTTACAGTGACAGCTAAAATTATCTGATTACTGGTACATTAATAAATGTTAGCACTAAGAAGAACTAGAAGCCAATCAACTTACAATTATTTTTGATAATTACTTCATAGTCCTATCACACACAAAAAAATGAATAAATATGCAACAGCATTTATGGACTGCCAAGGGGAGTTAGCTGCTGTGGGTGCATGTTTCTTTGCCTGGCAACTTATCTTTACAGATGACCCGCTGTAAGGAATAGATACAACAATGTTTTTGGAAACCAATCAAATTTGGTGAATGCTCAGGTTAAGCAGAGATAAGGAATTTGGTGTGTCAAGTTTGATTCTAATTGAGGTTGAGTGATAAAACTTGGGTGTATAGTTTCACTAAATCAAAACTGATCTAAACATTTTGGGATTGAAGCAGGGACATCAGCCTTCATGTTGGCTTGTTAAAATTACATTTCATTTCACTTTTATATGACCACATTTTCATGTGGATGTAGTATATCGTCGCCCCTCTCTGTCTGATCACATTTGTGGATGAGAGGATGAGGCCTATATTTTCCTGGTTCTCTATCTTTCTCTTGCAAAATGTGAGCATCTCTTGCATGTAAATTTAGTCAAGTTTCTATCACAATGTTATGCCAGGAACAGTTCTTTGTATATCACCATTGTATTCCAAATGGTTATAACACCGGGAATTCTAACAATATCTAGAACTGTATACTATACTGATAATTTTATTTAATGTTCATGTGAACTAAAACCTGACCCCAAAATGCCAGATATCAATGTAGAAGAATATAAATAACATCTGATTGGATTGGAACATGAATCCGGTACACATTTCTCAATAGTGTCAATAGTGAAGGCTCTTGTATGTATTCAAGACCAAATAATTAATATCTAGGTCATAACTACTGAAAAAATTAAAACAGTTTTTACCTAAAATGTTTATTTACATAAATTGTGGTGACAGTAAATAAATGGTCTTGTAAAATGTGTGAATATTAATAAAATAAAATTTGACCAAATTTGTAAACATGGCCATTAAATGGAGATATTTTGTGGCCTTGTGATTGGTAACAATGCTGAGCTGGTAATAAAATCACAAGTACAATTCAAGGACTAAAACAATTTTTCACATCCATTCCTTCAGACTATTTTGAACTTACACGTGTATTAACAAAATTCAATTTGATTACGTAAATTTTACATCTTAAAAATTCAAATATTTAAAATGTGTGGATTGTTGAATTCACTATTAGAAAAAAAATAGATAACTGTATTGGACATAAAATAACATTTCTTGAAACTGTAATTATCACCTAGCTACTCTTACTAAGACTGTAGATATTTGCTTACCTAAGACAAGAAAGATACTTGAGGATTACTATAGGTCCATTGTAAGAAATGCCCCCCGTCCTATTTTTAACAATTATTTAAGCGCCATGGGAGTTATTCTGGGAACAACAGTAACAGAAAAGTTTCATATGATCAAATTGCAAGGAAACAGCTTTCTATGCCTTTTCCCACTGTGATGGTTAATATGATTTCTATCAAAGGTATGGAACATATCAAGATTAAAAGCGATTTTAACATGAATTAAAAACTGTAAATTTCTGACCCTTTCACATATTTTCCCGTCCACAGGTATCTTATCACAATTAGAAGCACGCAGGTGCTTGGATTATAAATATTTATTACATACAAAATTTACAGAAAAATATTTGTTAAATATTTCCTGATTCAATTAGAGATGTAAATGATCTTATGTTTTTCAAATATTTCTATGTCTCTTTCTAACTGTTTCATTTGTGATTCCATTCTTTCTTTTCTGTGTTTTTTGGGGGCAGTATCTGTGACAACAGACAAACCCTGGTATTGATCATGAATATCCTCCCAGTTTGTTTTCAGACCATCCAAAATGGCTTTTCTTTCATCTTCTGTTAATTTTTGCATGGCACCACGTCGCATATATTCTGTAACATATTGGTTATATTCTTCCTGTGCTTGGATCATTTCATCTTTTCTTTTCTGTAAATATGTAGGTACCTCACCAAATTCCTGGAAAGAAGGATAAGCTTATGTTTTAGTAAAAATGTCATGTGGGTTTCTTTGGTGGGGTTTTTAATTTTTTTTGTGGGGGGGGGGGGGCATTTTTACTGACAAATTTCACAGGCCCACCAGCAAAAACTTCAATTATGGGGTCAGTAAAATATAACACCCATGGTACAAAAAGAAGACCCATGCTATAAAACAAAGACTAATAAAACCTACCCACTATAAATTAGTATACATGGATCACATGTATGTCTTTTCATAATTCGGGTTTTATAAATTGGAAAATGACAAAGTGAATTGGAATAGAAGATAAAATTATAACCGGGTACCTTTTTCTGAATATATATAGGTTCTAATCCAGAAGGAATGAGATTATGAGCATCCCCATTTCGTGTATCAACATATTTTTTCTCTGGTCGTTTTGGGACAGAAGTAATGTTTTGTACAGCATTATTTGTGATAAAGTTTTTTGTAGTTTTAAGTCCCATCAATGGCTTCTCTTCTTTCGACGGTAATGCTGGCTTTTTGTGGTCTTCATCGCCATACTTAAAATCACTTTCTATATATAAGAAAAAGAAAAATGTTAATAGAAATTGAAAAATTAAATTGTGTAAAAATTAAATACCTCAACTTTATTACCTATTTAATGTATAATGATGTACTTAATGGAAATTTCTGTTTGCATCTACAGACCTTTCTAACGCATACCCGACTGTCTAACTCCTGCTGTTTTAATGAATGATTAGAAGGTCTACTGATAATCTGAACTGAACTTATGCCTCTAAGCTAATCCAAGACAGTTGCCCATGTAAGCATAAGCTGAGTGATAAAGAACATATTATTGAACAGTAAACATGTATGGAAATTGTTTCCCCTGTTTAAATACCAGTGATGCAGATGCAAACAACCTTTCTGTTAACACAGATTTTTAATATGCATTTTAAATATAAATTTCTATTTTTTTAAAATTTACATAAAGGTGCAATAAAAAAGAAATATAATGTAGGAAACAAAATGCTATTGCTAACTTAGTATAGATCACATTTCCAAAATTATTTATTTTACTTACTGTCGGGTAGAACAGGTTCTTTGGAATGTTTCTTCAAATAATTATCTGTAGTTGGTACAGGTACTTTAGCTTGACCCATAGTTTTATGATCATTTCGGTTGGATGTAGATTCATTTCGAACGGTATCCTTAAATTTGGAATTATACCTGAAAAAGTGTTGCAGAAATTTAAATCTTAAAGCTACAATTTCATATTTTTAAGTTATATTTTTAAAATTTATTAAAATAAAGCCTTAAAATAGATGGTATCCATAAACAGTCCTACTTTGTTAAAGAATAATCATATTAATCCTATAATTCACTATTGCCAGCTGAGAAATTGGCAAAAATATCATTTTGAACTTTAAATTCAAACGTTTGAACATCGCTATTCCATAGAGGTAATAGAAAAACAAGGGAGGTAATTGTGTTATTATTTCCTGTGTCAATGATTTTTAAGGGTGGGGAATAATGCCCATGATCGTATAATAGTGAGTTGATAACCTATTGAGCAAAAGACATAGAAATAATTATGTTTTGACTTTCTTAGAAAATATGAAATTCTCGCTTTAAAATCAATCAGAATGAAAGGTGGAATTAAAAATGATCATATGGGTGTTCAGTCTGAAAATTAGACCCAAATAAATAAGAAATGGACGGTTTCACATTTTTTTGTCCTTTTTTTTAAAAAATAACGTAAGCTTACATATTATATAGCCTAGGCCTAGATCTACAGATTGTTACAATTTACATACAAATATGGAGATCATGTTTGATCCAACTCCCTTTTCTATTTCCATCATTTTTACATTCCATCACTTTTACATTTTAGGATTAGGGTTAGGGGTTTAAGATTAATTAAAACTAAAACCGAGTAAGACAAAATCTTCAACGACATTCGACAATGAGATATTGAGACACAAAAATGGTAGTCACATCAAACATGAATGCCTTACAACAACCATAACAGCACAGAATATAAATACATGTATAGTGAATCATAAAAATATAAATTTTAGGCTACACACGACAATATCAATGATATACTGACAGGGACAATAGACATTTTTTATTTTAATATGAATAAATAACTGCGGCCTACCCTACTCCCTTAGCGGTCATATGGCATATTTTAATAGTACTGATGTTTACCTTGGTGGCTTCTGTCGCTTTTGTTCTTCTACTGCAATAAGGTTATAGATCGTCCCTTCATCCAACAGAGACATGTTTACTTATTCCTAGGTACAATATTATTATGAAATCAAATGTGGAAAGGGGAACTTATACAGCTAAATGCCTGCTGAAACACTGGCTTGACAACACAGAGAAGCCGTTACCATGGGAGTCGTCAATAGATGACGTCACAAAACAAAGGGGAGATCATTCCCACAATTTTGGCGTGCTTATCCAGTTCTTAATTCCGCGTCTAGAGCCCAGGCAAGTGGCATAAACTAGTCTGGTAGTTAGCATTTCAATGGACCGTAACAGTCCATTTCCCGCAATATAATGTATCATTCCCCATTTCACAATTCCTAATATGTAACAGACATTGCCTGGTCCGGGTAGAGCGAGGCTGATTGGTGTCAAATATAAAACCATGGATCTTATTAATGTTATAATAAAACCTTCAATTAAAATTCAATATCATGTGAATTTCCAATTTTGTTTCTAAATTCTAATTTAAATTGTATGAGTTAGTAGCTACTGCTTTGGATAAATTACCGATCAGTTATGGTTTTAAAAAAATAACAGAAAAGTGTGAGAATTATTTTCATTGACGTCAGACTAGCAATTATTTGCCCATTGACTTTGATGTTAAATGGCTGTATAGGCTGTAGCTTTTTGCTCAACATTCCGTTGGTTCCAATCTTTATAGGCACATAGGGGACTGCATTTGGCACTCTCCTCATGATTTTGAAGGGGGGTGACCGTTTTTTTGGGGTTTTTTCTTAGGAATATTTTATGCTGACTGGAGTCAAAATCTCACTTCCGATGCATTGATTGCTCGTCCCAAAGACACTTTACACCCCCTCCGCTATAATTATCATCTACCCCAAACTTCTATGAAATTGCAAATTTGATCCCTTTTCTCCAATTTTAGACCAAAAAGTCAACCAAAAATTGCAGGAAACGGGGAGAAAAAAAAATGACGGGAAAAATTGTTTATTTTCATCATTCTTTTTTGATAAATAACTACGCGAATAAGTTAATATTATTCGTTTCTCCTAATCTCAATAATACTAGGGATTCACCCCACTTCCTTTTCTTAAAAAAAATAAAATTGATAATTTGCTGTTTTCTATTCTAAATTGTAATTTTTCATTTCAAATCGTGGCATTTTTGTGTCAAAATGTGTCCCCCCCCCCCCACCCCAATGCGATTTTGAATTTTACATAAAGAAATAGCTGTCAGGGGTTTTAAAGCCGTGGGAGAAAACCCAAGAACTAAGGCAGGCATTTGCCCCACTACTTTTAATACTACACAAAAATATGCCCTGTCTGAACTCATCATGGTTACAGGCATTTCTCTGCGGAAAAATAATTGGGGAAAACTTAGGCAGACCTTCTTGTCAAGTACATTACACGCAGCAACCACTAGTCATACACTGTTCGACTAAATCTTGATTATTACCTATTTTTTGATGGAAGTAAATGTTAATTTTTAAACTACACACAAATTTATTTTCTAAAGTATTCTTTATTTATCTGATTATTGAAAATATATTTACATTCATCCATAAATATAAATAAATAAAACAAATATGCGGTAGTATTGCCCATCATTAGATAAAAATATATATACCAAATTACATCATTAAAAAATATGCACAATATAATTAAACCTAGAAGAGATCTTTTCCTTAAACAAATTTTATTGGTGGTTACATTTTCATCTGCCGTTGATATTCAGATTATTACAGTCGAACAATAAAAAAAAAGAGAAAATGTTTTTTTTTAAAAAAACAATATTATACTCACTGAAATACAATAACAACCAAATTGATTTATACATAACACCATCTAGCAATCATATTTTTCCCTGGTTGTTCATAATTGAACAGAGAAATATGCTGTAAGAAGTTGGATAGCAAAGTTGAAATAAAATTCAAAACAAACAACTAGACAGTGATTTAAAAGTTTCAGTGACTGACAATTACTTCACAAATCAATACTAATATTTGTGACTGTCGTTTGTCAGTCTGTTTGTCTGTCTGCTCAGGGTTGGCGGCTACACTAGGTCTGCCCCGAGTCTGAAATTTGAGGTATAGGGGTAGCTCGGACCGGGGAGTAACATAGGCCAGGTTTCAGGGTTATGACCCCCGAGCGAAGCCGGGCATTCTTCTAGTAGTTAATATATGACACAAGTTTTATTTTTCGTTTTTGGACGCAGAGAATGACTAGCGTTGACAATGTACGACAATATAGTTTTAAAATAGAAGATTTCAGAACATTCGTTTTTAAATTTAAATAAAAAATTAAATAAGAATTTTAAAGGCTTGACAGCTTCAGTCTAATTCTTTAAAATTCTTATTTTTAAGGTACAATTAATATGCACAGTCAGACTAAAAAAAAAATAGATAACACTCATCAAAGTATTTATCACTCTGGTCATCCTATTAATGTTGATGGTACACAGGTCTAGTGTAGAATTTGTAGATCTTTTACAAATCACTTCAAAAACTACCATTTCTCTGTCCTAATGAATATGTAGATCTATTAATGTTGATTGTACACAAGAACCATAAGTTTGGTCATATTATTCACTGTAATTTTGATATGTTATAAGGCACAGAGCTACTGATATCAAGGAAAAAGTCACCTTCTTGTTGAGGTCTAAATGTACATGGCATGATATTATAAACACCTCCTGGTAAATTATTTAACTGTAAAACACAATAACCTGGCCTGCAAAAATAAAATACAATATATTTCATGAAACTGAAGGACTGATTTCTCAAACACACATTCATGAACAAATAACACAATAACCTGGCCTGCAAAAATAAAATACAATATATTTCATGAAACTGAAGGACTGATTTCTCAAACACACATTCATGAACAAATAACACCTACACATGCTTCCCATCTGTTTCTATAGACGTAAAATTTTGTATGAAGAAAGATTATCATACCACAATACAAATCAACATATAAAGTACAATGAAACAGACCATATCATTTTTTTTTTAACTTTTTACCCAAATTAAAGCTCAATCTGCCTGTTGTAGGTCTTTCTTTTGGCTTCAAATGTTATATAAATTATTATTTAGACATTGATTCAACAAGTCAAGTTCTTAATCAATCCTCTAGACCATTGGATGGCTGTGACTTAATTGGATTTGAACACTCAGGAGATTTAAAATTTAACAATAAAATTGACAATCAAGGTTCAGTCTCAGTTGTCAAGTACTGTAGCTACAATAAACAATCTACGCTACATCTCTTCAAACTGTCATAACTTCACACAGAATAAAGTAATTTAAATGAATTTTCAATATAACTATTACAGCAAGAACATCCAGATCTTTATCCAAATCTTCCACAACGCATCTTTAAATATATATCATGATTAAGTAATAGTATTAATTTAAAATTTTACCTGAAGTCTCCAGAAGTCTTCTTTTTTATAGATCCTGATGAATCTGGTATATTATCTGATACACAGGTAACTTCTATACCAACACTATATTGTCTGTTATATAACAAATTATACAATCAATTTATGATATATGGGGGTCAGATAATTAAATGTTAATCCAGCAATATGACGGCATGGCAGATGTCAACAATGGCCACGTTAGAGGTATGACTGTTTATTAAAGAAATGAAACCAAAGTAATTATACAGTGGAAATTTATTGTGAACGCTCAAAAGGAGTGGCTGCTCATACAGATTCTACTGTAGGTTGGTACAGTTTGTTGTTAAATTATGCTAATATTAGACAAATGACATTGAAGAGCATATATGAAATTACCTTGAATCTGACTGTTTAAAGAAAGATTTGGGGGGGGGGGGTGTAATGAACAACTTCTAGATTTGGTGACTGAAACACTGCTCATGGAAAACAGACAGGATCATATTGAGAGACTGGTGACAATCACTCAAATAAGATGTGATCCAATATAGGACATTCCATGACACGACACATCACATTGAAACGGATAGTAAGTCGCATAGGCCTGTATTGTGTTAGCACTCATAATAAAAATTTTGGTCAACTCTCAGATCTTCACAAAAAAAGCTTCATAAATACCTTATTTATATATTCCAAGAATGGATTTGCTAAGGAAATTTTGTTCTTCAATAACTCATTTTTAACCTTTATTTTCTCAAAATCTGGTTTTGAAATTCTCTCCGACTGACCTGGATGTATTTAGCGATATCTCGGCCATTGAACATGATATGGAGTCGGGAATGGTACCAAAAGGAATGTGATTACTCAATATGGCCAAATTGTTACTTACTACCCATTTCGATGTGATGGGTCACATATATATTGTGTTAAATATGAAGAAATTTGGACTTACTTGTATGCTCTAAGTTCTATTAATATGCAATTATCACATTTATTGTTATCTATTTTAAGTTGATAAATTGGGTTGTTTTTATGTGTTTCTTTGTAATTAGAACAACCTCCAGCAGTTCTACCAGACCATTTACCATTTATCTACAAGAACAAAATACATATATTTCAATATTTTTCTACAAAAAAAACACATTCATCTAATGACAACACTAATTTATAGAAATAATCAAAATATAAACAAGCCAACAGTGAGGCTGATGTCCCTCACTGCAAATCCAAAATAAAAGAGGTCAAATACAAATTAATTGCATCTTTATCTTTAATAAAGAAATCAAACCACTTGATCTATACTTAAGTCTTAGCAGAAAATGCTCATGATCAACCTAATCACTGTTTTGATGTAGTGAAACTATACACTAAGTTTCATCACTCTCCCCCCTATTAGAATCAAAGTTGTCGTGTCCTAAAGCATCAACAAATGAATTTGCTTATCTCTGCTAATGGCTTACTATGCTATGGCTTACCCTAAGCAGAAAATGTTCATCATCGACCTAAGTCAACGCATTCACCTAATAAACAACTACACCAGACATATTTTAATAGTCTTTGAAAGGCAGGGGACAATAATATAATATATTTACCTGTTTTTCAAACTTTGACAGATATGGATCTGTAAATCTTGTAAGTTTAAATTCACATGTTGCGTAGACACGAAGTGTATATCGAATAGTATTACTCTTCTCATACTGTGATACAACCAGTGTATAACGTGTTGTTCCTGCCTTCTCTACCAATTTACATAAATAATGAGGACTGTTGATTTTAACACCATCTTTATAAGGAGGTGGATCATCTTTAAAAAAATAATTATTATCATTAATTAAGGTCTATATAGTGCAAAATATTTAACCAATTCAAATTTTATATTCTAAGTTTATACAGATTTAAATTCATGCTGTACTCAACCATAGTTTGAAATATTCTTAATAAGAGACATTATTATATAATAAATACAATAAATGGTACTCACATGGATAAAATACTTGATTACCACCAGTTTTATAAACTAAAACAGTTATAAACTCTTTATTATCAGCAAAATCAGCCTAAAATAATCAATAAATTAAAATTTCAATCACCTTTGAAGTGTTGGAAAAACAAAATAACTAGCATTAACATTAAACCTGTATTGGTTTTTACATTCATAATGACATGGAATCTATTAAATTCTTTCATAAAAAATATTTACATCCATCAGTGAATATTACGCCTACTAACCTTGTCTACAATATGTCTTGTCAAGAGTATCCAGACAGCGGATGGTTGCGTAGCTTTCACTTCTAATCTATACTGTGGATTGTCACTAATGTTATAGGAATCTTTCTTTGGGCCTGCTTTTGCTGACCATGTGCTAAAAAAAATACAACAAGCCAACAGGTTAATGTCGCCATCTTAAATCCACAATATAAATATAGACATTCATTAATTACTTGCACATTTATCTTTTTATAAAGTATCGAGCAATCAAATTGTTTAACAACCTGCTTAACCTGCTCATTATTAAACACAGTCCTGGTATTAATGTAATGAAATTATACAACAAGTTTCTTTACTTTTCCTCAATTAGAATCAGAGTTATCATATTCTGAGCAACAAATCAAATTGCTTATCTCTGCATAAGCAGAAAAACATAGGTGTCATGTTTATATCATGTTAGGCCACACAAAATAAATGTCTTGTTTCTCGGGCAACTGACAGCTGAAACTGTAGGGAGGGAGGGCGGTTTCTTTTTTTTTTTTACTCATTGATGGTGCAAAATAAAATTTGGCTATTACTGAAAATTGTTGGGGCGGGAGGGCGGTCTTTCTTTTTTTTTTTTTTTAAATGAGAAAGTCATTACTTGTTTACGTTTTTGCTTTCCGTTATATTCAACTTTATTGTACATACTTAAAACATAAACCCAAAATCAAGTCTACTAAAACACTGAGACTGAACACTGACTGAAAGGAAAATAATTTTCCATATTTAATTCACATAATTTAAATTGGTTTAAAATAAAATTCCATACGACTATGTAATAGCCCTCCATAAAGACAACAATATTTTTAAAAACTAAGCCTCTTTCACCAGGTGTATCAAAAATAATAATCATGGTAAACAGTATTTAAAACTAAATCTAGTATCGCCGGTTTATTTATAATTATTTACCGAATTCCAACAAATGCATGTCACACCGTGTCATCGGTATTGGAGATTGCCGGAAATACTGTTTCTTGGGATATTCGGTGTGTTTCTCAGGATATTCGGTGTTCTATCCGGTGTTTATATTGAATGACTATTTAAATCTAACTAACAACTGGTCAGTAAAACCATCAAATCGGTAATCCAATTATTATTTTCCGGATTATCGAAACTACCGTAAATGTGCTAATAATAACCCAGATTCTAAGGTATGCATTATGACGACTATCGTCATCGTATCGTATTGTTGTATAGCCATATATTATTATTGTGGTCTGTATCCTGCTACTAAGGATACATGATTTATCTCCCTTACATATTGCCTGTTGTAAGACTGGATAACTTGTATGTTTAGGAGTGAGCTCCCCTGAGAGGAAGTGAATAAACATGTGCCTAGTAAAGAAGTCTTTTGTTTCTATAATTGTGTTCCAATGAAAATATATGAATACGTGTGGGTTTGACAATACACAACATGGTGGAGATGCCAAAAAGTTCCCCAACATAAGTATTTGACGCTGATTTTTATTGGATGGCTGATTTTCACTCCGATTTTCATGGATTGAATTGAGATTAATTGTGTTCCATTAGGTACCAGTGATTTCTGTGTGAGAAATGTCAGACTTTCAAACTACTAATTAGTGGTTGAGACTATTTCGAAGATCAACTTGAAAACTTAGTAACTACAATAGTTTACTCTAGCTAACATTAGCTGATTGGATTTTATTATTACTTGTGATTTGTCGCAGCATTATTCTTAGTATAGTATGCCTACTATAGCCACCATAGATAGGTCTAACCTACAGTAGAGTGGGGTAACATTTTAAATGTAGTGCAGTGGCCTTTTATTTCAACTTGTGTTGATCTCCTGTATACAGCAACTCGATCATAACCATTAATACAGATAATCTGATTGAGTGATTAGCTAAGTTTTTCAACATTGCTTGTAACTGAATTGTTTAACTTTGACAGTCCTCCATTGGATATGTGTTTGACCGTTTTAAGCAGTGTGTAAAGGACTTGTGGAAGCCGTCCATTTCAAAGAACAGTTCCAATTGTTTTTTTACCAGCCAGGACATTCATTGCAATTTCACTGTAACCTACATGTGATTACAGACTTTAAAATTTGTTCTTTTGTAAATTCTAGCTAAATAACAAATATTATATATATAATAGACAGTTTTGTATTGTTTTCATTTGAACTATTAATTGGGTTCCTCGATTTATTTCATCTATGACATTTACAAACCTAATAATTAGTAATATTGTCAGATAATTTTTATATCAAGTGTAACACTTTTGATAGGTCATTTTTTTGGATTTTCATTCTAGTAATTCCATTTTTGTGAAACTGTTAAAGTTTCTAAATATATATACATGTAATTGGTAAATACTGTTACTATTACTATTTAAATCACATGATTAATCATTTTTTTGCCTTTCAGCTTCCTACCATCCTTTTGACGTTGATCAATTTACGTAAACTTTAGTTAGTTATTCATTATGGAGAAAATGATCGATCGATTCGATGGCAATATTATTGATAGGGACAATGCTAGGGCCCACACATTAAGCTTTGAGGACTATCTATATCAAACGGACATATCGCCCGAGGATGGAGATTTGGAACATGTAGTTCGCCTTTTTAAACAGTCACTGAAGGGTTCTGCTCGGTTATGGGTTGAAAACCGTGATTTCGATTCATATGCTAGTCTAAAAGAACAGTTTATCAATAAGTTTTCTCCTACCAAGACTACTCTGGGTTTGTTTTCGCAATATTCTAGCTTACAGTATGACTGTTCTCTTTCTCCAATTGATAATCTAGAGAGGATTACAAAACTAGCTTCACAGTTGGATTATAATGCTTCTCAAATCCGAGATAAGTTTATATCAGTTCTACCTAATAATTGTAAGCAGTCAGTCATCATGGTCAGTTCTGATGACACACCAGTAGAGATCCTTGCTGCTAAGGCCCAGCGATACTTTGATGTCAGTTCCAGTGTTCCCTCTTCAACAGTGAAAGAAGTATCCTTCAGTATGTCTGAATTACAGGATGAGGTCTCAAATTTAACATTGGATTTGAGTACTCCTTCCCCATACACCGATAGTTCTGTCAGGAAGGTCCAGTCAGACCGTCGACTACATAGATCCCCATCAACAGACAGAAACGTTTCTCAATCTAGGTCTCATCGATCTCAATCACCACATAATTCTCGTTCATTTTATAGGACTCAATCACCTCTTAGGGATCACTCTACTTTCCGCAATAGATCACCGTATCCTTATAATTCTCAATCTAGGTTTCATCGCTCTCAATCACCACATAATTCTCGTTCATTTTATAGGACTCAATCACCTCTTAGGGATCAATCTACTTTCCGCAATAGATCACCGTATCCTTATAATTCTCGTTCATCATATAGAACACAATTTCCTTCTAAGCATCGGTCTGAAACTCAATCTCCTCATCCATCCAGACCACGTGTCATATTTTGTGATTATTGTCTTTATCCTGGCCATACTTGGCAGTTTTGTTACGTTCGTCAAGAGCATCTTTCTCATCGACAGTTGTCACAGAACGAGCCTACCCATCCAAATGGTCCTACCATATCTCGTCAGGATTTTTGAATTCGGGAACATTTGATAATCATGCTCCACAAATGTTCCCCAATTCCAATTTTGTAACAAAAGCCATTTCTGCAAATGCGGACCAAGACGTTATTGTTCAGTTAAATCGTTCTAACTTTTGTAAAGGTGTTTTACCTGATAAGAAATCAGTTATTATTTTGTTTGACAGTGGTGCATCCAAGTCTTTAGTATCACAGTCTGTTATTAACTCATCTTCATATCTGTCAAGTCTTTCTGTACATACGTTGGAAAATAGTTTAAATTTTCGTATGGGTAATGGTCAAATATTGACTTGCTTTTCGTTCATGATGGTTAAAATTTTTATACAAGGCTCTTGTTTTAATGTTAAAGTTCATATTGCCCCACATTTAGTTGGTATTGATTTAATCTTTGGTCAAGAAACCCTGTCAGAGTTAAAAGGGTCTTTACAATTTGATACAAATCAATTTCATTGCAAGTCTAAGGAAGTATCATTTACTCCGACCCACAGTGTTTATATTCGCCCTGGCCATACACGTTATGTAACCTTATATGGTAACGTGCCATCTATATACCGGAATCGTGAAGTTCTTCTTAAGAAAGTGTCAAAGGCACCATCTTCCTCGTTTATATTAGCAACATTGCAACGCAATAAAACCATCGTACCTATATCTAATCCCGGTAAGAAGACTCTTCATCTTAGACCTTCTCATCATTTATTTTATTTTAACACTGACAATCTCTTTTTATGTGATTCATCAGATTTTGTGCACCATTCACAACAAATTTCTCATCATTCTCAGAGTACTCTTTCACCTCATAAACCTGAGTTAGAGATTCTTAAGCAGACTATCAATTTGTCTGACGGTTGTATCTTGTCGCCTACTCAGAGAGAGGAGTTTCTGGAGCTTCTAACTAAACATAAGGATGCCTTTAGTTTGTACGGCGAGATAGGTCACTGTCCAAATTTAGAAGTAGATATAGAAGTCACTGATTCGCGTCCATTTTATATTCGTCCATATCACACAAATGAAAGCGATAAACAAGTTATTGATGCAGAACTTGAAAAATTAGTCAAGCAAGGTATTATAGCCGAGGGTCATCAATCTTATACCTCTCCGATATTGGTATTGCCCAAGAAAGGCAGCACTGAGAAACGCGTTGTCGTCGATTTTCGTCATTTAAACAACCGCATTAAAAGGTATAATCATCCCTTCCCTTTACTGGCTTCAACATTACAGCGGATAGGTAATGCCTCTCCCAAAGTTCTCAGTTGTTTGGATTTAAAATCTGCCTTTTTCTCTTTGCCCCTTGCCCCTCATGCCCAACAATATACTGGAATCTCATCATATCATGGCGGTCGACATTTCTATTTTAAAAGGCTAACCCAGGGCCTAAGTGTCTCGCCTGCCATTTTCCAGACAAAAATGGATAAAATCCTATCTGAAGTTCCTGACAGCCGCCATTACTGCATTGCACACCATGATGATATTATTATCTTTAGTAAAGATGCCCAGGATCATAGTAAGCATCTTCAGTCAGTCTTCAAAGCACTGATAGATAATGGTTTAAAGATTTCCCCTGGTAAATGCTCATTCTTCAGGCGTGAGGTCGTCTATATGGGCCACGTCATAAAGGTAAATGATGATGGACTTGTAATTCTGAAGGCTTTAGCAGATCGTTGTCAGTCTATTCAGCATCTCATCCGTCCTAAGTCCAGTAAAGAGGTACGTCGATTCATAGGAGCTGTAAACTACGTATCCAATTTTCTTCCTAGATTACAAGAAGTAATGCAACCTCTCCATAGCATTTCATCAAAAAAGTCCAAGTTTGCATGGTCCAATGTACATGAAGAGGCCTTTCAGAAAGTTAAATCTCTGTTAACTACACCACCAGTTTTGTATCTTCCAACGGCAACAGGTCATCTTACTCTCTATAGCGATACAAGCCGTTCTGCAACTGGCTCATATTTGACACAAGTCATTAATGGCAAGGAAAGGATCTTAGGTTATTACTCAAAGAAATTACCTCCAGCATGTGCCAATTACAGTGTCACTGAACTAGAAATGTTTGGTTTGCTAATAAACATCACCCATTTTCAGTACCTTCTCCAAGGAGTAGAATTCACTGCTGTCGTGGATCATTCTGCCATTGTACACATTCTCCGTTCTAAGAAAGAACCTTGTACTCAACGCCTTAAGAGGATTATCATCAAGCTTTCGCAATATTCCTTCCAAACATGTTATAAAAAAGGTACAGAGATGGTATTAGCTGATTTTTTGTCCAGGAGCTCCACTGATACTCATGATTGTGAAATTGATCAAGTGGTCCCCACAGCCTTTGCCTTTTCAGACTTTGCTTTTCCCATTCTCTCGCCAGTTAATCGACCTGTTACTCGTCGATATGCAAAGGAACAACAAATACCTATCCCAGATCTGTTTCCCAAATCTAAAGCTTCCTCAACTGTTTGCATACCATCTTCAGTATCTCAAGAAGATATACCTCCAACCACTCCTACGTCTGATTTCAACCCAGATTCAGAATCATTTGATAACCAGTCTCAGGCACAGATCCCACATAAGAATGTTTCCAACCAGGTTATCAACCCCGCTAAACCATCAAAGCCCCCTTCTTCGACTAACGTGCCCACTCACCAAAATACAACCTATTTGGGTAAACACAGACCAGTAGTATCCACAACAGAAACTCGTCCCGAGGAGCGTCTTGTTGACAAACCTGAGGATGGAATCGATGACTCAATTCCGATAGACTTGTGTATTCCTCCCAAACCCCTACTTCACAATTGTGAAAAGGTTGTTTCTTCTCATTTTCCAAAGCAAGCTGAACTGACCAAACTCTATAATGTTATTAAGCGTAAGATAATCAGAGATTACAACTTACCTTTTGATCAGAATAAACTTCGCTTAGAACAGGAAACATCTCCTTATTTCAAACAGGTTTATGACTATCTGGCACATGATATCTTGCCTAGCAATCGTAAAGCTGCTAAACGTTTAAAACTACAGTCAGAGGAGTATATTTTAGCAGAACAGCTTTTATTTCGCCTCCTGGTACATGATGATGATCGCTTTACTCTTCAGTTAGCCGTTCCGGAATCAATGTGTAATGGCTTAATCCATCAGTATCATGATAGCCAGTTATGCAATCATCAAGGTGTTGTTCGTACCTATTTAACCCTACGGAAGTTATTCTATTTTCCAAACATGTTTCAGCGAATTACACAGTATGTCAATACATGTTCAACCTGCCAACAATTCAAGCCCAAAACTGATACAGCCAGAGTTTTTCATCCTCGAATCCCTGAGGAATATAATGTTTTCAGCAAATTAAGCATTGATTTTAAGTCTATGCCCACATCAGTTTCTGGTTTCAAACATCTTCTTGTTGTATGCGATGAGATAACACGTTTTGTTATTTGTGTTCCTACAAAGTCTGTCGATGCAGAAACAGTTTGCGAAGCTTTAATTCAGAAGGTTGTTTGCCTATTTGGTCCTCCATCAGTTATCATATCTGATGCTGCTTCAAGTTTCACTGGAAAACTAGTGTCTTCACTCTGCACAGCCCTTGGTATTAGTCAGAAAGTGATTAGTGTTGCCAATCATGGTAGCCTTCTAGTCGAACGACACATCAGGTCAATTTCAGACTTCTTAAAGGTCAACTTAAATCAATATGGAACCGATTGGGTCAGATACGTGTCTACGTGCTGCTATGCATACAACTCCTTTTCTTCATCACGATTAGGTAGTTTTTGTCCTTACGAATTAGTGTTTGGTCGTAAACCGAAAAATCTTACTCATCTCAATTGGCAATTTGATGGCATTTGTCGCTCCTATTCGGATTATATTTCCCAATTGAAGGACAGATTTGATCATATGTCGAAGACCATAATGGATCTCCAGAAACGTCAGCAGGAATCACAAAACATAAGTGTTGCTCATAATCTGAGTAAGAATCCTGTTTACGGATTGGGTCAGCTGGTTTATGTTCTCAAGCCTTCGTCTTCCAGCTTAACCTCAAATTCACGAAAAATCAAGGCCGATTGGTGTGGTCCTTTGGTTGTCCATCAGGTACTCGATCGAACCCATTACGTTCTTGCCACATTGGATGGCAGGGTGCTTCCGGATGTCTATTCTATTAATAGACTAAAGCCATGTTTTGTACGGTCACCTAATTTTCAAACTAAAATTACCCATATTGATCAACTGCAAAAGGAGCTGGGTAATGTTCCAGCCAATAATGCTCATACCCTTACTGAAATTAATCCTTTATGTTTAATTACTGATGAGAATGATATTGTATTACATTCATTCAATGAGACTGTAATCCCTTATAATAGGATCACAAAACCAGTTAATTTACACCAGTATGTACATAATAGTGGTGATAACCATCATCTTGCTACTGTTGGGACTTTGTCTAATTATCAGTTCACTAAACAATGTCACGTTTTACAAAATGTTTCTAATGTGTCTACCATGGAGTTAAAGAAAGCACGGTTCAAGTGTGGTTCCCTACAAGTTTTAGTTACCATACCGCATACCGAGGCAAGTCATAAGTCTTCTTGGGTCCCTGTAAATTCTTGCCCTACATTATTTGCCATTGTCAATAACCTTGTTCATGATAATAAGCTCCAAGTTACAGGTAGCATTAGTAAATATCGATTGATTAACATGTAATACTGTTATTGTAGTGTTCATTCAGAAACCCAGCTGTATATCAACCTAAACACTGTAGATATCTACAACATGTGTTTTAGTACACTAATGGGGTTCGGAGCATTGTGAATGTTCACTTTAATAGCTTCCATATCGTATATGTAAATATATTGTTTGAGTTATAATATGTACCATAGTTTTAGTTTTGCTTTTCTTAAAATCATAGTTTAATCATAGTTCACAGTTTGTCCAACCAGTTGTACTTTGACTTCAAAAACTGCGTTTTTGATTTCAGTCGGGGGGATGTTGTATAGCCATATATTATTATTGTGGTCTGTATCCTGCTACTAAGGATACATGATTTATCTCCCTTACATATTGCCTGTTGTAAGACTGGATAACTTGTATGTTTAGGAGTGAGCTCCCCTGAGAGGAAGTGAATAAACATGTGCCTAGTAAAGAAGTCTTTTGTTTCTATAATTGTGTTCCAATGAAAATATATGAATACGTGTGGGTTTGACAATACACAACAGTATTCTTAGCTATAATTAATTAACCTGTTCTACGGTTCATTATTTTATCAATAGGATTTTCCAAACAAGGACCGACTGAAGCCGGCAATAATGAGCCGATTACGATGGAATGATTGAAATATTGTCGCCAATGACTTTTAACACGAATCAAATTCTAGTTTATCAGGGGAGGTAATTAATATCACGTGATACAAAATGGAGGTTCTTTCGATATCAATAAAAAAGGCAAATCTGCCAAACTTCGCCATTGTTCGGATAAAAAAGACAGCATGTTCATCTGAATCAGTTTTAATACATTTGAATAGATATACATGTATGGCGGATGTAGGTACATGCGGGATATTTTTTTTACGACTTGCTTGTCGATGTGCGGGCGGGCGTTACATATTTATTTTTTTTCATCAAGACTAATAAATAGACTGCACGCGCAACCAATTTTGCGTGCGGGCGGTGCCCGAGAAACAAGTTATTTTATTTGTGTTGCCTTATAATACAAATAAACACAGGTGTAAACATGTTATAATAATAGACATGGGTGTAAACATGTTATTTACAATATTAAACACAGGGGCAAATATATTATATAATATACACAGGTAGTGTAAACATTATATAATAAACACAGGTGTGTGTAAACATGTTATTTATAATAATAAACACAGGTGTAAACATGTTATATAATATACACAGGTAGTGTAAACATGTTATATAATATACACAGGTAGTGTAAACATGTTACATAATATACACAGGTGTAAACATGTTATATAATATACACAGGTATAAACATGTTATAATAATAAACACAGGTATAAACATGTTATAATAATAAACATGGTTGCAAACATGTTATATAATATACACCGGAGCAAACATGCTATAATATTAAAAATATAACTTACTGATGTAAACATGTTGTGTGAGAAAATATTTCAGGATTCCAGTTAATATAAAATACATCATAAAATCTACAGATGGATTCATAATCAATCCAAAATACACCTAAAGATAAACAAAATAAACCTTAGGGTGACAAATATACAGATTTTCAACATACAAATATACAAGCAAACAAACAGATAGTTTCAGTGTTAACTGATCAAGGTTTATGAATGTCGACAAATCTGTTTTATTAGTACCCGGTAATAGTATTCAGGCTATTCAGGCATTGTGATAGAAAGAAAGTAAAAAGATCAAGTTTAAACAAGATGACCCAATCAGACTAGCGGTGCGACTTCATTGGGGGGGGGGGGGGGTCTATCTTGTCAGAATATTACTTTGTTTAAAACCTGGACTGTCACAGATTTATTCAGGACGTCTGGTATGGTAACCCTATATTGTCTGCACCCTATAATGAAAATTATTCTTGAATCTTTATTTCTTAGTCTTGGAACAATCTGATTAAAATACAGATCTATATTTCGTTTCGTTTTTTTATACTTTCGATGGCCTACACTACATGAAGATCTGACAAGTTATAGCGATAGGTCACGTCAGGGGTCAAAAGACCAACTTATGACCCTATGACGTCAGACATTTGATTAACCAATCAGCATTGATGTTACTAGTGGATTACCCACAGTTCCGTGAAAAACACGTCTAAAGCTTGCCGTAACAGACCGTTTCATTGGCTTATCCCTGACACCATTCAGAACAAATGTAGTAAAGACAAGTAAAACGAAATTTTGAACTATAAAAACGAAACGAAATAGGATCTGTGTTTTAACCAGATTGAGTTTTGGAACTGTTACTTACCATTATCATAAAGTTGAGCACTTTTAGGATCAAAGTTTAAAGCTTTTTGTAAATCTGGTGTCCATGTGTCGGTATCGTTCTCACTATATCGGCCCTTCCACCGCAAATGATTCCATGGATTCTTTAGTTTAAATAACTGTTTTCCCTGAAATAATAATTTTACTATATACATCTAAGAGCACCTAAAGAAACATGTATAGGTATTTAGCTGATACCTGCCATAATGCAAGTCACAACAGAACTAGAGTTAGTCAAGATGAGTGACTTGAGAAAGTCTGAGACTGACTGCAGTGAGCACTTATTTTAGGACCGACTATTTCTTTTCCCACGCAGGGAAAACATTTCTTAGACCAACATGGCAACATATGTACAACAGAATAAGAGCTAAAAATATTTTTTCAAACATGACAAGTTGACAAGTTTATTTTATACTAGTTTTGTGTGAGTAGCATGACATATGCAATTTAGGTGCACAGATTCACACAAATACATTATTTGGGATTTTTTCCTACTATTTTGGGATTGTTTGTTTACGTCATTAATTCATTTAGTCGCTGATGCATAATTTTGCGAATGACTGCACTTATTTTGCAACCCACTATTTTTTTCCGAGGGGGGGTGTACCCCCCCCCCCACACACACACACACATTGACGCCCCTGGCGTTGTGTCCATTTCTAGATGCCAAAGAATAGGGGTTTAGCTCCTTTAATACAATATAAAAATTGGGTTATTTACCATTACTTCTCTGATATCTAACATGGCATAGGCATGAGTTGGAACTAAACCGGCCCGATCACCATCAGCATCAGACATTTCACCTGTTGCTACAGTTACCAGACAATGTCCCTTGTGGAATCGCTCTATTAAACGTTTAAATTCTCTGTTTTTATCAAATTCTGGAGAGTTGAGCCGAATGGCGACACGTTCTGGTATCCAACCAGTTAAAGCATTCAGATCTATATTCTAAAATAAACAGTATAGCATCAAAATTTTAATATCCAAAAAGCTCCATACTTTTCTGACAGAATAATCACCCCATAATTCAGAAGAACCATGTAAAGTAACAACCATTAAAATAACCAACAGTGATTAATATTAGGAAAAAAAAGTAGTCAGTGTTGTTAATAATCTTTTTAGCAATTGGAACAACTCCAAGGTACTACCAGTACTAGTAGATTAAAGAGTATGGTACAACTTTCCGCATTAAATTCAATGAATTTCATTCAGATTTTTAATAATTTAAAATAATTTACAGTATTCCCCTCAAAATATTATTCAGCTATTTGATATTTTTTAAAAATTATTTACTGGCATAGTGGTGGTTATATTTCATTTCCTATAGCAAGTGCTATTGGATTCAAACTTGTTCTTTCCATCTGATTTCAGTTTTATAACAGGATTTGTTTATTTTATCTTATGAAATATTTACTTACTGAGTTAGAACCAGGGAAATCATAGCCACCCATAACTTTCATATAGGCTTTTTCTAGTAATGATACCCACAGTTCATTTTTATTATTTGAGAAAGAACATAACAATTCACCGTGTCTTCCCATAGGTAAATAATCATCTAACACAACCTGTATAAACAAACATAGGTAAATAATCATATAATACAACCTGTATAAACAAATATAGGTATATAATCAACCTGTATAAACAAATATAGGTATATAATTATCTTATACAACCTGTATAAACAAACATAGGTATATAATCAACCTGTATAAACAAATATAGGTATATAATTATCTTATACAACCTGTATAAACAAACATAACATATATACTTAAAATATGAACTCTGTACTTAGTAACATAAGCAATCTCACCACATTCAAAAAATTATATTTTGCCTCCACAACATTTCATAAATTTGAAAATAAACTAGGGAATAACACCAAAATTTACCATCGTTATGCCACTATGAAAATCTTACTAAGTCTCAATAAATTTCAATCCGAAACATTTGAAATTGGATAGGCTTCTTCCTTATACTCTAAAACATTCAACAACTTTATCTGGTGTCATATTTACAATGTTTCATAAGCGTGAATGTAAATGGAAGACAAATTCAGATAACTCCCAAATTGGAAATCAAAAAGATTTTGATATTAATCTCTGCAAATTTAAACAAAACAAGATCGTTTCAGAAGAAAGTTGGATGGACCGGCGATGTATATACATCCACATTAAATGAAGATAATGAACAGGATACATAAGTTAAGTTAATATGGGTAATTATTGGACAATGAGTAAGTGCTTTGACAATTAAAAAATGAATTATTTTCAGGACAGGCCTATGTATGCAATTATTGAGAAAGAATTGATTCTCAAATCTATTCGTTTTTTATCCCTATTGTTTATAGTGTCCCCTTCAATAGGTAGAAATACATGACAAAAATACAAGTATTAACCTAAAGACATGGTTGACGGAGCTCGTCACAATTTGCAGGCGACAATGATTTATAGAATCTAAACACTATGTATTATTATAACTAACCTTTCTGGGTACACCATTAATATGTAATTTAACCATATATTTACCACATGGATTATATATTGGTTCTTTATGTTTATTTTGTGGATATATAATACTGTAAAAAATAATAAAAATAGATTCTGAATCAAGTAGTTCATCTCCAATTACTTAATCTGATATTGGTGTTTCTTTGAAAATATATCACAATGCTGCAGCTTGTTGCTTGTGGCTAGAATATAGGGTTCTACACAAAAATAACCAGTTTTATTAACTAAAATATATCTGGGATTGCTCCTATAAATAACTGAAATATTCTATAATATTTACCTTGTTATTAACTGTTTTTTAAATCTTCTTTCATATTGGGCGCTTATTGCTAAAGATGCTACAAAACTACAATCTGATACAATTGTCTATAATAGATACAATAAAACATTAATACTGATTCAAACATAATTCTTCCTCAATTCTATTCAAAAGAGAACGATAAATAAGTGTGGAAATAGTAACTCAACTAAGAACCCCAAAACTATCAGTATTAAGAATATATATGTGAGAAAACCATGAAAAATATGCCTGTATGTCATCAATTTCAAACAAACTTTGGTTTGTGTAACACCAACACTATTTGATTTTCAATTTTGCAGGCCCAAAATGGACAATTATAGCCTTATGTTTGAGAGAGTTGATCTGTGATGCATTTCTTCAATCATGATTACATCATTATCATGTGTTATTGGCGTGATCTGTTAAATTCAGACTTACAAGATAGAAGTGTATCCCTCAACTGAGATTTACCGTCGTCCATTTATAAAAGTGTTACGTTTTCATTGCATCTCAGTATATTTATATTGATAATTACCTAATAATAATAGCACTAAAATCATGGTAGATATGGATATGAAATGAAATCGGTTTATCCTCCTACTCTTCTGCACTGACTAGGCTAAGGAAGATGGTCATATATATGCCAAACAGTGTGCTATGAGGGAATTTTGTCCAGACAGCAGCTTCACGGTCTACTCATATATCCCATTGCAACTGCCAAGGAATCTTTTATGTGTACACCAATGTATACATGGGACCTTGTATTGGTTGTCCCATCCGAACGACTATATGTTCTTCCTTGCCAGACTCTCTGTCTGCACAGGTAGCTGTCCTCTGGTGTTTTTGTATTATTGTTATGTTACATCCAATCCCTACATGTCATATTATGATAATTACCTGTTTTATACTCAAACTAGAAACTGCATAGATCATTCTTGGATCATCACAAAATTCATCAGGACGAACCCAACGTGCAAAATCTTTCTTCTGTTTTGGAGATAAAGCTAGCTTTCCATCTTTATCTCTAATAATAAAAAGAGGGGTAAAAAAAACAAAGTTATAACTGTGCTGTTTAACAATACAAATCACTGGTAGACAAATACATACAATGTAAATAGTATTGTATTACAATATTATTTACATTGTATGTCTCTGTAAGAAAAGACAGGTTGCTAGGCTACAAAAGAAATACCCTACCAGAAGTGAAAAGTAGGCCTAAGGTTATGAACTAAAGAATCTCAACATTCAATTATTAATTAATTAAACATATAGTATATTTGATTATATTGTATAATACTTACGTATATGTTACTGGAAGTGCAAATCTATCACGTGTATCCACATCCATAAATGGAACATATTCTCTTTCATTAATAAATGATGTTGTCCTGCAAACAATATAATTATATGAAATACAATTACTTTAGGTGTGTGAGAGAAACAGAAATGGGGTCTAACATGGATCCACTCAACACAAACTAGGTCCTTTCAGAACAACCATTTGGTTCAATGTTATTTCACTTGCGCGTATGGTCGTAAGCTGTGGGAGGAAACAGAAGGACCTGGAGAAAAACAACAAGTTCGGACAGGCAACCCTACTCCTTGTCGTGTACAAGTGGGAAATCACAACCATGCTACTTGACTCACTTACAGACCTTATGATCTTATACATACACTTTAAACCATTCGGCCACCCATCCCCCAACTACTAAGAGGAGTGATATAATCAATTTACTTTTAACCTAATAACTGGTTACTGTAGTTAAACATTCAATAAATCTCAAGTTAGAGGTTGAATGTTTAATTGATCTAAATGCACCTTTTTTTTTTGGTGTTTGAGAAAAAGTACAGAGGTGAGAAAAGTATTGTAAAAAAGTGCAATTACCTTAGTACAGCAATTTCTTCTTTAGTATATCCACCAGCAACATTGTTTGGTGGAATTAAAATATTTGGATTAGGAACTGAACCAGATAATTTACCCTCAGAACCATCGGAGAGGCCGAGAGGTCGTGGAACAATTTTGACATTATCTGGTTTGATATTTTTGTTATGTATTTTTGGTGTTTTCTTTAAAATTTCTGCCCTGAAACAAGGATATAACCTCAGACATCATGACAGTTTTCTTTATGATTCAATATTAGACTGTTATAAACAAATTTGGATATTTAAAATACAGATGTGACATCATCCTTTGATGTTGGCGAACTATTATTTCAAATAATGGTACAGGTAATGTGCCAAGCGTACATTATTTATACTAGTTGAAATTTTGGACCCACGTGACATATTTCAGTGCAAAGCACATGCGAGTGTCTGTATCTTAAGTTATTTCAATATATTACTTAATGTCTTGCTCTCGACCATTAAACCTCACATATTGTACCTAGATTAATGTACAGATGCAAAATTTTCAATGTAAAAATATTTTCATGTTTCAAAAACACATTTAATTAAACTGATACTTTATCCAAATCCAAGTTGATTCTAATGTTTTAAAGCTAGAATAATAAAATAAAATAAACTAAACCATTCCATAGCATACCAGTACAGCATGTTTCGCTATACTTGTGATAATGTCATGGGTGATTTTGTTCAGTGCTTTCTTGTTTGACTGAACTGCATGTGATCACACTCTGTTGTAGTAGGGTCTTGAATTAAGTCTGAAATTTGGGTAACACATTCCAGTTTTAAGCTATAATGTTTGTACTGTTTACCTTTCTAGTGCCTGTGTGGCCAATCTTGTTACTTTACTTTCTAATACTTGATCTGATGTGTCTTTTGTCTGTAAATAAATTTATGTCATTATTAGGTCAAACAAAAAAATATTCTGGTTCTCAGACAATCCTTACCAAAAATCTGAGAGAGGATTTTGTTTCGTCAAAGCTTCACTAATTGGCTAAATGACTTCTATACACATCAAATTGATGTATATAGGAATGTATGATTATCCAGTATCATTTATGATTGTCATTAACATTTATCAGGGTTGTGTCACGGCCATAACTAGCTCACAGCAACAAGGGGGGCGGTAAGTATTCTCAAGGGTGCTGTAAAATTTACGGACAATGTATATCTATTTTTATACGCCCACATTTTCATGTGGACGTATATTGTCGTCGCCCCTGTCCGTCTGGACGTCTGTCCGGACGTCCGTCCGTCCACAATTTGTTTGTGGACTCTCTACAGGTCACAATTCTTGTCCGATTTTGACAAAACTTGAAATATAGGTTTATCCCTAAAAGATCTCGGCTGCTTTCAATATTGGCATGTATCGGACCATAACTTCCTGAATTATGGCCCCTGATTGTACCAAAAATTGCATTTTTAGCTTGTGGACCCTATAGAAGTCATAATTTTTATCCGATTTAAAAAAACGTATTGTTATATCACTGTTACACCCTAAGGACGGCTGAGTTCGAATTTCGTGAAAATCGGAACAAAATTGACAGACAAAATGGCCGCCATTCGTTCTCAAATAGAGTAAAAATATGGTATATCAAGGTTGTGGACCCTATAGAGGTCACAGTTTTTATCAGATTTTTTTGAAACTTGAAATGTAAGTTTATAACCTAAAGATTTCGGTTCCTTTCGATATTCGCACATATCGGACCATAACTTCCTGAATTATGGCCCCTGATTGTACGAAAAAAGGCGTTTTTAGCCTGTGGACCCTATAGAAGTCATAATTTTTATCCGATTTAAAAAACCGTATTATTATATCACTGTTACACCCTAAGAGCGGCTGAGTTCGAATTTCGTGAAAATCGGCCCAAAATTGACAGACAAAATGGCCGCCATTCGTTCTCAAACAGCGTAAAAATATGGTATATCAAGGTTGTGGACCCTATAGAGGTCACAATTTTTATCCGATTTTTTTGAAACTTGAAATGTAAGTTTATAACCCAAAGATCTCGGTTCCTTTCGATATTCGCGCATATCGTACCATAACTTCCTGAATTATGGCCCCTGATTGTACGAAAAATCGCGTTTTTAGCTTGTGGACCCTATAGAGCTCATAATTTTTATCCGATTTAAAAAAACGTATTGTTATATCACCGTTACACCCTAAGGACGACTGAGTTCGAATTTCGTGAAAATCGGCCCAAAATTGACAGACAAAATGGCCGCCGTTCGTGCTCAAATAGCGTAAAAATATGGTATATCAAGGTTGTGGACCCTATAGAGGTCACAATTTTTATCCGATTTTGTTGAAACTTGAAATGTAAGTTCAAACCCAAAGATCTCGGTTCCTTTCGACATTCGTTCATATCGAATCGTAACTTCCTGAATTATGGCCCCTGATCGTACGAAAAATGTTGTGGACCCTGTAGAGGTCACAATTTTAATCCGATTTTGATAAACTTAAAATGCATGTTTATAACCCAAAGATCTTGGTTCCTTTTAATATTCATGCATATCGGATCCTTGATTGTACGAAAAATAACTTCTTTTTTTTAGCTTGTTCTCTGTCCATCTCTTGCAAAATGTGGGCGTATCTTGCATGGCAACCGCTTGTTTAAATGGTCGACAATTTGTTCACAATGTGGGGGGGGGGGGCTGCGTTATGTAATTGATAAATGAGCCTATGGATTCGTTAAAATATTTTTATACAATATTTTGTGGCAGTAACTAATGAGCCTTTTTTTATTTTTCATTTTTGAAACAAAAACGGGTCATATGGCCCTTTTGAAGTGATGTGTGAAAATCTGGCCTTATCAATGATTACATAAAGAGAAACAAAGTCATGTCTTTATGTCAGAATATTTTTTTCCATATACAAGCATATTATGGCTACAAGGCTTGCTGATTATAACTTGACAGACGATTTACCATTCACAAATGAACTCATCAATCAATATTCTTTTCAAATTGTTATTTTAATTATCTTACCACTTTGAGACATATTGCAATAGCCTGACTATATAGTTCTATAGCTGTATCTATATTATTGGCTTCATCTTCATCCTGAGCTTGTTCTAATAAAAACTTAGCTCTCTCCACATCAGACTAAAATAACACAAACAGTAAACAAACAAATTCATGTGTACCCTACTGAAAATACATTTCTCAAATCTCATTAATAAAAACTCATTATCAAATGAAAGTTATATTACAACACAGAGAAAATGAAAAAGTGTCTAGCTACTTTTCTTACATAGAAAACTGTTCTTTCGGCTGGGTTCCTCCTTTTGCTTGAACAGCTGGAATTTGCTGTAGTGGGAAACAGTACCTGCTGCAAATTGCTACGTCTCCAAACTTATAACCTGTTTTTTCACTTTTTCCTAGTCAACACTTTTTATCAGAGGGGTTATAACCAGGGATCTTAATTGGCTGATTATAGTTTGCTTCAGCCGCTTGAATGTTTGAAAAAGCAGATTGATAAAACAATAAACCGGTCACTACGGTATCATAAATCAATCTACTTTCAGCTAAATTCCAACGGTTTAACTAATAACACTTTGCCATCTTTGTCAATGTACTGTGTGACTATCGACAGTATGTCAAAGCTGGACCATGGCTGATGTAGTGAACATCAAAAAGCTGTTCATGTGTAGTTGATGATTCTTGCAGCATGGCTACCCATAGGCTTTGTGAAAGAGAACAGTTAGGAAACCATCATCAGTACTTCGTTAATAGTAAAATCTTCATTCAACTGTTATGCTTATATACCTTAAGTTAAAAGTAAGAGAATATTTCTACAATGAACAAGATTATAATTTTGGGGGAGCTGTCTTCATGCATCATTTAAGATAGAAATATTATCACCTGTTGTTCTGTGTGTAAAGGTGGAGATGATTTGGTAGAATCTTTAGATTCTGAATCCACTGAAATAAAGAAATAATAACATAAGTCATTTCAGTACATGTAGTAACACTGGTTAGTTGACATTCATACAAATGGAAGCATTGCTACATGTACTTTAGTTTCTTTGTAAACAGTAATTGTTATTTTGTGAACATATGATATATTCTTTCAGTTAGTATTGATACAGCAATATCCAGATGGTTAAATATTCAATTCTGTGAAGTTTTAGAATATCAAAAATGATCATGACCAGTAACATGTTCTCAATTCAATTTGTGCAGCTTACATATCTTTTTAAGTTGTTCAGCTCTTGCAGTGTATTCCTGAGATTTCTCATAAAGATTAGGTACTGGGGCACCGGCTTGGTATGCTGAAAACAGGGCTTGAGCAGCTTCCTGAAAGGGAAATAAAATCAACTTTTGAAGTTCTGTGGTATATACAGAATACAATGAAATATCTTGAGAACTCATCTCAAGAAAATCGCACTTGAGTGATGTAATGCTAGAATTATAACAAAAAGCTGTTAGTAATAAATAAAACAAACTACAGAATTTGCATTTACAAACAATTATTTTTTTTTACAAAGATTAAGATTTATTTTGCAATACAGATTTGTTACATTTTCAAAGGCATAACATTTTTAATGGCAATTAATTAGGTAAACATAGAGGTAAAAAATAATGCATTTAACCATATACATATAATTAGTAAGATATTTACTATATAATAAAAATAACAAGCCATCGCTGAGACTGATTTCCCCACCTCGATCCCAAAATAAACAAGCCAACAGTGAGGCTGATGTCCCCCGCCGAAATAGGAAAATAATTAGAGGACACATATAAATTTATCACAAATTATCTTTTACAAAGTATTGAACAATCAAACAGTATATCTTTACTTATAGTCTAACAATCAAAGTAGGAGAGTTATTGTTTTCCAAAGTCTCGACCAATCAAATTGCGTATCGCTCTGCTTACCCTGAGCAGAAAATGCTCATTATCAAACTTAGTCAAGGTATTACTGTAATGAAACTATACACCAAGTTTCATCAATCTCACTTAATTAGAACTAAAGTTATCGTGTCCCAAAGCATCAACCAATCAAATTGCTTATCTCTGCTTACCCTAAGCGGAAAATGCTCATCTTCGAACTCCATCAAGGCATTGACCTAATCAACACATACACCAAGTTTGAACATTCTAGCTCAATTAGGAAGAGAGTTATCGTGCCCCAAAGTATCAACCAATCAAATTGCTTATCTCTGCTTACCCTAAGCGGAAAATGCTCATCTTCGAACTCCATCAAGGCATTGACCTAATAAACACATACACCAAGTTTGAACATTCTAGCTCAATTAAAAGTTATCGTGTCCCAAAGCATCAACCAATCAAATTGCTTATCTCTGCTTACCCTAAGCGGAAAATGCTCATCTTCGAACTCCATCAAGGCATTGACCTAATCAACACATACACCAAGTTTGAACATTCTAGCCCAATTAGGAAGAGAGTTATCGTGTCCCAAAGCATCAACCAATCAAATTGCTTATCTCTGCTTACCCTAAGCGGAAAATTCTCATCTTCGAACTCCATTAAGGCATTGACCTAATAAACACATACACCAAGTTTGAACATTCTAGCTCAATTAGGAAGAGAGTTATTGTGTCCCAAAAAGTGTGACGGACAGACAGACGGACAGACGGACGGACGGACGGACGGACGGACGGACGGACGGACGGACGGACGGACGGACGGACGGACGGACGGACGGACGGACAGACAGACAGACAGACAGACAGACAGACAGACGGACGAACCCATTTTAATAGTCCCCTGCTTTCTTCGAAAGGCGGGGGACAAAATAGATGACACTCATTAATTACAGGCAAATATAACATTTTATAAAGCATTGAGCAATCAAATTATTCATCATGCTGCTGAACCTGAGCAGAAAATGTTCATGATCTTTTTTAGTCAGGATAATGGTGTAATGACATGATACACAGAGTTTTATCACTTCCAGTCAATTAGAATCAATCAAATATATTGTGTTTAAAAGTCTCGACAAATCAGAGAGAGAGAGAAAGAAATGGGGTTTAACGTCTACTCGACACAAACTAGGTCATTTTGGGACTAACATATGGTTTAATTTTATTTCAATAATTCGCTTGCACGTAGGGGACTTTAGCAGTGGGAGGAAACCGGAGGACCCAGAGAAAACCCACAAAGTTGGACAAGCGACCCTACTCCTTGTCAGGTACTACTACAAACATCAACACTCATTGGTTAATCAAATTTCTGATGTCATAGGGTCAAAGGCCGCTCATATGACCCATGTAGTAGAGGCCATCGAAAGTATTAAAAAATACGAAACGAAATATAGATCTGTATTCTAATCAGATTGATACCAAAACTTAGTAAAATACCTTCTATCTTAAAACAAGTTTAGCAAGATATACCAATACCAATTCGAGTAAAATACTTACTATATAATAAAAAAGAGCTGTTTCATGTTTTCCTTCTCTATCTAATTGCACAGCACATGATGCTAGTGTCACACCATCATTAACCAGGGCACCTGGATCATCACCATGGTTACTGTAATTTGGATCATCACTCATTGTACTTCTTCTTTCTAAGATCTATAAAGATCATTTGAGTAGATTCTTTGTCTAAAAATATAAAAATAATAATTATATCTGCTTTGATGATATTATGAGAAAATAACATGAGATGAATTTGATTTGGTTTTAATCAGTTGTGGATACAGTTCAATTCTTAGCTCTCAAAAGACAATGTATTAAATGTATTTCAAAGAGATAAATTTGATCTGGTTTTAATCAATTATGGATGTAGACTTTCAATTCTTAGCTTTCAGATGACAAACTATGAAAATTTTCGCTCTTATAAGTATGGAAATATAATTCATGGATCGCAGAAAAGTAAGATATTAAAACCATTTCATTTTCTTAGGACTAGCAACACAACCCCAAGAAGTTTATAACAAAAAAAAGAATTTCAGCAACAGAAACAATAACCCTCGATAAAAACAATATGCTATGACTAGTTCATGGGTTCCCAACGTTTTTCATTCTGTTTACCCCCAGTAACTTGTTGAAAATTAATTCAAGTTACACTTTTACTATAATAAGACAACCGACAAAGGGGAACTATTAAAGTATGAGTAGTGTTTTTATGTTTATTTTATGTTGAAATAACAACTGTTATTGTGGTTTACCAAACCCTTGCTTTTAACACTCAATTAATGTCCCATAATTAAATAGTAGTCTAAAAAGTAGGAGTTGATTAATTTATAAAAGTATCAATCCCATATGTTAATTATAGAGTTAATCAAAGAATAAATGCTGTATACTGCATTTTACAGTGCAGATGTACAGTGGACAATTGTGGAATGTTGAATAGAAACGTGTTCGTTCAAAATCATTAAAAGAGCAATAGGAACCAACTTAAAAATACATTCTAGAAAAATACTGGACAAAAATTCAAGGGTGCCACTAACTGACAGTCTGCTTGAGTGAGAATACTAAAGATACTAAAACTTCCAGTAGATACTGTGAATAAAAAGCAGAAAAAGCAGTTACAAGAGGATGTTCCAACTATTTACTTAGACTTTGATATTTTTGGTACCAGTAAATGGACAGCTACACATGACAAATACGAAATTAAATGGATTCTCCCTCAATCAATCATGTCATGTGACAAACAGAAATGAAATGGGGTTTAACATCCTATTGTTCTGCTCCAAACTGGGCTAATGAAGACGGGCATCATACATATACCCATACAGTGTGCTACATGTATGAGGGAAATTTTGCCCAGACAGCAGCACTACGGCCTACTCTTATATTGAATTCCAACTGTGAAGGGATCTTTTATGTGCACGCGAATGTGTACACAGGAACTTGGTTTTTCGTACCATCCAAATGACTAAACAAGGGAGAACCACGCCGGAAATCTGGATGCGCCTTCTCTGCCAATACAGGGATCAAATACGCGACTTCCAGACTAGCGAGCCAGCGTCTTACCCACTTAGCCACTGTGACCCCCATGTGACAAACAAGGTTACCATACTTGAAATAGATACTTGTCTCATGAGGTATTTTTCTCGAGATTAAAATGTTTTGACAGAGATTTAAAGCAGAGAGAGAAAAATGAGGTTTAACATCCACTCAACACAAACTAGGTCATATCAAGACTAACATATGGTCCAATTTTATTTCAATAATTTGCTTTCGCATAGGGGTCTTCAGCAGTGGGAGGAAACCGGAGGACCCGTAGAAAACCCACAAGGTTGGACAGGCGACCCTACTCCTGCGAATTAAAGCAATTTTTTGACAGATAAATTAGCTTGGATATTTTTTTAATCCAAATATGTCATCAAATCACATAGTATGAAGTCATTTTTAAAGTGGAATATGGCATTGGTTTGGTGTAATCTATCCTGTGAAGAGAGTAGGCTATATAATATACATAGCCTACGCTTTCAATCAATATGATATATAATCTGAAGGTAAATGATTCAGCAACTTATTAGAGTATTGTTTTTACAACTGAGTAAGGTGTTTTTTATAACTGTGTAAGGCAAGGTGTTACTTACTACAGGACTACAGAACTACAGGGAAATTTCTAAAAAAAAAAACCTCCGAAACAGAAATTGACAAGCCCTTTTATTTTATATAAAGAGGCTATAAAATCAGACAATTCTAACTAGTCATTGACACAATATAAATTACAGCATATATAACTCACCAATAATTTGTCAATAACTATAAATGTACTTCCCACAACGAGTCAAACTACACTGTCTCTATTCTGGTTTTCCCCGAAATGAATTAATGTTTACACCGGAAGTTGAGGACACCATACGAAATGTGATTTTCGTTAATAGAAGAGTTTTTTTTTTTGTACAGCTATAATTATTCACAAACTGATCAGCAGTGAATATTCGCTTGGGCGTTATAAGAAGGCGAGCTGTCGCATTCGGTGAACCTTTATAGTAAATTCATATACAGGAAAGGCTAAACCGTAAAGTTCTATGGCTAAAACAGCACATGCTAAGAAAAGTGACCCAACGCCCCATGCTGTACTACGGGGGGCACGTACCCATTACAAGCAAAAGAACTGGAAAACGGCTACTAGTAGTAGTACTAGTAAAAAGATGCTTCATAATCAGAAAGACGAGATCCACCTTAACGACACAGAGCACCAAAATCTACTGGACATGATAAGAATAATGATCGATGAAACTGCCCGATGCTACCTCAAAATGCAGAAGCCCCTTCTGTAACAGGGGAAAATCATGGAAGATTGACAACTGCCTCAGTCTCTTCCATGATTCAACAAGTATTTTTTTTTTAAATTATAATTTATATCTTTTGAACCAAATTACTGCCATACCATAAATTATTTTTTTTTATTACATAATACACATACTTATTACCCTTCACCTTAAATTTTTTTTGTTATTTGTTTCTACCCCCCAAACGGGCGGATCGGGCCATCGCCCGAAGGGCCGGTCGGACAAAAAATGGAAACAATAATTTTGTCCAATTCGTCTAAAAAACCTCTTTCTGCTGAACATTATATGGTGGAGGGGGGGGGGGGTATTGGACCGGTGTGGCAGTTTCAGATGGTTCCTGGTGTGTGATTACCGTTTGGCGCATGCGCAGTTGTAGGAGTCAACTCACACCGTTACAGTCGCGGTGTGCATTGACTCCTCGTGATAGGATTTCCCCTAAGATTTTCTTACGGTCAAATCAATATCAATATACCACCACGAGAGGATGCAAATTGACGATCTTTATTATTATTATTTAGTATATATACCCGTCCACAATGCGAACATTCTCTCGTGTATTTGGGCTGTCTACATGCATGTTTGAATGTATGGGATGGTATAATAAATTTATATTTATGTTAAAGAAATCGGAATAAGTTGTTGTTAGTTAGTTGTATTTTACATGCGTTTCCACCGAGGTGATATCGCATACAAAATCGGAATAGTTAGTTAGTTGTATTTTACGTCCGCTTCCACCGAGGTGATATCGCAGACAATAAGAAATAAGAAATTCCATACTTTTATATTTGTGATAAATGAAGCCACGAAATATCAAAGGCCTTAATCTTCCTTTGGAGGTAAATTAATTGATAATTTCAAGCCAATCATCAATTTATATGGTTTCCACTGATCGTACGTGTGAAGAACGACTAATCACTAAAAAAAAACAACGGCAACAAATCACGAACGATAGTAACTACTCATCACTAAAACAACAGCTAATCACGATAACAAGTATGTTTATTAATGACAAAACTCTAATCAAGTACATGATATACTTTTTCCTGTACTGACCAGGAACCAACTCACACCGCAGGAAGTAGATATAGTTTCGTTGTTAAGGCAAACATCAGTTTCGGACATGCGCAAGTGCCCAGGAGAAAACACACACCAGGAGTCAACTCAAACTATCACACCGGCCATGGAGCGATGATGATCATGTTGTATGTGGCCGGTGGCTTTAACGGGCCGCCACGCCATCACTAGCGTCTGGAATGGGCTGGTATAATAGACTTTCTGGGCCGGTTGGAATTCACCCGACACTGTCGCCCGCAAATTTACTAATTATTAAGTCATCTGCACCCTGTTTGTGGGGATACGCCAGAAACATCTGCCGATGGTTCGTAACTCCCCCCCAAAAAAAATCAATTTTAAGCCCTCAGCAAAATTTGATGATAGCTGGTCTGCTGGCTGAATAGGAGTGCGAGACGATTTCCTGAGGCTGGTGTTAAACATTCCTTGACATTTTTATTAACTCGTTATTTTCAGAGATGGAATTACAGAATTGGGATGTCGGGAATGGTCTCAAATTGCGGGAAATGGCCTCCCATAATAATCAGATATGCCACCAAATCGCATATTTGGGGTTCATTTTTCCAAATTTTCCCGGGGGAAAGCCGCGTGTGCAGTAAAAGGGACCGCTCCGACACGGGAGCCCGGGCCGGTTTTTCGTATCATCCGAAGGACTAGACAGCTGTCCTTGTCAGGCCCTCCGTTCTGCACCACTGACAAGGGGAAACCACGTCGGAAAATCCAGATGAACTTTCTCGGCCAATGCAGGGATCGAACACCCGACCTCCAGGCTAGCAAGCCAGCGTCTTAACCAACTAGCCACCGTGCCCCCCCCCCCCCCCCGAAAAGAACGAACAACAGAAATATATACTATTCAAAAAAAGTAGGGGATATTTGATTTTTAAGTGTTATTAAAGTCACCTAATGAAACTGACGAAGAAACAAATGACAAAATGAAATGAAGTTCACATTCATCGATTTATTCCAAATGATCGTTAGACTAAGTAAGGCACAGACTGACCATTATAAGGGTAAAATGATACCCGGGGTCAAACAGCAAAGTTACCACAGCATCACAACCAAGTCAGTAACGGGTAAATCCTCCTCTGTTTGCCAAACAAGCATTGATCCGACGTGGCATACTCCTAATGAGACGTCTAAGGTCATTTTGGTCCAGATTGTCCCATTCCTGTTGCAACGCAGCAGCAAGTTCTTGGACATTGGCAGGACGTTGTTGACGTTGACGTAACCTCTGTCCAAGCATGTCCCAGACATGCTCGATGGGGGAGAGGTCGGGACTCAGTGCTGGCCAAGGTAATGTGGTGATGTTCTGTTGTTGGAGGTAACCTGTAACGATCCTGGCCCTGTGACATCTTGCGCTGTCATCCTGGAAGATGAAACGGCGGCCATGACGTCGTGCGAACGGCACAACATGGACTGCCAAGATGTTGTCCCGGTAGTACTGGCCTGTAACACGCCCTGCAACAACATGTAAAGCCGTTCTTCCAGCAACAGTGATGCCTCCCCACACCATAACAGAACCACCCCCAAATCGATCATGTCTGATGACGTTAACGTCTTGGAAGCGCTCGTTTTGACGACGCCACACCCTCCTACGTCTGTCCAAAAAATCAACAGTGAACCTTGACTCATCTGAAAACATCACATTGCTCCAGCGTCGATTATCCCAGTGTTGACGATCCCTACACCAACGACGTCTTGCCTGAATGTGATGATCTCTCAAACAAGGGATCACGCGAGGACGTCGGGCGCGAAGGTGACCCCTATGCAGTCGATTCCGAATCGTCTAGCCACTCACTCTCACACCAGTGTCTGTTTGAAGACGAGCGCTGATCTGATTTGCTGTGATGACACGATTTCTCAAGGCCAAGGTACGGATAAATCGATCCTGAGCTTGAGTTGTCGCCCTTGGTCGACCTGAGCGTGGTCTGTCCTGTACAGATTGTGTATCACGGTATCTGGACCATAGCCTGCTTATGACAGACTGAGAAACATTCATCGTCCGCGCCACAACCGCCTGTGTTGTGCCGATCTGTAGCATGCCAAGGGCACGTAACCTTTCATTTTGGGTAAGCCGACGCATATCAAAATTTGTTTTCTGGTAACTAAAACAATTAAACTGATGTTTCCACCCTGGAATTCAATGCCACAATGACTGTAACATTCAAAGTCAGAGTCGTGCAAATCTTGGGTTGGACCCCCATGATGATCCCAAGCATCACCTGCATTCCATGCGGTAGCTATTGGTGCGTTTGGGCGTCACATGTAACTGGAAATGTTTCTTCTGTTAGGTTCTATAGTGACTTTTTTCGTAGTCATTTGCATATTTTAGTATTATGCCCCCAAAATCAAATATCCCCTACTTTTTTTGAATAGTATAGATGAAATCAATTACCATATCATACTGCACGCAGCGACCCATCTACGTCATACTTCCCAGAATATTCTCAGCCGGAGCTAGCTGTAGATAGGCAGCCTAAGTTTGGGATGTTACCATATCAGACAAAAAAAACCCAAATGGTAGGAAGAATGGACCAGGCCATACACTCACCAACAAACCGCATGGAAGAATTGCACCGCCCTTCCATTCAACCAGACAAATCGACCTATAAAAATATATATGTAGATACAATAATATATGTCACTTTGTCTAAATGTTCGTCCATATTCACGTCTGTTTTGTTTACATATTCGTATTGTGTGTATGTTAACCTACTATAAACAATAACACGGCGAGAATATGCATTCACTTGATACACTCGCTCCGTTCGTTTGACACCTCTCTCTCTGTTCGGATAAGCTGGTGATTTGGCGACGACCAGTATCGGAAATACTTTCAGGCTGTATTTCCGGCAGTCTATTTCACAAAATATTGTGGCGAAAATACACATTCACTTTGATTCACTCACTCCGTTCGTTAGACACTTTCCTCCCTGGTCGGATAAACTAGAGATTTGGCGACAGGCGGTATCTGGTAAGCTCTATTTATTTTGACGATCAGTGTCTGAAATACTGTCTGTACATTTGACACTTTCCTCTCTGGGGTCGGATAGACTAGTGATCAGGCGACAGACGGTATCTGATCAGCTCTATTTATAGACCGGGAGCCCAGGGGGTCAAGGTAGTTGGAAAGTGTACCAATTTTCTCCTATATGGTATCAATGCATGTGTATCTGGTATCATCAGAATGTAAGTCTGCCGGGTTTCTGGTGGTGGGTACTCTGTCAGGAGTACCCCACCACTAGAAATGTCTGTCAAAGTGTTTTTGTAATACCTGAAGATGTACGGTACACTGTGGTACGATTTTCATGTGGTACACTTTTGAGCTAATCTAGCCTAGTTGGCTGGCATGGCATTTTGGGCATGGAATACCACACCCACCACCAGAAACCCGGCAGACTTACATTCTGATATACATGCATTGATACCATATAGGAGAAAATTGGTACACTTTCCAACTACCTTGACCCCCTGGGCTCTTGGTCTATTATCTCTACAATCGGCACGTCTGAATACTGTCAGACAGCATTTCCGACAGTCTATTTTTCAAAATTTTCTTGGGGAGGTCACCAATACCCCCCACAAGGACTCGCTACTTTGGCGCTCACGAGGGGACTTCGTTGAGGTTCGCAAGTCCGTTCGTTTGACACTTTGTTCTCTGGTCTTATAAACCTGTAACGGTAAATCTCTTTGATCTTTGGGATATATTCTATGCCAGGAATAACTTGCGGTCTGAAAGTCGGGGGAGGTTTTAAATATACAGGGAAATTTGGGGTTATTCTTCTGAAACGTTTTCTTTAAACCTGTAACGGGTTATTCTTCCAGGGTAGGTTATTTTTCCCATAAGAAAACATGATATAAGGTTTTTTCTTGTGGGAATTTTGGGATATTCTCATTTTGCGTACATGTAAACATAGACGGTTTATAAGCAAGATAAAGTCCTCGACCTCGGATATGCTGGGGAAGAAAGACTTCAGAAAAGACCCTCGATAGAAAAACCTCGGTTTTTCTTTCTCTCGGGTTATTTTCTTCACCAGCATAACCTCAGTCTCGTGCTCTATCCTACACGGATAAGGCGACGGACGGTATATGGTCAGATCTATTTATCTCGACGATCGGTGCTTAACTGTGTACTGTCAGACAGCATTTCCGGCAGCCTATTTTTCTAAATTGTCTGGGAGAGGTCACCCATACCCTCAGTAAGGACTCCATACTTTGACACTCGTGAGTGGGCTTCGCCGAGGTTCGCAAGTCCGTTCGTTTGACACTTTGTTTCAACGATCCGTGCCTGGAATACTGCCAGGCTGCATTGCCGGCAGCCTGTTTTTCAAAAATTTCTGGGGGAGCCCTCTACCCCTAGTTCAAGCTCGTGCCTTTCCTCATTAAATGTTTAGAATTATAAATGGTCCGCAATACAACAGATTTTTGCATTTCTGTGTAAAATAATAGTTGATACAACGGTGCTCCACTTGCTGTCCCACTATATACCGACCTGGGGTTCAAAGAAGTGCTATTAACATGATCTGTTGATTTGTTAACGTATTATATAAACTGTTATAAAATATCAAAACACGCGATCAACACGTTCTTTATATACATACGGCCTATAAAACGCCAAAAGTATTTGTTATGTATACTGTAGCATTGTGTAGTTTGAGATTTGGGTCACCCTAGAATTATATAGATTTTTCTTTTAGTAATCTTTATTTTGGGACAAAGAATAGTTGGCCCATGCTTTATTCTAAATTCATCAGCTGTTATTTTCTCCCTAAAGAGTAAAGATTAATTCGAATTCTGTTGTTGGTCAACCAGTCCGGGCTATGGAAAGTTGTTATCTGGATATAACTGAAATCGCATAACGCTTATCTGATTAAATATTATTATAGAGAAATTAATAAAATATACCCTCGTTTTGTTTTATGAACAGGTAGTACAACATGCCACTTTATTCACTGCTATACATATATACTGAATTTTAGAATAAATCAGAGTAAATTGTCCGTAATGCTAGGTTCCCACGACTATGATTCGTGCTGTGATTGAAATCGTGGTTTTAATTATTATACATGTATTTATATAGCGCTGCTTTCACTCTAAAAGTGTTCAGTAGCGCTTTACAATAATTGCAACAAGTCGAATAAAATATAAAATGACAATATGAAATATAAAGTTACTGCCAAATAAAATATAAAAGTTACAAACAAATAAAATGACAAATTAAATAATAAAGATAGGTTGCCAGGCAACAAAACATACGTTATGGAGTAATCGAGGTGATCTTATCAGTTCTTATCATAATATATTGAGGTCGGTCGTTGCAATCGTGTTGATCGCATCAAAACGTATCCGATCGTTTCTGCACGTGGGCAATCCTATCGTAACGCATCGCACGACAGTGGGAGCGTAGCATAAATGATAATTTGTCGTGAAATAGTCACGTTTGACATGATGACATCAACAATACAGTTAGTTAGGTATAATATAATTTATGCGTAGAATCTGTCACAATTATTCAAATACTAGCAGGATACCCGGCTTCGCTCGGGGGTCATAACTCCGAAACCGGAAGTGGTAGACTAACGCCACCTGGCCTATGTTACTCCCCGGTCCGAGCTACCCCTATACCCCAAATTTCAGACTCGGGCCAGACCTAGTGTAGCCGCCAACCCCGAACAGACAGGCTTCGTTCGGGGGTCATAACTCCGAAACCAGAAGTGGTAGACTAACGCCACCTGGCCTATGTTACTCCCCGGTCCGAGCTACCCCTATACCCCAAATTTCAGACTCGGGGCAGACCTAGTGTAGCCGTCAACCCCGAACAGACAAACTTCGCTCGGGGGTCATAACTCCGAAACCGGAAGTGGTAGACGTACGCCACCTGGCCTATGTTACTCCCCGGTCCGAGCTACCCCTATACCCCAAATTTCAGACTCGGGGCAGACCTAGTATAGCCGCCAACCCCGAACAGACCGGCTTCGCTCGGGGGTCATAACTCCGAAACCGGAAGTGGTAGACTAACGCCACCTGGCCTATGTTACTCCCCGGTCCGAGCTACCCCTATACCCCAAATTTCAGACTCGGGGCAGATGTAGCCGCCAACCCCGAACAGACCGACTTCGCTCGGGGGTCATAACTCCGAAACCGGAAGTGGTAGACTAACGCCACCTGGCTTATGCTACTCCCCGGTCCGAGCTACCCCTATACCCCAAATTTCAGACTCGGGGCAGACCTAGTGTAGCCGCCAACCCCGAACAGACTGGCTTCGCTCGGGGGTCATAACTCCGAAACCGGAAGTGATAGACTAACGCCACATGGCCTAAGTTACTCACTGGTCCGAGCTAACACTATACCCCAAATTTCAGACTCGGGGCAGACCTAGTGTAGCCGCCAACCCCGAACAGACAAACAGACAGACAGACAGACAGACAAACGACAGTCACAAATATATATATATAGATAACCAGGATCCAGACTGTATTTGTCTTTATTTGTTTAACTCCTATTAATAATAATTTATTAGCGATTCATTTTATACGCTCATATTTTGATATTTAGATATCAGTATTGACCAGCAATTTTATAGTTTATAGTAGGTTTAACGAATCCATTTTACACGTAGAAACACCCCAACTACAGATCCTATGCGAAACTATAGTAAATTATTTCGGATCTATATAATCATATGAAAAATCTACCGGACGAATTCTTTTTCCTGTAGTATTCTATAGCATTCTGTAATATCCCACAAATTTTCTATATGGACGGAGCTTGGTATCGAAGTAAATGCGTAACTATCGTCGAATTTGTAATTGGTTTTATATTACCTATACGGGTATTTCAATTAACAAAACACTCTGAAAATAGTCGTGTCGGTATACAGAAACAATATTTCAAAATATTGAATGTTCAGTTTACGTTGATCCCGACTACAAAGAAGAACTAGACAGAAAGTGAATGCAACGCAAACCGCAAAGACCAGTGCCGGAGTAATGATTGTTTAAAAAATTGTTGGTATAAACAAATACACTGTTACTTGCTCGTACTTAGCATAAAACCGGCTACTTTTTTTGAATGCGAGTACCTAGTTCCCGTCAGGGTATACGGGCCCCGGGCCCCGGGCCCCGGGCAGGTAATCGGAACGAAGCTCGGACCTGTAATACGTATATTTGGTTTGTCATATGTTGTTGTATTAAATCTCACTCTTTTAGCAAAGTGACCCCCAATTATTCCAGATATACGTCAAATTGATGCTAGAGAAAATATATCCTTCAAAACATTTCGAGCCCGGGGGAAGAGACACTCCCATCCCCTCGCCGAGTTGCTTGTAACAGCCACCCCCACCCCACCCCCTTAAAAATAGATACAGTTTATATTAAAATTGATTTATATAAAAAAATAAAAATGTTACCGATTTATTTATTGATTAAAGTACATGATGAAGAATAAACAAAGAAGTACACCCCGAAATCATTGAATGCTCATGGTTAGCAACATGTGTCAATTATCAAATTATTGTTCAATAAACGTTAATCAAATTAGTTGTTTATGTGCCTTTACCACACTAAAGGAACCAATGATATCAACAAAAGTCCAATTCCTAAATAAACAAATATTTTGGTCCCATTTCTTTTTTTACTCATACTTTTATGTAATGTTTGTAGTTGTTAAACAAAATCTGTATTCTAACATTATAAGGTGTTCCTAAACCATGTGGTGGGGGGGGACTGGCCAAGACCTTTGAAGGGACATAGAAATAGTAAACCCGGATATCATGATGAATGCAAAATTGTTAGCCACAGGGACCTATTGAATAAGATAAGCACGCAGGTCCAAAGGGTGTCCTGGTATGAGGTATGAAATTCAGAAAGGTACGTCCCCAACGCATCTCATCAATCCAAGCCAATATTAAATCCTATGTCACGTGAAAGATTAAGCTGAAACTATCAGGAAAGCAAATTACTGAACTGATTTTATAATATTCCCTTACAAGATAAGATCAGACAGTGTTCTACTTTACATCATGCAGGTTCTCTTGATACTGACGGCGGTGGTTGCCACCACTATCGCTTCTGGTATGTACGATGTCTTTAAACTATGTTTCTTTTTTTCCGAAATGGTTAACTGTCTGTAGAGAGTAGTGCTAATGCAAGGTTTAACTAGTTCATTGCAGGCCAATGGGTTTAGATGTTTTAACAAAACTAAGAACATTCAGGGTTCTTGTGGAGGGCGGGGGGAGGGGGGCAAGACAATATATGCACTTTTATTATCAGTACTATTTATATCCGTAAGAATGTTAGTCGTCTAAATACAACTTTATTTTTAAATTTTCAGATACATTTTACGATAGATACACTAAATTCTTCAAGGAAACACTGCCAAACAGCCCTTACTTGTTAAATCTATGGAAGGAGCATCTGAAGAACTATACGGAACTTGTAGAAACAGACAGCAAACTTCAACAGGTTAGATATTCAGACACATAGAGTGAAACAAATGGGATTAAAAGTCCACTCGACACAAACTAAGTTTTTTCTGTACTAACATATGGTTCAATTTTATTTCCACAATTAGCTTGCGCGTAGGTATTTTTAGCCGTGGAAAGAAACCGGAGGACCCGGAGAAAAACCACGAAATTGGTCATATTGTGAGTGCACTCCCTATTTTAAGAATAGATATGCCGATTATACCTTGTGTGGTTTTATAACATTTATGTATATATCGGCAATGAGGTAGTTCAAAATTTGTATATGAGTCCAAGCAGGACTAACAAAGTTAGTACAAAATATGAGAGAAAAATAAGGGACTACTCCCCTCCCCCCATCTCCTGTCCCGAATAAAATTTAATAAATAAAATGCCAGTACGCCTGCAACGTGCAGCACATCCCCGTTGATTTTCATATGACTTTCTTGGTGAGAACATACAGTACCATAACTCGACCATGACCGATTTCTTTCTTCTTATCTAGATTCTCACGTAACTTAATAAATATATCAATTTTCTATAGTTCAGAATTCGTGTTCAGGTAAAAAAAAAAAAGGTTATCTGATCACCATCCCTAAAACGTTTTATAATTTACTGTAAAATGTAGGCCCTGGTTATTTTCAAAATAATGGGGCTGAACGTCTTACTGTTCTGCTTCTACTGGGCTACTAAAGATTGGCATACAGCATGCAGTGTGCTAGGAGGGAGATTTTGCCCGGAGAGCGCAGCTACGGTCTACTCTTCTATCGAATTCCATCTGTCAGGGGTTCTTTGACGTGCACGCCAATGTGTACATAATATGACTTTTCAAAATACAATGTAATGTCACCACAATGTAAAGGGACAACATATCAGTCGATTATTGCGAATACATCAACAGAGCCGCTAATGACGTAAAAGACCGCCCAGGTTCTGGTAGATCTCGCAGTACATCTGCACCAGTGCCGGATTAAGACGCATGGTGCCGCTGGCGCACTTAAGAAATGAAATGAAATGAAATGAAATGGAGTTTAACGTCCTACTGTTCTGCTCCTAACCTGGGCTAATGAAGACGGGCATACGCCATACAGTGTGCTATGAGGGAAATTTTGCCCGGACAGCGGCACTACGGCCTACTCTTATATCGAATTCCAACTGCCAAGGGATCTTTTACGTGCACGCCAATGTGTACACGGGACCTCGGTTTTTCGTCCCATCCGAACGACTAGACAGCTTTCCTTGTCAGCCCCTCCGTCCTGCATCACTGACAAGGGAGAACCACGCCGGAAAATCTGGATGAACTTTCTCGGCCAATGCAGGGATCGAACACCGCACTTAAGTAAATGGGACCCTTACCCAGCCCCCTCCAAAAAATAGTTTATGTTTTTAATGAAATTGAATATATAAAAAATATGATTGATAATTTATTGATTTGAATACACAATACGCAATGATATTTTATTTTATTTTTTTTTTTTACAGTAGACAGGTAGAGTAGAAATTACGACATGAAATAAATTAATTGATATCTATAGCAACTGTTGTCTATATGATGTTAATCTACATTTTATTACCGTTTTGAAAAGGATAAACATTGATTTTAAAAACATAATCACGAATGGGCTTTTACCCCCTTTACCAGATGTTACGTCTTACATTGACATAACGTTGCAGTTACGGAGTCACATGGTTAGCGGGATTCTTGACTATTGGACGGGACTTGGTTAACTTCAAAGAAAAATAAAGCAATGTAGGCTAATGACTGGACAGATATATATCGTTTTTTTTCTTAACTACTTTATACTTTGATATCGACCCTCTATTAGAGGAAACGATCAATATGCATTATGTCAATTTATAATAGAAATAATGAGCTTCAGTGCCGGACTGGTAGGCCGAAGGCCCACCTGTCAGTTTATTGACCAAGGCCCATACAAGTACGCGGCGAAGACGCGTCACGAGTGCGCCAAAGGCACGCGAACGTCTGAGGGGGGGGGGGGTCTCCCCCTAGGAAAATTTTGAAAATTGACAACCGCAAACCCAATTTCCAAGCATTTCAGACCAAAGCAGAAGAATGCAAATTTTTGATTTCCTGATACAGTTAGATAACAGAATGACCTAAGAGCACTATCATTAGATGAATTTGAGAATTTTCTTCAGTGTCGAAAACAAAAAATGAATTACACGGTTCTCGGTATAATGAGGTCAAACTCATAAAGTTCTTTCCTTGTAGTACACTTCTTTTTTCGTGTTGTTTGTCAGTCATTTTTTTCCTATCTTTTCTTTCTCCTGTCCTGTGTCCTTACCTCTCCTTCCTTCTTTCATTTCTTTCCCCCCCCTCTCCTTTCGTTCTCTTTTCTTCTTTATAGGCTTAGGCCCACTTTTTTTTTTAATGAGCTTAGGCCCACCTGTCACGGACAGGTGGACAGGTGGGCCCAGTCCGGCACTGATGAGCTTTATTATTTTAAATTGTGTCATGCTACTTTCTTTTTTAAAAAAAATATCGCCGCCCCAATCAAACCGCTATAACATAATTAATATTTTTAAAATGTTTGTTAATTTGTAGACACGAGCAGTTCATCGTTACCCTATTCCATCTTTTGATTGTCATACCGATACACCATGGGGTGGACGTGAAGCCACCAAAGGTAGGTGCATGTATTTAACTTATCAATTTAACATGATTAACTTCAGAGTTGGATTTTATGTCAACAGGGGATATAATAACTGTACCATCAACAGATACATTAAAGATACATTATGTAAGATTTAGATAAAGAACTAGCCATTCAACCACCGTACTGGTTGTCGAAGCTAAGTCTCGCTGTCCATTTGTAAATTAAATCAAAATATGACTGAACCTTTCTAATCTATTTAAAGTTATAATTTCATTTTTTTAAATTTATTTTTAAAATGTATTAAAATAAAGCCCTAAAATAGATGGTATCTATAAATAGACCTACCTTGTTAAAGAATAATCCTATTAATCCTATAATTCACTATTGCCAGTTGAGAAATTCGCAAAAATATAATTTTCAACTTCAAATTGAAATGTCTGAAGATAACTATTCCATGGTGGGGAATAGGAAAACAATGGAGGTAATTGGGGGTAATTGTGTTATTATTTCCGGTGTGAAGATTTTTAAGTGTGAGAAAGATAACCTATATTCGAATAATAGTGAGTTGACAACCTATTGAGCAAAAGACATACAAATAATTATGTTTTGACTTTCTTAGAAAATATGAAATTGTAACTTTAATATCGGAGAAATCTGATGTCATCGAGAGTTGATTATGGCCTCGATCAGTTAATTAATGTCTAATTAATAATTTAGATAAAATTTCAGGCCTAAAAAAGACCTGCAATAGACAGATTTAGCTCTTGACTAATGTAAAGATGGTTAGGCTATCGCATAGATGTCTGGATCAACCAATACACGTTATTGAATATCATTTAGGGAATATCCTTATGCATGTAATTTAGATTGTCATAGGTACACTAGTCTGTAAATAGTAATCGAAGGTCAATACTTTTACCGCTGTTGTTTCTGGATACAACTCAGAAAATTCATATAATAAATAAATGGGGAAAGAGTCAGAACGATTCAGAGTATCACCGGGCAGCCCAAATGCGTTTAGAAAAGTACCTTCTTTACCATATGCCCCGACAGGCCGACTCCATGACACTTTCCGGGACCACTGGAAGACTTACTCCTATAGTAAGAGTCAGAACGATTCAGAGAATCGAAGGACAGATCAAATGCGTTAAACAAAGTACCCTTTTACCATATGGCTAAGCAGGCCGAACCCATAACATTTTCCGGGGCCACTGGGAGAATTTCTCTTTGTCGAAAACCTTGTAAACGCGATAGAGACTACAGTTTTTAACGGATTTTTTGTCAAATATTGTGTGAAGCATAGTGGTAATGAAGGACGAATCTTATCGATATTCAGCGTACCGCGATCTTTTGTTAAATATTTACCAGAACCCCAACCACAGTGTTAAAGCGATCGTTTTTTTTTGTCAAATTATGTGCGAAGCAATAGGGTCATAATAGGACGAACCCTTTCGATATTCATCGTTCCGTCACTTCTGTTTCGGAGCTACGCTCTTTTTCCGAAAACCTTGTGCACAAAGGCTACAGTTTTAATGAATTTTTTTTAAAAAAATTTGGTGTGAAGGATTGGAGCCATGTGAGGATAAACTCTATCTGTTTTCAGTGTTCCGCCACTTTCTGTGAAAGCGATAGAGGCTATAGTATTTAATGGGTTTGTTTGAAGCATTGGGTTTATGAGAGGACGAACCCTATCGATATTAAGCTTCCCACGACCTTCCATTCATGAGTTTTAGAGCTAACTTAACAGATATATATATATTATATTAGAAGAAATTATAACAGCAATCGTTTTGTTTCTTTAAATAATATATGTATGTAATTGTTTTATTAGTACATGAAGTTCACCCTGGTGATATAACAGTTGTAGCAGCTCTTGGAGATTCTCTAACAGTACGTTCATCATTTTATCTTTTATTGTGTTTGTCGTATGTTATATTTACATGTAGGAAGTACGATGAAGTCTCGAGAGATAGACACAATTCAATATGAACACCTGTACTGCTCTAAACCAAATTATCACACAGTATTTCCTTGCAGAGATTAAATCACAGAATTTGTTATTTTATTCCCAAAGAAAGTACTTTCAGTTCTCACCAAACACAGAACAACTGACAACACTGAATTCATTTGACATTCCGGAAACCCAAACCACATTAATCTCCTCTTATTCGAGATTATAGAATCATAAACCTTATTTACTGCATTTAAGGAACATTGTATAACCTAAATCCAGATCAGACCAAGGAGCCATTATGACCCCACATATTCGCGAACAACGAATTATGATTTAGCTTGATATATATAACAGTAAATGCATCTTCACAATTTGTGAATATATTGAGTTGAGTCCCCCCCCCCCCCCCTGTATAGACTCCTTTGGTAAATCTTATTGGATCTAATATGACGGGTCAAATGCCTTCTGTAACAAACATCCACTAGTTTTGTGAGAACCACGATGGTAGCCACACTATAATGTTGATAGTTCTCTCTCTCTAAATATATATATATATATATATATATATATATATATTAATACAGGCTGGTAATGGTGTAGATGCCACTACTATTATTGGTGATCTGATCGAATATCGTGGTTTATCTTGGAGGTAATACATATTATTAATAGTTTATTCCTGTAACTTTTTATACACTAACACGTCAATGTTACATATTGCCGTCACGTCTGTTTGTCTGTAAGTCAGTCCGTCGCGGGTCTGTCGTTTACAATTTTTGTTAGCACAATAGAGGCTACGATAATCCATAAATTGGTTCGTTGGCCAAACTTTTTGGAACACGATGACTTTGCTTCTAATTGAGGCAGAATTTTCATTGGAGAAATGGCTTAACTGATGAACATTTTCTGCTTATACTAATAAGGGATAAGTAGTTTGGTTGGTTGATGCTTTGGAGCACGATAATTCCGTGAGAGTGATGGAGCTTGATATTTACTCCTAGAGTTATTATCCTAGGTTATTTCATACAATCCCGTGAAAGCTCCAGTTATATTTTACAGTATAAGGATTATTTCGCTTTTTGTTTAAACATACATTATGCAAGAGCCAAATCTGCCTATTTCAGGTATTTCTTTAGGCCTGAAATGTTATCTAAATTATTAATTAGACATTAATTAACCTATCCAGGCCATAATCAACCCTAGATGTCAGCGCTAGCCTGCGATCTTTAGTGGATTGTAAGCCGATTTACTGCATAACTTTCCTTCTCGATTAAACGATTAAATGGATAATCGAGACTATGCTGTTTATCGTACTGACTTTAGTAATGATGATCGAGGCTTATGAGACTTTCAGTCGCTTAGTTCTCGGTTCATAGTGGATCAATTTGAATGAAATTTTCACCAAATTGCCTTTACATTATCTAATTTTTAACTATTATAGTGAGAACTGCCAACTCATTACCGAATCTCCCATAATGTATCTTTAAAAGAACAATCAGAATTGCGGACGACTGAGTTGCTGTGGGCATATATAAGGTCTGAACATTTTTTAATGAAACTCTGAACATAAATGAAAGTATTTTTTTACCTTGTTAGTATCGGTGGAGATGGTTCACTTGCAAGCGGAGAACTTACTTTACCTAGTAAGTATTTTCTTTTACCATACCATAGGAATCAGAAAAGTATTAGACTTTAGCTCGATAATGATGAAGTTGGAAATTGTTCACACAATTAACACATTGCCATACGTATTACAAACGATTGAAAAGAAACCGCGTTATATTTACACAACTGTTGCTTTAAGATATTAAACAATCCTGTATATTTAGATATATTAAAGAAGTTCGGTAGAAATCTGTATGGTTATTCTACTGGGACGGGGCCAAGAACTGGTTCTAATTCTAAGTTTAATGTGGCTGATCCAGGCGATATTTCACAGTAAGTGGATATATTTATAACCCTATTCTTCATAATATTTACGTTTTTCGATAATTTTCGAAAATGTGGAATTTGGTGTGCGTGTAGCGCCATGTACATTATTAGCCATGCGTTTAGTTGATCTGTTTGCAATAGGCGTGTTGTTTATGACAACTTGACATGATAACTGAATAGCAGAGTTATATAACATATTTAAAACAATCGGGTCAATAAAAATCTCTAGACTAGGTATTTCCAAGGATATAAATAATCCGTTCGTTTCCCGTTTAATATATGTATATGTATATATATATATATATATATATATATATATGTGTGTGTGTGTAATGTATATTGCACGGTCTTTATTTCAGTGATATGCCAGCACAGGCTATAATGTTGGTTAATAGAATGCGAGCCGATGCAAACGTAAATTTTTTGAAGGATTGGAAGATCATTACTTTATTCGTCGGGGGCAATGATTTGTGTTCTTATTGTCATGATAAGGTATGTACGTATAGACCGGAGGCTCAGTGCGCGGGGGTGTCCATCAAATGGGCACAAAACCAGTTTTTATATTTTACAATGACATTTATTGCTTTAAATCTTCCGAGTGCAAAAACGGAAAATTGGAACTTTTGACCCCCGGGGTCACAAAGAACAAAGGTGAATTTAGCAAGTTTACATTTTTATTGAAAAAATGATTACCTTCGATCATTTTTAGCATGGTTTCATGATATATAAGAATGACTGCGCATTCACTTTCAGTGCAAATGACCTCATTTGAACTTTGACCCCGAATATCTCGAAAACGCCCCAACGGCGAACTGATTACCACTCGGCATCGTATTCTACGCAAAATTTTACTCTAGAAAAGTTGAGTCTGGTTTTGTGCCCATTTGATGGAACCCCCCCGCACTGAGCCTCCAGACTAGTAAGCGTCTCGCTAAGAAAAGTAAAAGTTTGGTCAATTCGATTCTTAAAGGGGCAGTCCTCGATTTAAGCGGACACAGTAAATATTGATAGTCACACAAAACAGCTATAATGTCTCAAAAAACCAGCGGCTGCCAGGCAGGATTCGCCCACATTTTCGAGAGATGGATAGAGAACAAGCTAAAAAGAAAGCGATTTTTCGTACAATCAGGGGCCATAATTCCGGAAGTTACTGTCCGATATGCGCGAATATCGAAAGGAACCGAGATCTTTGGGTTATAAACTTACATTTCAAGTTTCAACAACATCGGATAAAAATTGTGACCCCTATAGTGTCCATAAGCTAAAAACGTGATTTTTCGTACAAACAGGGGCCATAATCCATGAAGTTTCGATCCGATACATGCCAATATCGAAAGCAGCCGAGATCTGTTGGAGATAAACCTATATTTCAAATTTCGTCAAAATCGGATAAGAATTGTGACCTGTAGAGTGTCCACAAACAATTGTGGACGGACGGACGGACGTCCAGACGTCCGGACGGACAGGGGCGACGGCATAATACGTCCACATGAAAATGTGGGCGTATTAAAACGATAGCCATAAACTGCAACATTTCAAATTTGTTAAGGTCTAAATCTTAAGACATTTGAAACAAAATCCATTACAATCTATGGCCTATATCGCCATCACAAGGTTATCGATACGGTTCATCCTCTCATGAACCTAATGCTAAACACCATCCTTCAAAAATACTAGCCTCTATCGCAGGCAACAGAAGGTTGCAGAACACTAGATATCAAAAGGGCTCGTCCTTTCATGACTCGAATGCAAAAAAAAAGAGTTAATAACTGCAGCCTGCATTGCGTTCACAAGGTATTCGGCAAAGAGGGGTGTAACTACGGAACGGAAGGTCACACAATGCTGAATATGGCCTCCCTTGCATTCACAATGTTTTCGGAAAAGGGGGCATAACTGAAATGTGGGCGTATAAAAATTGGTTTTGTGAAGAAGTAGCACATCAAAATGGTGAGTAATTCGGAAATTAGTGAAAGAATTGTTTAACGGGGTTACCTGCCGTTACGCATTTATAAGATTTTTATTGTTCCATTGTATGGGTGATTAGATAATCGCGACGATCACCTGCCACCATAACACCGGAAGCATATATGGCGTGGAATTTGGGGACTTATCATCAATAATATATTGAAAATAAAAGTTTTTGTTTCTTCGAAATAGTGTCACTGGAGCTTAAGGACTTGGACAAGGTTTTTTTTAAAGATTCTTTCGAATATAATAATCCAGCCTTATGAACTATATCTGAGACCGCTTCTGTATATTGGCCTAAAGATGCAAGCCTGCAGGGCGCTTATTCACGAAAACTGAAACTAAGATTCAATCGAAATTTTAAGAAATACTGCAATTCGATTGGCTGACCAGTAAAATCAATTTGCATATATCCAATTTGCATATTGGTCAGCCAATCGAATTGCAGTATTTCTTAAAATTTCGATTGTATCTTAATTTAAGTTTTGTGAATAAGGGCCCAGAAGACTAGGATTTTGATCTTGATTTTTGATGTAGAGATGATGATACTGCATTTTTCAGAATAAATATAGTGCTCAAACCTACACTGCTAACATTCAACAAGCACTGGATACTCTTCACAGTCAAGTACCAAGGGCCTTTGTTAACCTGGTTCCTATTTTTGACATCGCTCCTGTTGCAGCACTTAGTTCTGGTTTCTTCTGTACTTTTGTCCACGCGTAAGTTCTCTTTCCTTGCAATCCTGAACGACGCCAATCTTCCTGAGTAATTAAGCAGATCTAAAACTCGTCTGTAGAACTTCGAGCCTGTTTCATGAACAGAGATGTAGAGTAAAATGTTCGCTTTACATGTACGCAAGCCTATACTCTGTTAAATGGGACCATGGTGGCGTATGTATTTACATGTGACCATTTCAGTAAGTTGCCCTGCTCAGCAATATACCTCATCGTACGCTATGTAACTAGCTTGGTCGTAAGTTATCTTATACTAAAATCATCGTACATGGTCTTACTTTAAAATTAACGCATCGCATGCATAGAATATTAAAGGAGGCATATCGCTAACTCAGTATCATCCACGGTCTTCGACATTGCAATCACAAATTATTTGTCAATTTAAATCAACACTGATGTTGTGATCTTACCTGGAAAAGATGGGCTTTTGATATCCAATATTTAAGACAAAATGACAATTTTGAGATTGGCACACAAATCGCATGCCAGAGTGCTTCGAGTGCCATTTGTAATGACTGAGGCTAACATAATATCCCACAGGGGAAAATACTATCGGTATAGACTGAAATAACCAGGCGCCAAAAACTGACATTCAATTCGGATTGTACGGGTATTTCAGTGAATATCAATAATTAGAAATTACAGTAAAAACAGAAACGATTGAATGTAGATCAGTTATGTACATTCATAGTCTATTACTTTATTATATGCGTTGCGACCCATTTGTGCCAAAGAATAGCGATTTAGCTCCTTTAACCATTCCTCCTTCTTCCTGTTCATCGTCAGTTATTTTACTTTTGAAATTTTGAATAAGCGATACAACCATTCACGAAACTAAACCTACATTACTTAAAGTTACAATTTTATATTTTTAAGTTATATTTTAAAATTGTATTAAAATAAAGGCCTAAAATAGATGGTATCTATAAACAGTCCTACCTTGTTAAAGAATAATCCTATTAATCCTATAATTCACTATTGCCAGTTGAGAAATTGGCAAAAATATCATTTTCAACTTCAAATTCAAACGTTTGAAGATAGCTATTCCATGGTGGGGAATAGGAAAACAAGGGAGGTAACTGTGTTATTATTTCCGGTGTGAAGATTTTTAAGTGTGAGAAAGATAACCTATGATCGTATAATAGTGAGTTGATAACCTATTGAGCAAAAGACATAGAAATGATAATGTTTTGACTTTCTTAGAAAATATGAAATTGTAACTTTAATATTTAAATATTTTTTTTTGTTAAATTAGTCTTGTATGTGATTGTGGTCATGATAAGAATAATGCCGCCATGTTGAAACAAGTATCTATAGAATATCAACAAGGTTTAGAACAGTTGGTTGCTACTGGTAGATATGATACTCGGGACGATTTTACTGTTGTTATTCAACCTTTCTTTAAAAATACAGAACCACCCATGGACGTAAGTATCTAGATAATATACTGAGCGCCATGGAAAACGCATTACTTTTTTTTCCCAAATATTTTATTACTAGGTGGTTTTGTATGTATAATATTATGCAATACTATGAACTATTGTTTCACACAATGCTCCCAAACGCAAAAAATATCGGCCCGTGTGCACAAAAAAAAAAAAATTGCACGAGATGCACATGAAAAACCCAATATTCACGTGCAGCATTGTGTGTGAGCCCTTTAAAAGAATGTTTTCAACATAATGTGCAGTAAATGAACTGTGAAACGTCAATCTGTCGTAATTTGTTGTTGGACGTGTGAAGGAATCGAGCTAGAGATGCCGAGACCTACTGAAAATCAACGGAATGAAGCCATGGGAATGTCCAGGGCTGGCATGTCTACACGTGCTATCGCCAGACACTTCAATTGTCATCAGTCTATTATTGTAAGGTTAGTGGAACGTGTTCGAGTTACTGGATCAACACGTGACCGTCAACGTCCTGGTCCACAACGCTTTACAACCAAGGCACAAGACCGTTACATCCGGGTCACTCATCTGCGTGACAGATTCGGCCCAGCGACTCGAACAGGTGCAGCAGTCGTCGGAAGACAAGGACCAGTAAGAGCCAACACCGTAAGACGTCGTCTAAGAGAAGTAAGACTCCGTGCACAACGACCTTATGTTGGAGCTATCCTTAGGACACCAGACATGGAGAAGAATAGACTGGCAAAGTGTGCTCTTCAGTCATGAGAGTCGCTTTCATCTTTATCACGCTGATGGCCGTCAACGTGTGTGGAGACGTCTTGGGGAACGTCTTGCAGACTGCTGCGTCTTCGAAACGAATCGATGGGGTGGGGGAAGTGTAATGGTGTGGGGGGGGGGGCTTCACATTTCATCACCGGACCGCCCTACACATTTGCAGGGGTCGCGTTAATGCTGTAGCCTACCGTGATGATGGACCGTGGAGGACACACGCGCTACTGACATCTGTGTCGTACTTTTGGTTTTGGCCCCTCTGACTTTGTACCACTGATTACAGAATAAACATCCATAAGTGTACAAATGTGTTGTTATTGATGTGTTCCCATTTGAATATTGTTCACAATAAGAAGCAAAATAAATAAGATATGTGTACAGCATCATTTTGTTATACGAAAAACTAAGTGATGCGTTTTCCATGGCGCTCAGTTTAAACAACTCCTATAACCATATCGTTATAACCTTGAGTTTGTTTGTTATAATTATTTGAATGTATACCTATGAACCAGAGGGCTTTAAATGATTGAAGCATCCTTTTTTACTTTTCTTAGGGAAATAAAGGAGACATCGACATGACGTATTTTTCTGCTGATTGTTTTCACTTTAGTGGTAAAGGTCACGGAGCTGCTGCTCTTTCACTGTGGAATAATATGGTAAGTTATGACATTAATCTTAAACACCGTAGGCCTATCAGCATCTGAATACAAAACGTCTAAACAAAACAATTGAATGCGCCCGCCTCAAATCAATATGACCAATCTGGACTAAAATGTATGGCGGTTTTCACCAAAAGTTTGGGCCCGTGTTCAGTTTAAGTCCGCTTCCTCTACAGCCCATATAAACAAGTCTATATTAGTATATAAAATCTCTTGGTGGGCACTTTTTTAATGTAGGGTGCCCCGTGGCCGAATCTTTTCCCTTCTAAAAGTTGTACTCGACACGTTGAATGTGCACGCTTCAGTGACGTAACTCAAATTGATTTCAGACGAGTCTCGAGCTCTCTTTGTGTCTATAAATAGCCACAGCACGTGAAATTCTCAACACTTGTAATAACAATTACAGACGTAAATAATCTATTGTTGACGATTCTGAATAGCAGTAATATTTAGCTTTTTGGTTATTACTACAGCTTTAGAAATTACGCTCGTTTTATTTTTTAAATTGCTTTATTATTAACTAGACCGTTAGGAGTGGCATCTTTTGGTTTAGTAAAAATAATATCTCTGAATAACGCGGGTTGGGCAGGAAAATGATACTAGCAGTAGTTTCATTTTACTTTTACAAGGTTCTTAAAACAATTGTTGTGTCGCCCACCGGGCGTTATTTGTAAATTCAATTTCTTGTTCTAGCTTTCTGTCATGTTTCGTAAAAAAAGTAGTCTTGATTATCCCGGTCTGTCAATCAGACGGAGAATGGTCGGTAGACTGGTTAAGTGAGACTAATTTCAAAACAAGGGCACGTAACCTATTTTTTGCTCAAAAGTGTCTGGATGACATGGACGACACTCCGAACCATTTTTCAGTGTATTATTTATAGATGGTTAAATGGTCAAGTACAACATGACCGTTTATTTAGTGACTATAATTGTGCGAAACTGATTTAAAGCTTAGTATATATATATATATATATATATATATATAAGTATTGTGGTGTAATTGTCGAGATATTTATTTATGGTGGGGCAGCCTATTTAATGCCCCTTTCAGCGAGAAGTCATGTGGTGTTACAAAGTTCTAACGGCGTTTGCTATCTTAAAGGAATGAACATATATTTGTAGCCTATTTATTCATCATTAAACAATACATTATGGTAAGTATTATGAAAAGAAAAACATTTTATCAATATTTTTACTAAATATCATCCAGAAAAATCAAAATCCGCGATATATCGCGGTATGTTCGGTTTTTCGATATTTTTGCCGATTTAAATTTCTGTGACGGTTTTATATCGAAAAACCGAAATATCGCCCAGCTCTACTAGTCCGTATACTGAAATCGATTAGAACCTATAGAAAAATGTTTCGTTGCGTCCCTCGAGTGTCTAAGTAATATTTAATACTATAAATATTGCTTTATCTTACACAAAATTCGTTGCCACATTCACCGCTTTTCACAGCAAAGAGAAATTATTTTAGAATCGAATTCGTTTTGAATTGAGTGTTAAGGGTGCTAAAATCCATACGCCGCTAATGACGTTACAAGTTTGGCCAATCAGATTACCGGGAAATATACCGTACCGTTTTATTATTTTCAAATTATTTAACACCCAATTGAGAAATCCAGTCTTGGGACTGTGCAATACCAGGCCCGTAGCCATCGGGGGGCAGGGCGCAATGCCCCCCCCCCCTGAAAAAAAATGGCGACCATAGCTCTAAAATACCTACTGTAGACTGTGCCGGGTGTCCCCCCCCCCCCGCCCCCCAAAAAAACAACTTCACTGCCCCTCCGCAGCCAGCAAGCTGGCTATGGGACTGGGCAATACCCCTATTAAGTTGGACTGGACAATATTCATGTTCAGATAGGACTGGGAAATACACGCTTGAAGTTGGGATGGGCAATACCCAAATTAAGTTAGGAATGAGCAATACCCACATTAAGCTGTTACAGAGCTGCCTGACAAGGACAGCTGTCTAGTCCTTCGGATGAGACGAAAAACCGAGGTCCCGTGTATACATTAGAATGCACGTAAAAGATCCCTTGGCAGTTGGAATTCGATATAAGAGTAGGCGATAGTGCCACTGCCCGGGCAAAATTTCCCTCATAGCACACTGTATGGCGTATGCCCGTCTTCATTAGCCCAGTATAGGAGCAAAACAGTAGGACGTTAAACCCCATTTCATTTCATTTCATTTCATTTGTTACAGAGCTACACTGAACAACAGTGATTATTCGCTAAACCGCTCCAATCACTGAGATTGATGACATGGGTGTGGGTTAATAACTCACAGTATTAACTTTTTTCCTTCTGCAAATTAAATTCTAGAACATTTGTTGAAGTATTAGAAAAACAAATAAAGGTGTTTGAAGTATATCTGGATAAAAAATAATTCCTATTTAGGGTAAATGGGTATATAAAATGAGTAAAAGGCACCATTCTGCCCGCACCAGTATGGTCTGATGTAAATACTGCACGTGCTACCGAGCCAATGATCGACGATGTGTGATGTGATGTCACACGTAGAAGGCATGTGGACTTCATCTTATACAGAGTTAGAAGAAGGCTTTTGCAATACGTCTGTGAAACAGGTTGATACTGAGCAATATTCACATTAAGCTGGGACTGAGCAATACCTTATTAAGCTAGGGATAAGTAATACACATATTATTAGGCTGGGCTGGGCTTTATAGGGTAATACACACATTAAGCTGGGACAAGGCAATGTCCACATTAATTTCGGGCTGCATACCCTTAAGCTAAGACTGTGCTTGAACTGGGCAATGTCCACATTAAGCTGGGACTGGGTAATGTCCATATTAACGCCGGGACTAGGCAATACCGCCATTTACCCTGGCAATTCGTGTTATGTGTTTCATTTACAGTTATCTTTTAATTAATGCCAGGCGATTCACCATTAATTGTTTTATTATTTGATTTGTTATAGTTGGAATCTCCTGGACACAAACAAGAAGAATGGCATCTAGATCAACCATTCCACTGTCCGGGTACTCATGTAAGTTTGATCTGAACTCATAATTTGAAATATCTGTCAAGAAATAAACTCGGTAGTCAATTATATGAAAATTTTGCCATGCATGGTTTCAGATCTGTTGTTATTGCTTGCTATATAAAATTGCCCTAGACATTTGTTACTGTACTTGTTTGAAAACGTTGTGCGGATATTGTTCGAAACGTCGCCTAAATAAATCAGTATGTGTTATAGTTTATTTCTCTATCCAGTTACTAAATACCTCTAAAGGATTATTTCTATGATGTTGCTAAACATGTATATTGAATTTAAAAATTTAAAATTCAGCCAATGACCAATCCGTCAACTCTTCTCTTGGATTAACTTTAATGAGTCCATTAGCAAAGGATAATGAAATTGACTATCCAACAACAAAAATTGAACGAACAATCGACATATTAGCAAGATAACAACCGTTAGAGTTTAACGGATCGTTAAAATAACTGAGTTTTGAACACTCGGCTCCTGGTCGATTGATAAGGTGTTGTTTATCAATACGGAAAATTCATCAAGCGGTATATGTGGGTTGGGTTTTAAGAATTTGGCGGCGCACAGGGATTACAGACTTTTTTCCAAGATGGTTGATATCGAAAACTTCTTTATCGTTGTGAAATTGGTTTTAATATTTTTCAAAGAAATAAAGTTGATTATTCCCGTATAATTTATCATTTTTTTTTTTTACAAATGTTATCATAATTGTTCTTATTTGATTATAATCAATGTGATGGTTTTAAGAATAGTGCTATGTATTTGATTTGGTAACGTTCTGGAGCAATAGTCAGTGTAGTAATGAACTATGACTAATTCAAGTGGACCCTATGTTCGTGATATTTTCTAATGTCTTTCAGCCCCCCACCCCACCCCATGATTCCTAATGATATAACCCCTTTGTTCGCCATATCCTTGCGCTCCCACCCATATATACTTTTGCAGTAAAAATGCATTGTACCGTCATGTCAGAAATAATTCTTACATATAATTTTGTTTGTTTCAGAATGGTCATGATCATTGGTATTTCACCACCAACAAAAACTAAAATGTGATCAAGCAACTTAAATTATTCTTGAAATAAAGAAAAATGAAAACCCTCTCTTCATCTTTATGGCTATTTGTCAGATATTGGCAGTGAGTGGAAAATCGGACGAGCGGTTTAAAATGTTCAATAGATCATCTTAATGTTGTAGTACAGTATACAATTAGTAATTGTTTAAGATAGTCTGGTTATACGCACTTTGAATTGGATTGATACACAACTGGAAGACAGTGTAGTTGATGAAGAATGGGTGTTATGTTATCTCGAATTTTCGTGACATACGCCTAGCAGCATTATTTTCAATTATCTGGTTTATCGACGAGCCGGTTCGGAAGTCCGATTAGTAAATGGTTACAAGACTCTATCCTGGATGTGACTAGAGTCTGAACTAAAGTCCTCTGAAATGTTTTTACGATTTCGTCCAATGTTTCTTAATCTTAGTTGGTAATAAGATGATTTACTATGTTATTGGCGTGTTGTTCAAGAGACATTTTCAAACGAAAATCACTCCAATGTTACGAGGTGTAGGTAAAACTTCACAACTATCTACCGATAAAACATCGTTACTTGAAGCAAGGGATGCGAGACGGGGGCTAAGTAAGGTGCGGGTAGAAGTCACAACTGTCCACCGATAAAGTTTTGTCATTTGAATCAAGGGTTGCAAGATATTTTTGGAGCCCAACAGTAAATACTCTGTTTTGCCTGCATTTAATTTTAGGAATAACTTGGGATTATTGGGAATTGTTGAAAACAAATACACTTCTTCACTATAATTGTCAAAAGTTAACATCTTTACACGGATTTTATTCATAAGCATACTCTGAGTGGGTTGAATTTGAAAAAAAACCCCAACATAATTTGCTTCCATAATGACCTGTTTCTCTACAAATCATCTAATGTAGGGATTATTGCTGTTTAAATTAATAATAATAATAATATATTACATTTGATAATGCGCCACATCCTCCCAAGTGAGTGCTCTGTGCGCTAATACAGCCAATACAGTGACAAAAACTAAATACAACCAGCGGCTGGCCAGGCAAGATACGCTCACATTTTGCAAGAGATGGATAGAAAACAAGCTAAAAACAAATACGAATTTTCGAACAATCAAGGGCCATAATCCAGGAAGTTACGTTCGGATATGCGCAATTATCAAAAGGGGCCAGGATCTTTGTGATTTAAACATAAGTATAAAGTTTCATCAAAATCGGATACAAATTGTGGTTTCTAGAGGGTTCAAAATCTTGATATGCCATATTTATACACTATTTGCGTACGAAATTCGAACTCAACCATCATTAGTATGTGCCTACAAGCTAAAAAAACGTGAATCCGGGGCCAAAATCCACGAAGTTATGGTCAGATACATGTCAATATCGAAAGGAGCCGAGATTTTGGGGAGATAGACCTATATTTCAAGTTTCGTCAAAATCGGATAAAAATTGTGATTCGTAGAGTGTCCACACACAATTTGTGGACGGACGGACAGGGGCGACGGCATAATACGTCCATATGAAAATGTGGGCGTATAAAAAGAATTAATGGGGTTTCTAAAAACCGAAATATCGCCCAGCTCTACTAGTCCGTATACTGAAATCGATTAGAACCTATAGAAAAATGTTTCGTTGCGTCCCTCGAGTGTCTAAGTAATATTTAATACTATAAATATTGCTTTATCTTACACAAAATTCGTTGCCACATTCACCGCTTTTCACAGCAAAGAGAAATTATTTTAGAATCGAATTCGTTTTGAATTGAGTGTTAAGGGTGCTAAAATCCATACGCCGCTAATGACGTTACAAGTTTGGCCAATCAGATTACCGGGAAATATACCGTACCGTTTTATTATTTTCAAATTAATTAACACCCAATTGAGAAATCCAGTCTTGGGACTGTGCAATACCAGGCCCGTAGCCAGCGGGGGGCAGGGCGCAATGCCCCCCCCCCCCTGAAAAAAAATGGCGACCATAGCTCTAAAATACCTACTGTAGACTGTGCCGGGTGTCCCCCCCCCGCCCCCCAAAAAAACAACTTCACTGCCCCTCCGCAGCCAGCAAGCTGGCTATGGGACTGGGCAATACCCCTATTAAGTTGGACTGGACAATATTCATGTTCAGATAGGACTGGGAAATACACGCTTGAAGTTGGGATGGGCAATACCCAAATTAAGTTAGGAATGAGCAATACCCACATTAAGCTGTTACAGAGCTGCCTGACAAGGACAGCTGTCTAGTCCTTCGGATGAGACGAAAAACCGAGGTCCCGTGTATACATTAGAATGCACGTAAAAGATCCCTTGGCAGTTGGAATTCGATATAAGAGTAGGCGATAGTGCCACTGCCCGGGCAAAATTTCCCTCATAGCACACTGTATGGCGTATGCCCGTCTTCATTAGCCCAGTATAGGAGCAAAACAGTAGGACGTTAAACCCCATTTCATTTCATTTCATTTGTTACAGAGCTACACTGAACAACAGTGATTATTCGCTAAACCGCTCCAATCACTGAGATTGATGACATGGGTGTGGGTTAATAACTCACAGTATTAACTTTTTTCCTTCTGCAAATTAAATTCTAGAACATTTGTTGAAGTATTAGAAAAACAAATAAAGGTGTTCGAAGTATATCTGGATAAAAAATAATTCCTATTTAGGGTAAATGGGTATATAAAATGAGTAAAAGGCACCATTCTGCCCGCACCAGTATGGTCTGATGTAAATACTGCACGTTCTACCGAGCCAATGATCGACGATGTGTGATGTGATGTCACACGTAGAAGGCATGTGGACTTCATCTTATACAGAGTTAGAAGAAGGCTTTTGCAATACGTCTGTGAAACAGGTTGATACTGAGCAATATTCACATTAAGCTGGGACTGAGCAATACCTTATTAAGCTAGGGATAAGTAATACACATATTATTAGGCTGGGCTGGGCTTTATAGGGTAATACACACATTAAGCTGGGACAAGGCAATGTCCACATTAATTTCGGGCTGCATACCCTTAAGCTAAGACTGTGCTTGAACTGGGCAATGTCCACATTAAGCTGGGACTGGGTAATGTCCATATTAACGCCGGGACTAGGCAATACCGCCATTTACCCTGGCAATTCGTGTTATGTGTTTCATTTACAGTTATCTTTTAATTAATGCCAGGCGATTCACCATTAATTGTTTTATTATTTGATTTGTTATAGTTGGAATCTCCTGGACACAAACAAGAAGAATGGCATCTAGATCAACCATTCCACTGTCCGGGTACTCATGTAAGTTTGATCTGAACTCATAATTTGAAATATCTGTCAAGAAATAAACTCGGTAGTCAATTATATGAAAATTTTGCCATGCATGGTTTCAGATCTGTTGTTATTGCTTGCTATATAAAATTGCCCTAGACATTTGTTACTGTACTTGTTTGAAAACGTTGTGCGGATATTGTTCGAAACGTCGCCTAAATAAATCAGTATGTGTTATAGTTTATTTCTCTATCCAGTTACTAAATACCTCTAAAGGATTATTTCTATGATGTTGCTAAACATGTATATTGAATTTAAAAATTTAAAATTCAGCCAATGACCAATCCGTCAACTCTTCTCTTGGATTAACTTTAATGAGTCCATTAGCAAAGGATAATGAAATTGACTATCCAACAACAAAAATTGAACGAACAATCGACATATTAGCAAGATAACAACCGTTAGAGTTTAACGGATCGTTAAAATAACTGAGTTTTGAACACTCGGCTCCTGGTCGATTGATAAGGTGTTGTTTATCAATACGGAAAATTCATCAAGCGGTATATGTGGGTTGGGTTTTAAGAATTTGGCGGCGCACAGGGATTACAGACTTTTTTCCAAGATGGTTGATATCGAAAACTTCTTTATCGTTGTGAAATTGGTTTTAATATTTTTCAAAGAAATAAAGTTGATTATTCCCGTATAATTTATCATTTTTTTTTTTTACAAATGTTATCATAATTGTTCTTATTTGATTATAATCAATGTGATGGTTTTAAGAATAGTGCTATGTATTTGATTTGGTAACGTTCTGGAGCAATAGTCAGTGTAGTAATGAACTATGACTAATTCAAGTGGACCCTATGTTCGTGATATTTTCTAATGTCTTTCAGCCCCCCACCCCACCCCATGATTCCTAATGATATAACCCCTTTGTTCGCCATATCCTTGCGCTCCCACCCATATATACTTTTGCAGTAAAAATGCATTGTACCGTCATGTCAGAAATAATTCTTACATATAATTTTGTTTGTTTCAGAATGGTCATGATCATTGGTATTTCACCACCAACAAAAACTAAAATGTGATCAAGCAACTTAAATTATTCTTGAAATAAAGAAAAATGAAAACCCTCTCTTCATCTTTATGGCTATTTGTCAGATATTGGCAGTGAGTGGAAAATCGGACGAGCGGTTTAAAATGTTCAATAGATCATCTTAATGTTGTAGTACAGTATACAATTAGTAATTGTTTAAGATAGTCTGGTTATACGCACTTTGAATTGGATTGATACACAACTGGAAGACAGTGTAGTTGATGAAGAATGGGTGTTATGTTATCTCGAATTTTCGTGACATACGCCTAGCAGCATTATTTTCAATTATCTGGTTTATCGACGAGCCGGTTCGGAAGTCCGATTAGTAAATGGTTACAAGACTCTATCCTGGATGTGACTAGAGTCTGAACTAAAGTCCTCTGAAATGTTTTTACGATTTCGTCCAATGTTTCTTAATCTTAGTTGGTAATAAGATGATTTACTATGTTATTGGCGTGTTGTTCAAGAGACATTTTCAAACGAAAATCACTCCAATGTTACGAGGTGTAGGTAAAACTTCACAACTATCTACCGATAAAACATCGTTACTTGAAGCAAGGGATGCGAGACGGGGGCTAAGTAAGGTGCGGGTAGAAGTCACAACTGTCCACCGATAAAGTTTTGTCATTTGAATCAAGGGTTGCAAGATATTTTTGGAGCCCAACAGTAAATACTCTGTTTTGCCTGCATTTAATTTTAGGAATAACTTGGGATTATTGGGAATTGTTGAAAACAAATACACTTCTTCACTATAATTGTCAAAAGTTAAC